ACCGGAATCGCCAAATGAGGGGGTGTGTTTCAGATATCGGATAACCGGAATCGCCAAATGAGACGGTGTGTTTAAGAGGTCAGTCGCCAAACGAGGGGGTGTGTTTAAGAAATAAGATAACCGGAATCACCAAACGAGGGGGTGTGTTCAAGATATAGGATAATCGGAATCGCTAAATGAGGCGGTGTGTATATAGGAAGCACAAATGAGGTCTGTGTGCGCCTTGGACGGTCCGTGTGTGCGCCTTGGACGGTCCAAACCTTCAGCCTAGGGGGCCTAGGACCGTCCAAGGTACACGCGCCTAGGCCGCATCCGCAACCGGAGAAAGCTGTGGTTGAGAACTTTTTTCTGAATCGGAAAGTGCTGAATCCCTAGCAGAAAACAATGAATTGGAAGCCATGTGTGCGCCTTGGACGCGGGAAAGGCTGTGCGCAGGCGCGTGCGCCTTGGACGCGGGGATGCGTGCGCCTTGGACGTGCTGGCCATGATCTGCTACCTCCTTGAGTTACGGGTCGAGGCTTCCTCCCCGTACCCATTGCTCTTCCCTGCCGACCTCTGCCCTCTGCCCTGCCACCCTTGCAAAAGAGCCCGCCGGCACCTCGTGCGTCCTTTAACCCGCTCGTGCCGGCCTTGCACCAGGCCATCAAGCAGTGCCTCATCAGCGGTGGTTTCCTTTTGGCTTGCCGAAGGTTTCCAGCGGTTTCCTTCACGTTTCCCATGGGTTTCTTGTGGTTTCCTCTGGTTTCCCTATGGGTTTCCCAAAGTCTTCTGATGGTTTCCTATGGGTTCCCATGGTTTCCCGGAGGTTTCTTGTGGTTTCTCATGGGTTTTCCACAGGTTTGCTCCTGCTATAAATCCCTTCATTTTGTTGTTAATGTCTCTGGTTCTTACAAGCTTGGAAGCTTGCTGTGATTTCACAACACTTCCGTGAACAGCCGCTCAGATCTTACGCTCCGACCTTTTCAAGTGTGCCATCAAAGACGTAGTGACCGTCCGTCCATCTACGTGAACAGCGACGTACACACACAGGCGAGAGTTGTGGGGTCGATTTGAAAGAGTTTGCACTGCTGCTTGTTTTGGCTGTCGGCTTGTGCAAGTCAGGTATGGCTCGAAAACGGGCTCGTCCGCAAACGGATGCAGTTGTTCGCCTTTGCCTTTCACGCACCGTCATACACGTCAGGTCCTTGCGCAAGAGCTTCAGGAGCTGAAGCGTCACCGTGCAGAGTCGAAAGCACGCAGCTGTGCACTGGCCCAGCAAGAGAAGAACTTACAGAAGAACCGGACAAGGCTTCTGCAGGCGTGCCCGTGCGATAGTTGCTACACTACGCTGCTGCAGTTGTTCTCGTGATGCAGGCGGCCTGGCAACTCAGTGAAGAAGACCTGATCTTCTTGTTGCGTCAGCCTGAAGGTGGCCGCAGCAAGTTCTGCGCCTGTTTGTGCCTGCGCAGAGTCCACAACTCTGCTGCGGGTGCGGTCGGAATCCGGGCGATGTGGCTGCTCCGGTGGTGCCACCAATGCCTGTCGCCGACGTCGTTGCAGGTGCAAACCTCTTGATTGCCGTTTATGTCTGCAGAGGAGAATGGCTGAGAATCCCAGGTGATGAGGAGCCTCGTCACGATGCGGCCGTGCCAGATGCTGAAGCTACAGGTGGGCCAGCACGGCACTCATGCGGGGGAGAATGGCTGACAGTCCAGGTAATGAGGAGCCTCGTGACCTCGCGGCCGTTCCAGATGTTGAAGCGGCAGGTGGGCCAGTAAGGCAGTAATATTTGGGTTATGTTTCAATCCTTTCGTTGCCCAAAGGCCCGGCGATCATGGATGAGGCGATTGTTGTTCATGTTGACACTGCAGGTCGGTCGGCGGTCGGTCGGTGAGGTCGGTGAGGTTTCGCTTGTATGTCGTGGCTTGCATCGTCGGAAGGCCCGCCGAACCTGGATGAGGCGGTAGTTCTTGACGAAGCTGACGAAGCAGGCAGATAGCAGTACACTCAGGGCGGGTGATAACATGAGTGCTGGACAGCAGCCGTGTAGCAGGTGAGCGTGCATCCGGCTCAGGACCGAGCCGAAGCCGAACGCGTGTTTGCCAGAAATTTTCTCGCAATGCAGCCTGCTTGCAGGCCTGGGCGAAGATGAGCATGCTCGAGGTGGGGACCTCTCGTTAATGCTTCGTGTCGGTGGCGTAGTCCTGACTCTTGCGTGTCCACAGCAGCAGGCCAAGCAAATGTGGAGTGAGAGCAATTTGGTAGAGGCCACAGGGCCAGCCTTTCTCCGTTGAAATGTCTTCGTTCCTGCCACGCTGCCGCCGCGCAGTCTGAGTTGCCAGGACGCTCTGCAAGCACTGATGAAAAAGACGCTGATTCTGAGCTTCTTTCCCCGGACCCCATTCCAGGTCTAGAAAGTGAGAGGATTTTGATGTCCTGTTGTGTAGGGCCTCTGCGGTAGGTGTCTACAAGCAGTTGGCGTTCTGCTGGCACCTCGTCAGACCCTGCTGGCACATCCGATTCCGTCAAAGTCTCCACGGCCTTGCGCCGCTTCCTCTTTTTCTTCTTGCCAAACTTTGCTGGCACCTCGCCAGGCTCTGCTGGCTTCTCTTTTCCCACACCAGAGGGAGCCCACGGGCCCCCACTTTTCGTCGCTGTCCGGCTCGTCGTCCTGCAGCTTTGGAGGCGTGCTGGGCACCATCGGCTGCGCCATTGCATGCCAATCTCTCGCCAGTTTTTTCACCCCATCGTGGACCGCCATGTGGTCCCTCTCTGAGGCCTCCCTCCAGGATCTCCTCCGTCTTTGTAGCTGCAATAACACTCTGCCGGCGAGCTGATGCAGCATCCTTCACAGCTTGCAAATCGTTGATTCGCTGAGTCATCAGCCGTTGCTGCTCTTCTCTCTCCTCGGCAATTGACGTTTCCTCGGGAGCCGATGCAGCAGCCCTCTTCTCAAGCACTTCAAGCAAGCTCGTGTCTTAAACGACAGTCTTCGCTGGCATCTCTGCAAGATTCCAAGCACTGGAAAATGAAAACAAGCATCGCTGCGGCCATACAGGCCTGCCATGTTGTTTTTGATTGTGAACACCTTTGCGTACAGCTTCGGAGTTACGACTTAGTTTGCCCGCCCGCGGCTTGTAGTAAAGTTGTGCTTTAAAGTAACTCCTCGAATCTGTGGCTTGGGTTTCATTGCTTTGACATTGCTTCGCTGACTTGCTTCTTAGCTCGATGTTGGAAAAAGCTTTCTTGCACTTAAGGATGTGCAGTTCCAGGATTGACGTGGAAAGTGGGCCAGTTGAAAAGACAGCCAGAACGTTGGGAACTGCTGCATTAACCAGAAAGGATGAAAACAAAACAAACGGTTGCAGAACTGATGCCAGATTCTCTTAAAAGATTCTCAGCAAACAGATGAAGGGACCTTGTTCCGAATCGACGAAATACAACAGTCCAGGAACTGAGAGACGACAGCGTGCTTGTTGTGGTGCGCTTGTCAGCGAAGAAGCCACCAGTGCTGCTCGTTGCAGTTATCGTGTTCTCTCTTTGACTATGCTGGCCCGGAAATCCAATGTTCCGGCCGGATACCAAGCTGCGGGTGACGTTAACCGTGCAACACTCTTCTTAGGAACGGTTGGTTGGAAAAGGTGTCATTCTTGAATATTTACGCATCATCCAGTGCACTTTTTTGGACGTTCGCTTGAGTTTTGCTGATCCAAATCGGCGAATGCGCACCTTTCTATCTGTCTTGTGAGAGGCTTGGCCTTTTGGTTTGTTTGTTGTAGGGACCGAGAGGTGCTGACGTCGTCGACAAAGGGTTTCAGTGATGAGTTAAAGCTTCGGAAGTGCATCACTGCACCTTTCCGGAGCGAAGAGCGTCTAAAGAGATTCAGATTTGATTTGCAGAACTGAAAGATGTGTATTGTTTGTCGGTCTTTTCAGATCAAATAAATATAAATAAATGCAGAATTCCGCTGTGCGAACAAAGTGAAAGAGTTGCTATTTTGTGGAGGTTGAGTGAAGCTTGGTGATTCCGTTTTTGTCATGTGCTGTCGTTGCAAAGGACCGCCTCAAACATTTTGAAAGCAGTGGCAGGCAGTGTATCATGGCCCAAGTGGAAAAACGTTGCACTTTGCCGGAAGAAAGTCTTGAGCAATTCGGATTGAGCGTTGTTCTTCAGAAGGGAAGAGAATGCACAAGAGGAACAAGACAAATCTATAACATTCCAAATAATGCAGGGCTCGTGATTAGATTTTTTCACCTGCGAAAAAGGTGAAGTTGACGGATTGCAAGGCAAGACAACTGATGCAAACTACGTAAAATCTGCTGTGGTATCTCGGGTCCCGACAGGTGCTGCAAACATGCGACGGAGTAAAAGCTTGAAGCAAAGCTGGTGATTTTGTTCGGTTTGTGTGAAATCTGGTGTTTGGTCATGTCGCGTGCAAATCGAGGTCTTCGTCCGTCGTCCAATATCACTATCTGCTAAAACGAAGATGAACTAGTGGGATGTTGCGGCTCGAAAGTGGACATGAGACAGCACAGCGCAGATGGACAGGAAATGTAGCTTATTTTTGATTCTGCACGGTAATACTTACGTGGCTCATTTTGCTTATTTGCATTCAACATGCGCTGCAAGATCATGCATAGGAAACCTGTAAGTTGTGCTTCATGTTCCGTGTTTCAGGGATGGGTCTCCAGAGCTTTTGGGTCCTTGGCGTTCTGGTGGTGGATGTGGTTCCGGCGCCGCAGGGAAAGTGCAGCTCTCAGTTTTTTCTGACGGTGGAGATTGAGGGTCCGAGATCTGGCTATCAGCGATGGTTCGTCTGAGGTTGAATACTTGACAGGCTCCCCAGATGCATTTTCGTGTGTGAGCGTTGCTTGTGCCGGAAGTGTCGTGATGTCCACACGGATCTTGAGCTCGCCTTGTCATGCAGAGCCCTTTGAGTGATTTGGCCAAACCCTCATCCATGAATATGGGCTGCATGCCTAGCATGCACGCAATGGTCCAGCTCATTTGTTGCTGGGCAATGGCGCCTTTGGTCGCCACCTATCGCACCGAGTCGAAGCAGCTTCACCTGAGTCCGTGGACAGACCTCGAGAGCCTTACGCCAGAGGAGCTGCAGCTCTCCGTGTTGGAGCGGCTTCAGCAGAGCAACAGCACCAGCACCGAAGCGAAAGATTACGACGACTCTCCAGGCCAAAGGCTTCTTTTGTCGCAGATTCAAGGAAGCTGGAGGGACAAAGGCACACCAAAGTGCTGGCGTCAGCTGGGGCGTCTGTTGGAGAGATTGACGGAGCACTGTGAAAGATCTCAGAAAAGCGAGCACTGGATCTTCAAGTTCTACGAGCCGAGGCCTCCCGCAAAGACTTGCGTGGACAGCGTTCGCGACATTTTTCTGCATGGCCAAACGCTGGTTCGGAGGATGGACGTGCCACGATCCAAGCTTGCTTCTCTTGATCTTCCTGCCAACACGGTTCGTGAAATGCAGGCACTGATGTACCTGCAGTCGTGGTTCGTCCCCCTTGCAGCCACGACGAATTCTGCCCTGTTGTGGGCAGGTTTCTGGGACGGAGATCCCACAAATCGGACCACAAAATCCGCACTTTTCCAGTTTGCCGATGAAACGGACCATGATACAGTGCATCCGGACAGCATCTTGGGACGACTCATCGAGGAAAGCCAGGATCTCAACGACTGCGACAAAGATGCATCGACAAATCAGATGCTGCAGAACATGTGGACTTTCAGCAGCATGAGCTTCGTCTCGAACATGCGGGCGAAGGCCCAAGGCACAGTGGTTGCAGTAGTCAACAAGGATCTCACAGGGGTCCGGAAGCTGTCCGATTCTGTGCTGTTTCGATACGAGATGCCGACGCTTGGAATCACAGCCTGGGGATCTGGAGGGTGGTCCCCGCATATCGTCATCTTGGATATGAAAGGTACCTGTCATGACACGAGCCCTTCCCTTCGGGCGCAACTAGCTGCGCATTTACGCTCCTGGTCCGGGTTCAGGGCCAAGACCAGCAAAGACAAGACGAAGGCCTTCATGAAGCGGTCCCGTGCCAGCTGGGACTGCGTGGACTGTCCACCGGACGCGTGCAACCTGGACGCTGCCTTGGCCCAGCACATCCAGCGCATGGTGGAGGCTGCCGGGATCAAAACTTTGTGTCTGCGTGTCTCTCAGGTTTGTGTCGGCTTTAAATCAGCTATTGGAGAACAGGCGAAGAAGACGCAGGATGATCTGAACCAGATCCTGTTCGAGGCAGGGCTAGCATTTGGGCCCCGTACTTTAGACAGGCTCCCAAACAACGAGCCCACCCTAAAGCCAAACTGATGCCGAACCATCTGAGGCTGTGGGGTCCAAGGGCCGCATACGATCCGAGGCAGCAGCAGAAATTGTTACCGACCGCCACATAAAGAAGACAGCATATGCTGCAGCACTTCGTCAATCTGTTGCCGGATTAAGAGACAAAACATTTTCGGCAAAAGAGTATGTTGCAATCGAGAAGACTGTGGTAGAACGAGAAAAACGCTTGGCCCGGTCCAACCCTCGCTTGGCACTGGCACCGGAATATCGCCTGAGAGTCGTGGAGTCCCTGCTGCATCGCAAGGCGGACCCCAAAGCCATGGAAGCAGATTGCAGGACACCCCTCCACTATGCTGCTCTGAGAAATTACCTGCAGATCCTAGAGTTCCTTCTGCAGTACAAGGCTGACCTCAACGCTGCTGACAATGCAGGCCGCACGCCCCTACACTTGGCTGCCATCAAGGGTCATCTCGAGGTCGTTGAGTCATTGCTCAAGAACAAGGCCGACCCGAACGCCATAGACAAGTTCGGCCGCACGCCCCTATACATGGCTGCCAGCGAGGGTCATCTCGAGGTCGTTGAGTCTTTGCTCAGGAAGAAGGCCGACCCGAACGCCATAGACAAGTTCGGCCGCACGCCCCTATACATGGCTGCCAGCGAGGGTCATCTCGAGGTTGTTGAGTCATTGCTCAAGAACAAGGCCGACCCGAATGCCATGGAGCAGGAAGGCCGCACGCCCCTACGCTGGGCTGCCAACAAGGGTCATCTCGAGGTCGTTGAGTCATTGCTCAAGAACAAGGCCGACCCGAATGCCATGGACCAGGAAGGCCGCACGCCCCTACACTTGGCTGCCAACAAGGGTCATCTCGAGGTCGTTGAGTCATTGCTCAAGAACAAGGCCGACCCGAACGCCATAGACAAGTTCGACCGCTCGCCCCTATACATGGCTGCCAGCGAGGGTCATCTCGAGGTCGTTCAGTCTTTGCTCAGGAAGAAGGCCGACCCGAACGCCATAGACAAGTTCGGCCGCACGCCCCTATACATGGCTGCCAACAAGGGTCATCTCGAGGTCGTTGAGTCATTGCTCAAGAACAAGGCCGACCCGAATGCCATGGACCAGGAAGGCCGCACGCCCCTACACTTTGCTGCCAACAAGGGTCATCTCGAGGTCGTTGAGTCATTGCTCAAGAACAAGGCCGACCCGAACGCCATAGACAAGTTCGGCCTCACGTCCCTACACTTGGCTGCCAACAACGGTCATCTCGAGGTCGTTGAGTCATTGCTCAAGAACAAGGCCGACCCGAATGCCATGGACCAGGAAGGCCGCACGCCCCTACACTTGGCTGCCATCAAGGGTCATCTGGAGGTTGTTGAGTCATTGCTCAAGAACAAGGCCGACCCGAACGCCATAGACAAGTTCGACCGCACGCCCCTATACATGGCTGCCAACAACGGTCATCTCGAGGTCGTTGAGTCATTGCTCAAGAACAAGGCCGACCCGAATGCCATGGACCAGGAAGGCCGCACGCCCCTACGCTTGGCTGCCAACAAGGGTCATCTCGAGGTCGTTGAGTCATTGCTCAAGAACAAGGCCGACCCGAACGCCATAGACAAGTTCGACCGCACGCCCCTATACATGGCTGCCAGCGAGGGTCATCTCGAGGTCGTTGAGTCTTTGCTCAGGAACAAGGCAGACCCGAACGCCATAGAAGAGTTGGGCCGCACGCCCCTGGCCTACTCTGCGAGTGAGGGTCATCCCGAGGTCTTTAAGGTTTGGTTCAAGAACAAGGCCGCCATGCTGCGTCGGTCCGAGTGAGAAGGCGGCAGCCCGCGGCCACATGATGTTGCGGTAAATGGTCGAAGAGAGGCGGTGGAGATCTTCGAGGCTGCAGGTTTTAGACGAAGAACCCTTCGCGGTGCTTTCCGGAAAAGCTGTGAAGTTCTACTCAATCTCGAGCTTTCTGGTGTGCATACAAGAGCCAAGCGCGTTGTGCTTTAAGTTCGGGAGGCGAGTTTTAGAGGTGCGGAAGAAGTCTTGTGTCTTCAAGCCCCTGCAACATGTACAGTAGTGCCTGCATTTATTTGTATGTGGCATAAACGGCTAGCTTAACCAGGCCGTTGGAACAACGACCAGAGCAACATAAACATGATCTTCTGTCTGGTTGCCAGCGTCTGAAATACAGATTCCAAGATGCCCAGTGGCCACTGAAAACAAGAGGGTGGACAAAGGGATAAGCAAACTTCTCACACCCACTCACACGCAGACACACACCACGCGCACACACACACACACACACAAACACCGTCACATTGCCTTCTCGAATCTGAACCCGTCTACGACTCTAAGACCTTCATGCTGATGCAAGATGCATCCCTGAGCACAAGTAGGAAACAAATGCTCCAAAAAGGCGCGGCTAGATACAGTCTAGTCGCAGTCACTACCGAGACTAGGTCCGTGAGTGCCATGTGCATTCTCGGCTTGTAAGTGCAAACATGCCTCGAGGAAGCGACTTCATCAGGAAATCGGACGGCTTCTTTGGCCCCACTAATCATCAAGGGCTGATATGGCCTGGTCTGTTAAGAGATTAACACCTACACCGAAGGAGCCCGAGCAGCCTGAAGTGCGAGCTAAGGACCGCGATGGGGTGTGAACCACCGGCCACGTCACAGGCCGAGATCTTTCGAAAAGTGCGCAGTGTGATGGACAGCGGACTTTTCAGTCTTGTTCTTCGGGCTTGGCCTTCTCCTCACGCCGGAGCGACACGACACGCCGATCTCTACAAAGGATAGTCGAGGCCACAGGCTTTGGCTCCTCGGCGAGGCTGACCTGCGCCTCAGCTCGGAAATCGAATTTTCGCTCGGCGACTGCAGACCAAGAGCACTGCGGCCGAGACGGCTGAGGATGAAACCTTCTTGTGGTTCTTGCAGGCACGACTGGGAGGGTGAAGAGGGTGACCCGGACAAGGGAGTTGTGCGGCAAGCTGTTCGGAGGCTGCATGAAAACGTGGGCCATATAGGGGCCCATTGTCACCGGTGCTGGCAATTCTGCTTTGCCGGCCCTGCGATCACAGCGAAGCAGCTTCAGTGATCGGAGCGGGGGTGGGCGCATGCCGAACACGGCCCTTCCAGAGGGCCACCTTCGGCTGAGCGTCGCAACAGCTTCGACTCGACTTTGAGAGGAGCTTTTAAATGGGCCCGAAGACTGGAGGCAACTCATGTCCGAGAATGGAGCATCACCGGTGCCACTCCATGCCGAATTTTTTTGCAGTGCCACGGCGATGGCACCCCAACAAACGCGAGGGGCGCAAGCGAAGGAAGCTGGCAAAGAGTTAGTCTGTGCAAAATGAACCAACGCGGAAGGGCAACGACACGGAGGAATGCTGGTCCTGGCTGTGGAAGAGCTGCTCAGTGATGGCGTTTATTGAGCACAAAACCATGTCGCTCCACACTTCTTGCAGAAGATGGGGTACCTTCCACGAGCCTTCGACAAGGAGTTGATCCCACACGATGAGGGCGGCCATTGAAGCCAGAAATCACCGTGCCCTCCCACATCCTGCTTCCGTCCGATGCGAGAAAAGGTTGCAGCCGCGGAATTTGCAACCACGACTCAGCCCGTACGCACAGCTGAAGGAGTTACGATGGTTACGGCTGTGCTGGGACTCATCACCGGGGCGTGTGAGGAGAGTGTTCACGGGCGCGCCTAAGAGGCCGGGATGCAGATGAATGCAGTGCAGTCGCGCTTGTGTGTGTGTGCGAGCCGATGGTCTTTTAAGTACCGTAGTCAGTAGTTTTGGCAAGATGCTGCGAGCCTATCTTTGCATAGTGCTTGTGCGTTCGGCAGGCAGCGGAGTGCAATCGGCCAAGCTAGCAGTGTTCCTTCCGTGCGCGGCTCGATTCGGACTAGTATGCGGTCCAAAAGGCTGTGCAGCATACTGTCACAAGAGGGAACCACACAGCCACAACACCTCAACCATTCCTGGGAACTCCTTGCTGACAGCGCAGCCATGGCGCTGGCAGTGATGGGTGCCAGCAGCAAGGCAAGGGTACACCTGCAGCAGTCAGCACGGGTCCGTGATGTGCAGTGCAGGCTTATATAACGCTTGTTCATGGGGCCATGCTGTTGAGCTGCATGTCAACGTGTTTTGCCAGGGCTCAGTCCTGCGAGCATTGAGAGGTCAGGACGCACACTGCCAGCAGACCACCGTATGCCGTAGGCACTTGCATCTGGATTCCCCTCACGCGGCTAAACGCCAATGAGCATGAATGGAAGCGCGACGTAGGTTCCAATGGCACACAAAAATCGCCTGCAACTCGCGTTGGGGTTTTGAGGAGCGCACACACTGAGCAAAGCAAAACCACGCACGCCGGCCACAACCCTTCGTGTATTCTGTCTCGGTGTTTCATGGGTAGGACTACAGAAGCCAGACTGGGCCAGCAAGCCGGGACACGCGTCCGAGTGCAGAGGAGTGCAGTAGTGCTGCAGAATCCGGGCCAAGGCAGCTCATGTGCTTTCCCTCAGCCCCGCTTCAGGCGGCTCCGGCGAGCTCCGGAGCCTCGAAGGCAGGGAAAACGCCCCGAAGGGGCCAAGACGAAGCGTTTGGAGATCTCGCCGCAAGTCAGGTCACCAAGGCTCCGAAGATGGACAGCAAGAAGGCCTTCGAGATTCCAGGCGACGCAGGGTGCGGATCAAGGCTTCGAGATTTGGCAGAACCTTGATTCGCTGACTGTTCAACACATACTGTAGGGCTGGGAAGGCCTTCTGACAATGCTTGTTTACAATCCATGCAACTCAGCTCCATGGCTTCGAGAAGCAGCTAAGGGTCATAGCAAATTGCACGGACTCCATGCGTCCCCGACGGGTCTGTGCATTTCCCCAAAGCTTTTTGATAGCCGCTAGCCTGAGCGCACAGGCCTCCAGGCCCGCCCTTACCACGATGACGAGCTGCAGGTTACGGGCATTCGGTGCGCTTGTGCTTCAGACGTCCTGCCTCGGCGCAGATCTGTTCAGGTTGCCTTTGAGATCATCGATCTTGACCGACATGGCGAGATTGGTTCCGCTGACATCCGGAGAGCGCTGCAGCTCCTCGTCCGATGTCCTGGCAAACACATGCCAAAGGAATTCAAAAGGGTGGCCAAAGGCTTAGAAGGGACAGGGCTGCTCCTTCGCACCGTCGCACCCGTTCCGAGGCTCTGTGGGGAGAGCGAGCCCACGGATGCGGAAATCCAGGCGTGCGGGAATCAGGGAACTACGGAGATCTGCAGAACAAAACGGCGTCAGCTGCCATCGATGTTACAGAAGCAGGAGATGATCCGCTTGATGGATCCAGCCTCTTTGACTGCAAGTGCTCAGCAAGCACGGCTCTTTTGGGGGGCTCCGAAAGCCGAGGATGGTAGTGGCTCCATCGAGTTCCCGGAGTTCCGGCGCTACTTCTTTGACCCGCCTCCGCAGTTCGGCCGAGAAGGAGAACATATCTCAAAGGCAGCCGCCCGCAGTCCATGCCTAGCCGCCCAGCCTAGGCTTTTCCGAAACTTCGATCTCCACCGGCGCGGTGGCGGCGAACGGGACCTTGAGGAGTCTCCATCGCTTGCTTGGCAGCGCCGGAGGTGGTGAGTATTGTCTCTGCGGCAGGAGGAAGTGGGAGAGAATGAGCCGCTGCCTGCGTTAGAGGTGGGCTGCAGGGTGTAAGCATCCTTGAACACATCATCGAACTTTGGGCAGAGCCTTTCCAGAAGGACGCGTCCCAAGGGGACGAGACACCAGAGGGCGTGCAGCGGTCGGACAGAAAGAAAAAGTTCACCATCAAGGCACCGCTCTTCCAGTGGCGCAGTCGGAGCAGGGGGTAGGCTCATTTACAGGTTCCATGAGTCCCGCTTCTTGAGAGGCCGCCGAGGAGACTGGCGACCCACGCTTCAAGCACATCAAAGGCCTCATCAAGGGTGGAATCACACCGGACACCAGGCGTTGAATACAGATCCGGGACCTGCATTTTTCAAGTGCTTAGTTGTCGCATGGGCGTGCGAGGATAGGTTTGATGAAGCGAGTTTCCATCTGTGACAACCTCATGCACGGAAGACTCAGGACATCATCCGCCACATCTACCAGAGCTTTGTGGAGCTTGACGACAGCGACTCTGGCTACATGTCATTTCAGGCGCTCTTGCTCTCGGCTGCACTGCCTCGCAAGTTCATGCGCTCCTACAACTTTTTGCAGGCTTTCTGCAAAGTCTTTGGGAAGGTGGGAGCTCCTGTTCAAATTCACTTCGATGCCTTATTTTTTTTGCCCTGGCCTGAGCAGAGAGTTCCAGTCAGGAGCCCTCTGCGGACATGCGGGAGATCTTTGATGCCTTCGATGCCGAGCACGAGGGAGAGCCGGCGCCCAAGCTTCTGCCTTGCGATCTCGCAAGGCAGATGTCTCACCCAACTTGCGCCGCCCCTGCCTCTGCAAGGCTCGACCTCAGGCAGTTTGTGATCGGACTCTCCACGTGCGCCCCTCCATGCCCCGCCGCCCTTCGAAGCCCCGGTTTGGGCGAGGATGTGACGTTGGAGTTCTTGGAATTGCTTGGATCCTCACCTTGAGACAAACAGCAGATCCTGGGACTTCAGTGCAGTCGGATTCGACAGTGGTGCATCTAGAGAAACTTTCAATATGCCGCTGGCTTGGCCTTTCCGTGGCTTTCCAGTGATGCTATTGCCCATGCACCTCAGCGTCGGCTTGTGTTTGCTTCTCTCTGGACTTCAGTGAGGTAGTTTCAGGCAAGTGCCACACCCCAAGCCCTTAAAGGAACGTGGTCAGACGCAGAAGAGATGTTGTAGGGTGACAGCTGATGGTGTTCCTATCTCGCTGCCATGGAGCTGCAGGGGCAGCAGGCGGTGCGGACCTCGGCTGATACTCCGTACTGCTAGTGGTATAGGGCGACCCCAAGCTGCGTGAGGTGGTGTTGAGCTGCCTTCAGGTCGCAACAGGAGGACATCGCCCACAGCCGAGCTTTCGCAGAGCGCGGGAACGCAGGTCAGATGTTGCTCTGACGGTCTCGGAGCCGAGCGCAGCACAGATGCATTGGAACTCTTCAGATGTTTTTTCTTGCTTCTGTTCTTTGGAACATGGCAACGCAACCGGGTTCCAAATGTCTTTGAGCCTTCGAGGGCTTGGCACCTCGAAGCTGGTGAGTTGTACAAGCTCTACTGCACTCTGCGGGACTGGTCGGATCTGGAACCTGTCTTGGCCAAGGTCAAAGCGCAAAACTTCATGGCTTCTGCTCTCGTACGTGGCAGAATGTGGAAGGCAGCCCTGGGAGCACTGGCAGATCTTTTCAGGACTCATTGGCTTTTTGCAGTAGACGCTCTCGGTTGCAGTTGTTATCGCTGCAGATCCGCAGGAACGCGATGCAGCCGGATGTGTTCTCCTGCAATGCCCTAGTAGGCGCATGCGCACCGGTCGCTTGGTGGCTACTTGGATGACACAAGGTATGCGGTCTATTTGGCAGAGCGCGTGTCCACCACCTTCGGCTTTCTTCATGGATTTGCCTCCTACGGGGTGCCTTAAAGCCCACAGGTTCTTTCGAGATAGTTCAACTCGAACGTAAACGACGGCAGACATGTCTTGTAAGATTTAGTTAGTTTTACAGCGACAGGCCGAGATGAGGCAACGGTGGCCGCGAAAAGTAGCATCAAACGAGAAACGGCATCAAACAAGAATTGGAAGCATGACGAAACTGCAGGCTCAAGTATGTTCGTAACCCAGGCAGCTCGGCATCCACGCGCTGGGTCAGATGTGCTGCTTCGGCAGCATTTCGAATGGAGCATCGAGACTCGTGGGCTTTGCAAGCCACAAGTGATTTGACTCTGAAACTCATCTGGATGGAATCCTATTGCAAGTTTCACGCAGGCTGGAGGTCGTTGGAGGCCAGTCTCGTTTCCTTCAACTCGGTGTTGGCTCTTTGTCGAGGCACGGAAGTGGGGCCTGGTGTAGTGTGGTGTAGCTGCCTTCACACGGGAAGTGCTATGCAGACTCACACGATGTCTCTAATTGCGGCTACCGGTGGGAAGGCAGGATGCTCCTATGCTCAATGAGGCAAAGGACAAGCTTGGCGCCGTGGAAGGGCCTTCCTGGAACACTTTGCTGGCAGTGGCATGTCTCCAGCCCCTTGACTGCAAGGTGCAGCATAGTCTTCAGGCCGTGTGCTCTTTGAGCGTGCCCTGCTCCAAGGATGTGGTCACCACGGCCTCCGGCATTGCCGTTGCAAATGACTGGGAGCAAGCCTTCGCCTGGATCTCTCACACGGTGCATCGCGGACAAAAGCTGTCGTAGCTGACTAGTATCGATTCAGCTCATGGGCAAGAGGAGGGCCCGAAGAGCTTGGCTTCGCGCTGCCAGGTGCTTCTGCACGTGCGAGCCAATATCATCGTTCACAATTCCGTCATCGGCAGCTGCTCCGCTACGGCACAGTGGCGACAGACGCTTTCCCTCCAGAAGCGAGTGCGAGATCGAGGCAGCGCTCGGATCGCCAGGGGATTGTAATGTTGTGTGTGTGCGCCCAGTTGAGCAGGAAGTCAACCAGATCCGGTCACTGCAAACCTGCTGCTCTCTTCATGTGGAAAAGAGAGTCGATGGGGTATGGCGCTCCGGGCGACATCCCAAATCGCCAGCAGCCAAATTAGGGTACCCAGTCGAGTCAAGCAACGTGCGTTTTCTCTTTACCTTTGACATACTCATAAGATGCAGACCCCGCTGCCTCCAGTTTGGAATTCACGCCGAGGTTAACATCCAAGCCTTTAATTCGATTCTCAGTGCATGTGGGAGAGGTGGTCGCTGGTGGCAGTGCGTTGCAGTGCTGGCTGACATGGCAAGTAACCTCTTGTCCCCTGACATTGTCACATACAATTCCCTGATGACCGTATGCCAGAGCACACCGCAATGGATGGTGGTGCATCAGCTCTTCCGCGACATCCAGTGTCTAGGGCTACTGGCAGATCGCATCGCCTTCAACTCACTGCTTGCAGCATGCGGGAGCAGCCAGCAGTGGGAGGCAGCGTCCATGGTCGTGGACCTGGGCATTTTTCTACCGAGTGTGGTGACCGTCGGCGTGGCCATGAATGTTTTGGGCGAGGCGGGGCGCTGGCAGTCTGCCTGCCGTCTGCTCTACGCTCTTCAAGAGAAGCGCTGGGAGCCTCGCAAGCACTCGTCGCCCGCAGGGCGTGCAGGAAGTTGCCTGAACTCTCTCTAAGTTGCGGCCCAGCTGAGGAGGCCAACACCATCACGTACAACTCTGCGATTGACGGCGCTCAAGGTATGGCTTGGAAGAGCGCCCTTGCCAGGGCCCCAAGTGCACTTGCCGATCGTACCTACAAGACCATGACATTTCGGCGTCAGTGTTCCAAGGTGATCTTTGGTGATCTTGCGGCCGCAGGTTTGCGGCTCTGCAGCATCGTATCTTCTCGCTTTGAAGCAGAGTGATAGAAAGGGCGTACTCCATCGTCATGCAGGCCTCTTTACTCCGGAACTTGCTTCAAGCTTGACTCGTCGAATGAGCATTGCAGCCTATATGCTGCCCTTCTCCAACGCTTGCTACATCTGAGGCAGACAAGTGTTGTTTCGATCACCAGCACCGTCGCGGTGCCCGGGGAAGTGCGGATACTGCAGGGTTGCCAGTTGAGACAGTCAGAAAGCTCCATGAGCAACCTTGTTGGGAACATCTGGCTTGTTCAGTTTCGTGGAGATGCCGACCAGAGTCAATGATCGCTCATTTCTGCAGCTTCTAGTTGATACATGCCGACACCGAGCCAATGCTCCAACGACATCATCCGCAGAGCCCCATCAAAATGCCAGGCCGTTGGGTCCCACCAGTGGCAGGCACAGTCTTGCCATGCTTGCGGCGGTTGTGAGAGGTGGTACTGTAGACACTGTAGAACTGGGATCGATGTGCCTCGGTCGAGTGCTACGGTGGGCTACCCACTCGTGTGAATTCGCCAGGCAGCAGCTCAGATCACCGACGCATCTGCCGCGCTTTGTCTGCGACATGTCCGTATCGTCATCTGACTTTGTTCGGCCACGAAAGAATCCAAGAAGCAAGTTTGACTGTGTCAGGTCGCGCCGTGCAATGCACTCATTGCAGCCTCTGGAAGCCTTGCGCAGTGGCAGAGCTGCCTCACCAATGTGCAGGTGGACATTTTGACATCACATGACTCGCGAGTGGTAATTGAAATGCAGCGAGTCGAACTGACACTCTTGCTTTGGGTTTTCGATGATCTCCCTGAGTTTCCGACGCTGGGCCGCTAGCCTGCCAGACATTCGACTTCTTCACAATCCCTGTAGCATGTATCTCTGAGCTGCAGGAGCTCCTGTCACAGACACTTCGAATCAATGCACCGCGGCGACGTAATGCAACCTTCTTGCTTTCAGCCTCTCGTGTCAGAGCGGGTTATTCAGTCGACAGTCAGAATCAAGCAGGAACATTCATTCAAGTGGCACACATGACGTGCAAACGTCTTTTGCGGGATCGCTACTGGATCAAAGGAAGCCGAGGCTAGCATGCAGGCGCACTCGAGTTGTCAAAAGCAGTGGCGTTTATGTGCACGTCATGAAATTTTCACACGTGACCAAACAGACGTTTTGGATCCTCACTCGCCATTTCTGTCACGGTAGTGTTTCTGATAGTCTGGCAGATTCTAGCAGATTCTAGCAGTGTCTTGGATATGCAGTTGCAAGGAAACAGCGTGCAGGACATCTGGGGGTCTCTCGCTCGTTCATGTACTGTAAGCTCTGCACGTATACAGCCGGACGCAATCAGCAGGAAAGGTGTGGTTGAAGTGCAAGTCGTGGCGCAGTTCAGTTTTATGGTAAATGGTTGCAATTCCTAAGGCCTTCACCATCAACTCATCCATCGCTGCCTGCGGCAAAGCCGAGAAGTGGCAGCAGGCCTGCATCTCCTGCCCGTACACAACGAGTTTCACCGTAACCGCCGAAAAACTCCTCTTGGGCACAGTTGGCCAGTGATTTTTGTTCCTGTCAGGCCTTGCAGATTTTTGCAGACGACGACACTCTCGCAGCTCCTTCGTTGCATGGCCGGTCTGCTTCTGTCGGTGGCCAGTACGAATACCTGTTGCAGTAAAGCTGTCGGAAGTTCCACACATCTTCTCAGGACCTTGTCACTTTTAACGCCATTCTGGATGCTTGCTCCGGCAACGTGGCTCGGCGCAAAGCTGTAAAGCTGGACATGCCGGGGCCAAACAGACTTGTGGCCGTTTCCCGCTTATCGCTTGTGGCTTCTTATGCTCTGCTGTGTCCTGGACTGCCGCCACACTCCCCTCTAATTAGGAGTCATGCTCGGCAAAGCCTGAGCCGTAGAATCTACTTGAGCGCTTAGGGCTTAGGTGTGCCTCCGGAGCTCCCAAAACAGGCCTGTCAAACTGCCTCGGAGTTCTTCGAGTGGCAGGTTTGCGAGTTGAACAGGGGCCTCAAAATAATTTGTGCCTCTTCCTGAAGGCCTGTTGCATGGTGCATTGGTTCATGTCTGGACATCAGGGGTTGTCGGGCCATTCTGTTGTTACGCAGCGGTGTCATGCATGAGGTTCGATGAAGGTCCTTGCGCGGGTCCGCGACGCTGAAGCTTTTCGGATTTCACAGAACAATCCATCCCCCACACCCCCGGCACACACGAAGAAGAAGACGGAGTGCTGGCAACAGCACAAAGCCAAAGCGATGGGGGGTGGCAGCGAAAACCTGCAGGGGAATGGTAAGGGGTGTTAAGCTTGTGCAGCTCTTATTGGCTTGATCGCCGCAGTAGGTAAGAATAAACAGCTCGGGAAAGTCACAAATGTCACAAGCAACGTCCGTGGGTGCTCGTGATTAGTATTGAGATCGAGGCCGAGAGCCTTAGGCCTGAAGAAATGTAGGAAGTGATAGCTGATAGGGGTTTTCCAAGTTGGACCTTCCAAGGCTTGGCAGGTGGCGATCCGCATGTTTCAGCTCCTCTGCTCCCAGCACACGCCGGACCTGGTCTCCTACAATGCTGCACCCAGGCATAGAAAGCTTTGTGTCCAATGCTGTGGCACCGGCACTCCAACCCGAAACGGTTTGAGCCACGATTGAGAGCCGCCAGAGGCCCCTTGAGTTGCAACAGACCACGTGCCTGCTGGTTGAGTGCAGGATTATTTGCCGCGATTCCAGTTCCTGAAATTGTAAAACTCAGGTCATAGCCTCTTTGGTGCCTTCTGGGAACTGGCGTCTGGCGTTGGCATTGGCCGGAGAGCTCCCACAACGACGGCTTCGTGCCAACAGGTCGGGCAGACGCAGGGCAGACGATGCGATTGGTTGCGGCTTTGGATGTGAACTGAGTTGAAAACGTGGCTTTGGCCCCAAGGATCACCTACAGCTCCTTGGCGAGTGTATGTGGAGGAATTCATCAATGGCAGATCGCTCTGACACTCCTGGAGCAGCTCACGGCCGAGCTTCGGGAAGGCAAACGCAGCTCTCGCCGAGCCTGCTCAGATTGAGAAATTACTGCCAAGAAGCAGAAGCTTTCTTAGTGCCAAGTGCAACATTACGACTTCTGACCAAAGGCACTGTACGCCATGCGCCAAACTCGTCAAACCTCAGCTTTTCGAAGAGTGCCGGCGAGGCGACAAGGACTCGGCGCTCGGCGATGTGGTACTTTGCAGCAGTGCTCCCCGGCTGCAGCTCGAGAGCGCGCTTGGTGTGTGTCGCTCTACCCGCTTGGCAGGCCCTCTCGGCATGCGAGCTAGCAGGCCGATCCCACTATCCTCGAGCTCATACAGGTTTCTGCTTCTGCCCTTCTGCCAGGGCGACGCGGGCCGCTACTGCCCATGCTGACCAGCTTGAGCCGGCTGGGTCGAGGGCTGCTCGCGGAAAATGGAAGTGCCAGCTGCCAGCTGTTGCGCAATTCTGCCGCCATCCAGCCGTGCCTTCTGCAGCCATTTCATAGGTTTTAACCAACGGTGAGGTGAGATCCTCCCAGACGGGAGCTCCCCACTGACGGTTCGGCAAGCCATGGGGGCTTGCTGCCAGTCCTCCCGGGCAACTTGCTCAAGATCCAGAGCAACCCCAATGCTTGATTTTTCTTCGGCTGCCCGCAGCATAGGCCCAACCTTGCCTCAGTGCTGACAAGGCTGCTGAGGAGGATGACCAGGGCTTGCACCAGCAGCTGACAGACATGTGGGTCGTGAGCCTCTGCTGCCTAAGCTCGAATGTCGCAGAAGCATGTGGTCTTCTCCACAATGTGGTTTGCGTGTGTTCTGTGGTTTAGTTTGAGCCCACATGAACGTGGGTATGGTGTCTGCAGGGAGCATCGTGTGTCAGGTGCCAGTCCCTGCAGTAGTGGGCCAAAGCTCTTCTTCCTGCTGGTGCAATTGCCTGCTGCTTTTGCAAGGAAGGTGAGCGATGTGCTCCAGATGCGCGGAGTTCCGAAATGTCGGGCAGTCAGTCAGTGCGTGTGCTGCATGCAGGCATCAAAGCACCGAAACATGTGCTTTTTGACCAGGTCACCAGGAGCTCCGGCAATCCAACTTGTTGGTCAAGCACACGCCCAGCTTCTTGACCATCTTTGCCAATGCCCCAGCAAGGTTTAACATAGATGCGCTGCCGCAGCAGAGAGGACTTTGACATGTGGGAATACCATGTGTGTCAGTTTCAAAACCGATTTCTGAAAGAAGTGAAGGTGCAGACAGCTCGCTAGACTCAGCTTCGAAAGCTCAGCAAGCCGGAGTGTGAAGAATTGCCAGACGATGCGAGAGCAGGTCGTCCGGGCATACTGGAAGCTGTTATGCTTGTTACAGCTGCAGCCGCAGACGGAGCAGAAGCGTGCTGCCGAAACATGCGGTAAAAGGAACAGATTTGTATTGGGCAACTGCTGAAACATGCAAAACAGGCGTAAGTTTGTATTGGATTATTGGACAGCCGTATTGCCAAGATGCGATCGAGGTGTCACATCAGTGGTTGGGCAGTGCCTGGATTTGCATCGAGTCGAGTGACTGTTAGCTGTTGTGGTGGGCCTTGCATTTGCATCTGGCAGCTGTGACTGTGGCGCCGAGATGATCATCCGGATTGTCGTGGGATGCAGTTTCGCATCTTCCAGAAGGCCTTGAAGAACGTGCTCGATGGCAGCATCAAGCTGGAGTTGGATGCTCGGCTTGAATAATCGGCTACTGCCACACTGTGACCACTGTGATCACGGCAAGGGTCCAAGAACTTCTCGAGTCTGTGCAGTTTTTGAATCTGCTTCCTTTGCCACGGGCTGGGCAAAGATGGACTCCGTAAAGCATGAGCTGTGGCTGCTGTCGGATCAATCCTCAAAACTAGACCAACCCGAAGGACGTGTGCAACGGCGTATATTATTGATTGAGTTCTTCACACCTCGCCCGGGGCATTCAGAAAATCGCAGAAACATCTGAGATAATTATAGCTGTTGTTGGCGTGTGGCCGCACAGCGGTAGGTTTTGCCTGTGACTTCCTGGCCCCCTCATTCTTTCTCGAGCTTGTGTGAATAACACACTGAGGATGCAACTGCGCAGTTCTTCGGCCACATGAAGACTCTTTCGGCCCAGTACCGCAAGAAGTTGAAGGATGCCGCACGTCTTGCCCAGATGTCGCAGAACGAAAGGTTATCTAGATGGACAGATCAGGCTCTCTGGTTGATTCTGCATACTCAGGCATACCTGTGGATGGATTGGTTTTGCGTCCCGCAGATACAACATGAGACTGACACTGCAGATCGTGAGCGAGTTCGAGAGGAAGCAGGTTGCTGGGTTTGATTCTAGTCTGAACTTTCTTGTCGCTCGTTTCTCTCGAGACAGGCCGCTGCATCCGCTCCATCCCAGCCTACGTGGAAGCATGTCAGAAGCTTGACCGCACCGGCGCAGCGCACACCGTCCGTTTCCTCCTCGGTCCCTTTCCCTTCTCTCCTCTCGCATTTTTCTCGGTGTCTCGTTCTCTGCCCCCGTAACCCTTCCCGTTCCTCCCTTCTTTCTTCTTCTCTCTGTTTCTTCTTTCCCGTAATCTTGACGTTTTTTTCTCTCTGCGCTTGCAAGGGTTGCTGACATGTCCCGGCCGCATTGGCTCCTTGAGGATCTTCGCCGCCGTGGTGCCAAAGCTAATGCACCAAGACACGCAGGAGTTTTGCAGCTACTTCACTTGGCTGAACCTCGGTGATTTTTGACCTTGCATTCAACAGCTTGAAGTCTGAAGCCACGACTACATTTACTTGAACAAACCGCGTCAAGGAACCGGGGATGGTGCCGTGCAGAGATGTGGTGCAAGCTCCTTTCGGACAGGTCCGACATACCCATCGTAGTTGCTTGGCTGGGACCGCTACAGTTGTCTTCCGCTGGCAAGAGGTCGTCCGGGGCCGTGGATAGCTCAGGTGATCACCTCAACCGACCAGGTGGAATTTGCAATGCCGATGCAGTGGCTCAAGTCCCCAGTCCATAAGGCCGGGTCCCAGTGAGCCCTTCGGACTTTGAGGGCGAAGACCTCTTGCGTCCGGGGTCGCAGGGCATCTTCTCATTGGACAACGATCGTGTGGCACCTTGGCTGCCGTACCCTCGTACTTCGTTTCCATGTTCGATTCCAGCCCAGGCTGTGTGCAAGTTCATCCAGGAGGCCCTGGATTTCAAGCTGGCAAGGCTGTCGAGGCAGAAGAGCTTGGACTCTTGGCCAGTCGCACCCCGCACTTGTGTTTAGTCCCCATGGCTTTTTTGCAGCCGCGTGTAGCCCTGTGAAAACTCTCGCTGCCCAGGACATCTACCGCTATTTCGCTGCAAGATATACAGATTTCCTCGGCTTGCCCAAGAAGCGAAGGAGTCGTGCCACAGCAGATTTGTAGGCTCATTCACGTCCTGTTACAGCACTACAACATATCGATACGAATCAACAGCACCGCAATCAACTAAGTCTTCCGTGGCCGGGTCTCGCTTGTTATGGTTCCAGACAAACCGCCTGGCAACCTCAACGATTTGCCCTGGCGTGCAAACGGCTGTGCCTGTGAGAGGGAGCCTGTGTCGCGGCGTCGATACAATCACCAAGAGGGGTCGACATTCCACCAGCCTCCACCTGCTTCTCTGGCATCTGTACTGGATTCCGATGGGTTTGCCAGTCGAACTCTTCGCCTCCAGTGGCAAAAGACGCGGGCTTCTTGTGAATGCTCTGGATTTGTTTCTTGCGGTCAGGAGTCTTCCCGAGTTTCTGAGCTACTTCAACTTTCCATCCATGGAGGCACGGCTCTTGCAAGCTTGGTCAGCCGGGTATTGGAAGCGACAGCAGGGTAGGTGTGCTACCTGCTGTAAGCTCAGCCAGCTATTTGCTGTAGTAAGCCTGCGGAAGCTTTGTGAGGCTGCGGTGAAGCAGAAGAAAGGCATGGGAGTGCCTCGGTTACACGGGCAGTGTGAAACTTCGGCCGGCGGGTGTAGGTCGAAAAACTTGATGCTCGATGCCTGCATGTCCTGTGACGTCTGCTCCTGATCGTTCCGTCTCCGACACTGACGAAGCCTTACTCATCCTTACTCGACGCGAATGCGCGCTTGATACCCTTGACATTGTGCGGCAGAGCTATCACGTGGAGGGCGGAGATCGTGAAAGCAATGCAAGTGTGGAGCTCGAAGGCCATGGCGTGTGCAGCGCTGAGCGGTGACGCGGGGTTGCTCCGGCAGCTGGCAGAGGAGAGGACATGCTTGTCGATTGCTGTCAGCTTTCGGGGTGCTTTGAGTGTCTGTGAGCCCCAAGCTAGAGCGGCCAGAGCAGCTAGAGCTAGAGTCGAGGCAGTGAAAAGAAGCGAGACCGGGTCTCTCGCGACTCGCGCTCAAGCTCAAGAAGCCTGCAGGCGAAAGCTCCGATGGACACAAAGCTGCCTGAGATCTCAGAGCTGGATGTGATGCCGGACAAGCTTGGGGCACTTGGGTCGTCTGCACCAGCCGCTCACCAGTCGAAAGAGGACACCGTCTTGCAGGAACCGTAGCGAAGTTGCTTCCCGCCAGGACTGGACGCCTCTACATCTCGCGGGCGTGCGGGACGACGAAGATGCCGAGGCGGTAGCGGCACTGTTGGAGTTGAGCATCTTGGCAAGTCCCAAGTTCCAGATCAAGGGAGGAGAGGCACCTGGCCCGGCCTCTTTTGAAAGGTCATGGTCTCCCGTATGTCTGCATATGTTTGCTGCAGAGCCGTATAGACGTAGATCCGGTGGCAGGAACAAGTGCGGTTTCTGCATCTAACACTCAGGAGCAGATCCCAACAAAGTGAACAAGTTGGGGCATCCAATTCTCGGGACTTGCGAGTCTTGCCTGCCCTTTACCAGCGCTGGTCCAGGAACACCGGACGAAGTATCTAAGTGTGCTGTTGGAGTCTCTACGCCTAGGAGAGCCCACGTGCAATCGAACTCCTCGCAGCTTCGTTGCATCTGGCTAACATGCTGTTTCAAGCGGGTGCTGCCAGTATACCGAAGACGATACATACCTCGTGTCTGTGTGGTGTGGTACGTTGTTAGTTTCAGGATCATACCGTGAAGTGTACTGTACCAACATCCTCTGCAGTGGTTCTGCGCGGAAAGCCGAACCCAAGCTAAGCTGTCGATTCTGTCGATGTACTTGCAGAATAAAGGCCCCGCACAGGTGAAGTACGCGGCTGACATCAATCAGATGAAGCCGCTGACTATGTGCACTCCTCTTACTCTGGCATCTCGGACTGAAGCATCATGAACCGAAGTGTTCGAAAGAAAGGGGTCGGTGAAAAAGCAAGGCATGCCTCCGCAGTCCCGAACCCGCTGTGATCTCAAAGCTCCTGGAGTTACGGGGCGACGTGAACTTGAGGAAAGGCCGGAGGTGAGCGAAAATACAGGGCTCTTTGGAAAGACGTCCGAGGCGGGGCTAGGCTGGTTCTTGGAGGTAATGGACGCATTTCTGATTGCATTGGACAGCGAGTTGCTGAACTCTGCTTGGAAAGAAGCAGTCTGTGTGGGGAAGCACCACGAAGGGCCAATCGAGATCAGGCTTGCAGGTGACTTCCTAAATACCACCAGCAGCCACAGTGCCCTGGTGTTTTCCCGTCAGTCCCGCCCGTTGCAAGGGTAGGAAGCTTCGCAAAGCAATTGCGGAGTGTGGGGTTTGCGACAGAGAATGCTCTCTTGTTGCCCTTCTGCCCTGTAGGTGGGATCGGCTTGACGCCGCTCCACTCCTTGGCCATCTACTCTCACGGAAATCCACACTCGCTGCATCTTGGACCTGTGCTACTGAGCTCCTGCTGACTCTTTCCGTGCGTGCTGCGCGCATGAGACCTGTCTGTGCCTGAGCTCAGGGAGGTGGCAGAGATGCTGATCGCCGCCAGGGCAGATCTCAATTGCAGGGCGGAGGCTGGATACCTTGTATCCGCCAAGTGTCAAACTCTCGGCTCCTGGTTCCAGGCTGGGCCGCTGTTTCGGTCCGTCGAGCTCGCTTGCCGGTTCATTATGCGCATTCGCAAGGACGGCTGAAGAGAGAGACTTGCAGCCAGGCCGAGGCCTAAAACCCGATAACAATGTCTCCCCAAAGAGGCCCTCCTTCAGCATTATTGCTTGCGACTCACTGCCTCTGGGGCTTGGGGTAGCATGTCTTTCTGCGTTTAGGGTGTGCTGGCTGTCACTTCTTTTCTGCGTGCTACCGATCGCCGACTTCCTCATGGTTAACTCACTCAGCATAGGTTCGCCATCATAGCGTTTCTGTTTCGATGATGCAGCACCAGCACGTTGCAGCACGGCGGGGGCACCCCAGTTTGTCAAGGTCGCCCTCCAGACTGAAAAGAGATAAACAACAAAGTCTCGAAGATGCGTCATAAAATGGCTCTGACAGCAGCCCCTGGAATTGGTGTGGGAAAGTCCGAAATAAATAGGATCCCGAACTGTCGAAGGGTAGTGCGTCATCCCTTCCAAACATGCGGAGCGAGCATGCCAGAGGCAACGACCAGCAAAGTCAGAGAGCCCCGGCGTAGTAGCACCAAGTCCGAGAACTACACACCAAAACACAAACACCGTGTTTCAACAACACCACCCCCCGCCCACGCAAACCTTCCCCGCGAACTGTAGGCGTTTCGGGACACCTGCACCTCGAGATTCATGCCAAATTGACTTTGAGTTGGTGTTCTTTCTGGCACTTGGCAGGAGCCTCCCCTCATCGTGAGAGTACTGGGGGAGGGGAGCACGTCACCGCTTGGCTATGCAGCATTGAGCCCCGGCCAATCAGGGAGCTGGGGTCCTTCACTACTAGCAGCAAAAGACTGCTTTCTGCAGCAGTTGCTTTCGACATCAAGGTAGGGGTTTGGTTCGTGCATCTGGATGGCAATCGAGGTTTGGAGGTGACGCTCTCTTGGACTATCTTCTGGATGAAGGCGCTGATCCACAGGCCGGCGCATGCCGTTGCCAAAGCGCAGACTCGATTTGGATATGGGTTGCTCCCAGCTCGCAGCTCCAAGGTCTGTAACCACAGAGGACTGACGCCGCTTGAGTTGTCCAGTTGCTTGGCTCAACGACGTACGAGGGAAGGCGTGGGGCTGGCCAACGTCTTCCTTGGAGTTTACTTGTCTATCGTCGCATTCACGTCGATGTCAATCTCATGCTGGCTCAGGGCACTCGGCCGTGTACACCGTCCTCTCCCACCGTACGAGCACCGGCTCTACAAGCTTGTCGCACAGTGGTCACATAGATGCAAAAGAGATGCCGGAGAAGGGAGAGAGTCAGGCTTCTAAAGTGAGGCCAATGTGGTGTATCAGCGACCCGCTCGCAGATTGTTAGGGGGTAGTAATGTCAAAGTGTAGCGCTTACGTGATGCTCACGCGAAGGCTCCATGCATGCAGCGTGTTTGCGAGATTTTGCGGGCGCTGCTTGTAGACGTCCCTAAATGTTAAATGATTTCTCAGCACACCCAGGTAGCACCGCGGCGTCTCCTCCCCTTTCGCCGCTTTCCCCACTTTCGCCGCGGTCGCCGACGTCACCGTCACCTCTTGGCCCGCTCTCCCCGACAGCAGAAGCTCCTTTTTCTGCACTGATAAAGAGAAGGTTGGCTTAAGGAGCATGACCAGATTCGATATCTCGGTTCCGAAGACCAAGAATCCAAGGGAAAGGGCCTTTGCCTTCACACGTGCTTCTGAAAACGAGCGTGAGGGTTGCAGTCAAAGTTCTGGAGACCTGCCGGGAAGGGACGGAGCCTTCTCCGTAGACTTTTGAACATAATGAAATCAGCTGATTGTTTGAGATTGCATGGAGGGAAGGCAGGGGCCTGCGGCAGAAGCTGAGACGAATCTGGTTGACTTGGTGTGCCCTCAGCTCTTCTCGTGGTGTGGCCATTCATTCTCTCAGTGCGAATCGCGAGCGCCGTTACCTTGACTTGGCAAGGTTCTGGACGGCGCTCCCGTCACCAGATTGTCGAGCAACGCTTCGTCGTTGAAGGAGCTGTCCCGCATGGAAGATTTATATGCCGTGTGTTGGCTGCACATTGGTCCATCTGCAGCTGTGCCTGAACATGACTTAACTTGACTCGCACCCTGTGCGAATGGGACAGCGCAGACTGAGTTTGGAACATGGAGCATTCCGTTGACCACCAGGTAATGGTTGACTCCGTGGCGTTGGAGAGGCCACCGGCACCGGCACCCGAGCCAGAAAGTTGCGATGGGGAACGCACCATCATCACTTCGCTCTAGGTCCTGCCAAAGGCAGGCTGGCCACCCGGGTCACCCGCCCTTCCATGAACTCAACCAAGGCCTCCGCGCATACTTGCGCTGCAGCCACCGGGGTACAAGTATTTTCAGAGATGAGGGCTGGCCCTGGGTGACGAAATCCAACCGTAACCGTCTTACCCGTGACGCTTGCAGATAGCAAGGAGTATCACATCTGTCGAAGCCGCGGCTTTCCGAAGGAAACCCGGGGCTCTGAGCCTTATGTGCTCGTTTAAGCCAGGCCCGAAGTGTAGAAACGGAGGTGCCGGGTGCAGTGGGTGCAGCTCTTTTCCAAATCCATGTTTCAAGCCCTTCGTGTTCTTGGCACGCTACATGTTCCGAAGGCTTTCATGTAAACCGTTGCATGCAGAGTTGATCCAAGAACATCAGAAGCTTTCTCGACAGGGTTCTGCTTGGTGCCGTTGAGTGGCCGAGCTCTGCTCATCACAAGGCAGAGGGGGCAGAACCCGCAGCGATTTAGAGCCAGGCTGGAGAAGCGGACATCCCGGGATACCTTTCGAGTTTGGAAGCTTAGCATCGCTCCCTGCCTGGCGCTGTTTCGAAAGAGACGTCTCGTGCAGACTAATTAGCAACGCCGTGTCAGACCTCCGGTTGCAGCAGCGGAGCTGCAGGGAGCTGACATTTGGTACCTTTGTGGTGAGTGGTTTTGTCATGGCCGGTGATGACCTGATCGCTTTGATCGACTTAGATGCGTGAGGCATCTCGGCGGCACGCTCGATGTGACGAAAAAGGGGTGACTCTGCGAGGCTGCTCTTCGCTTTGCATGATTTGTGCCCACCAGTTCTTTGATGATAGCCTACGCAGGTTCGCGAAATCAGGGCTGGAAGAGAAGGCCTTGCATTCTGTACTAATCTGTTGCAGTGCAGCCAGTATCACAGTAACAGGTGCCTGAGATCCTTTTGTCTCGAAACGCTTCGACTCCTCCGTGCTTTTGACTCCATGATCTGAATGTTGTTTTGTTCAGGTTTGTACTCGCTTCACTCCTGTGCCTTTGTCTTTACCTGTCTGTCTGACATTGGTGTTAGGACCAATTGTGCTTAGGTGAGATTCGCCTTCATGATGTACGACGAAGAGCAAGAAGGGTGCGGCGCTGGTGCTGGCAGGGGTGATTGCACAGTCGCTGAAGAAGCATCCATCGGCGACATCCAGGTCTGTGTCGCGCGAGGAGCTCACAGACCTCCTCCGTGCTTTGTCGCCCTACATGCGCAGCCGTGGTCATAGCTGCTTGCATTTGCGATGCTGAGATGGCCCGGGCTCCAAGCGAAATCAGAAGCGGCTTCAATGAGGTGCACACCGCGATGCGCACCTGGAGAGGCAAAGGTACAGTAGCAAGTGCAAAGCACGAAGAGTATATCAGCCTTCGCCTTTTGAGGATTTACGCCTTCAACAACTTGCACCCCAACTCGAGAGTTGCCTTCGACGAGATCATGGACACAGCGATGCGATGCCTCTGCTCGAAGAAGTAGACTCTGACCGAAAGTTTGCACGACCCCATCCCGGGACCCTGTAGCAGTCACTCTCGCAGCCTTTCGCTCAAGAGTGGGCAGAATTCACCAGCCAAGCCATAAAGAGTCCCAGCCCTCGGTCTTTTTGGAGTCTTCCGCCATGCCTGGTTGCTCGAGACTCAGCTCCAGGAGTCTTCTCTCCCAGCTCCTGAGTTCGCACTTTAAAGTCGTGCTGAGTCGTGCTGCTGAGCTGTTGGCGTTTTCCGCAAAACACTCGTTTCGCACCCCGCAGCTGTTGGCTTGGAGGGAGGTCCAAGCAAGGGATGACTTCCTCCAGACCTGCAGGCACCGGGCGCAAGAAGAGAGCAGTGGGAAAGGGGTGCTGAGAGCTTCTGCATGCGACTCTGTTACAGGCCGCTGAACGTCACTGAGGCAGCGGGCAGCGGGTATCAGGGAGACTGTGGGCCGGTAGAGCCGGAGTTCTGACAGGATGGGTGATCGAAGCCGAAGTCGCAGCCGCAGGAGGCGGCCGGAAGCGTCGTCATGTCGTGGCTCTACACCAAAACCATTTTCAGAGATCTCTTGCAAATTCTCGCCTCGCCAGGGACAGCCGAGAGCGCCGGGAGGAGCGCAAGGATAGCCGAAGGCCCCCAAAATTTGAAAACGACGTGCGAAAAGCTAAAGCCTCCCTGAGGCCAGCAGCTGACAGCATGTGTAAGTGGACTCAGGATGGCATATGATGCCATAGAGGCCATAGGTCTTGCGTCGAGATGGGATCTATGGACATGCATGACATGCATGACATGCAGACGTAGCCGTCCGTGCAAACAGGCTTACAAGTTGATTGATGCAGTGGATGGGTGCAGGATGGTGCAGGGGGTGATTGACGTTAGGATGGATATCTGCTTGCTTGCATGCACAGTGTGGCATAGGACATAGGAAGTACGCATGCCTGCGGAGGTAGGCAAGAACCAGTCTTCTCAATTGATCATCGTTGACCATCTCTACTACATCTTTACTTCCGAGCGTCTTTGCTTCCTACATAGTCGTCTCAAGTCTTCCCGCGAGGCGCGACGCCGGCAACCGAAGCCGCAGTCGAAGCGAGGCTCCTTCTCGAGCTGGCGGACTTTGGGAAATCAAAATGTGGCCGCAGGTCGAAGTTGCCCCACAGGACTCGAGGCATCATTGGCTCAAGCATCGAGTCCCCAGCAGAAGGAACACAAGTTGAATTCAGCAGGCTGACGACTTCTTGTTTAAGTTTTCTGCACACAGCAAAGGTTTTCATACATCAAATCGTCAAAGTCTCTGTCTCTGCCGCCCTGTGGGCATGGCGGACGTGCCAGACGGCAGTGCGCCAGAAGTGGTGGAGGAGCACGCCAAGGCTCCTGCATGGATGCAGACACATCTAGTCTAGTCGCGGGTTTCGAGATCGCAGGCAGCGCCATGATGCAATTGTCCGAAATGCCCGGCCGCCTGCAGGAAACCCTTCGTAGCAGGCTATGGCGCTCCTTCGGTCGAGCAATCCGCAGCAAGGAAATGAAGGACGGCAATTCACTGCAAGTGCTCTGACTGTAGCTACCGTACGCATTCAGATGATCCAGTTCTGGCAAGGCAAGCACGATCTTGACATCCTTCCTCCCCTGCCAGGAGGCGTGTGCCTTTTACGACGCCGTCCGCAGGGATGCTCGTCGATGTGATCCAAAGACTGCTTGGAGCCTACGGTTGATGACAGTTTCAGGCTTGTAGTGAACAGCATGTGACGGAATGAAATCCCAACCCTCCTAGTCTCCTACGACTCCAGTCTGGTCCGGACCCGTGGTACGAGAGTATGAACGAGCGGAGAAGTGGCAAGCTCTCAGGTTGTGGATGTTTGTGGAGGACATGGTGGTCTCGGGATGCTGTTCGTCGCTCACGGAATCGCAGGGCGTCTCGTGATCATCGATCAGTCCAAGCCACCTTCGCATGAGCTTCTGAGAAACCTGGCCTGACTTAGCTTTCATGAGCAAGCTGCGCCAGACGAGTCGGAGTTTTCATCAGCTCGGCTGAAATTGCAAGGAAGGCCCTTCAGCGACACGTTTCTGAGTTACTGCACTTTTTGGCGGGGAGAGTAGCTCAAAGCACCAACGTGCGAGGGAACCGTCGCTTTTCCAGTTTAACATCATATCTGGCCACAAACATGTGAGGGAACCGGCGTGCCGCACTTTCTCGTGTAAAGGCAGCTCAAACCACGAACATGCCGGGGAAGCGGTCCGGGTTCGCACGTTTCGGGGCTTGCTTTACTTCTCCCGTGTAAAGGGGTGTTGTCGGACGAGCCAAGCAGACTGCCTGATCTGGCCAGTCTTATGACGCAGGCGAAGTACTGTAGAGGGTACTCGATGCCAAATTTCTGGCACAGGCCTCAGTTACACTACAAGTTTCATAGACGAGAAATACATCATCGACTGCATGGATAGCTCAACGCGAAGATCATGCGGAGAAGCATCCGCCAGAACCGACGACACAAGACATCGAGCTGCTCTCACCCTCGCCCTCGCCCTCGTTATCGTCCTGTCACTGACCGGAGACTCCCAGGAGCAGCCTGGTCCGAGTATCTGGGGACCGCTTCTGTGTCCTATGATGCGAGGCCCTTGCGGGAGGCGGAGAAGCTGATGTAAAGGGCTGCCAAGATCTATGCACAGTACTTGTAGCGATTGAAACAAAAAGCTCGCTGCTCGTTTGTCTCATGAGAGCCTGCCTGGAGGCATTGCCTGAAGTCCTCCGCGCCTGTGAGGACAGCGTGTGCCTGGATCGCAGGAATGCAGCAGACATTCGTTTATCTGAGTCAGCGCTCAGCGCTTAGCATCCGGTTTGCACGCTGTCCACACACTGTTCGAGGCTGGTCGTCGCCTGTCATGCTTGTCAGCACTTGGCACGGGAGATTGTGGACTGCTGCCTGGCTCGCAAAGCCTCCTTTGCCGTCTGTCCCTGCTGCCCGAAAGATCCGGACGGAAGTATTCAAGCGGCAGCAACAGCAATGGGTGTGGACTTCAGTGCGGCCATGATCCTTGCAGAAATGGGTCGAGTCGCACCCCGCTGCCGCGTTGCGCTCCGGATGTTCGACTCTCAGATCTCACCGCACAACCGCATCCTCTTTGGCCGCCTCGGCCCGAGTGATGGCGACCGCGACGATCCGCCACGCGCTTCGGTACAGGCCAGGCCGAGGGCGCCGGGTTGGCAATGTTTGCCAGTGCAGGACCCTGGCATCGCAAGAACCGCGCAGGACGGCCAGGACGTCGAGCTCGAGACTCGCGGCGGTTACCCAAACGGTGCTGAGGAAAGGCTGCGACGTGCATATGTGGCTTTGCTCGAATACTTCGGAAAGGAATGCTCAGCTTTAAGCGTGCCTACTTGCTTCAATCTTCAAGGATGTTTAGACCACATGGTGCCTCAGGAAAGAGCGCATGCTCACTCACACGGGACAGCTGCATCCGGCAACATGGCTAGAAAGAGTGTTTTTGTTAGGCAGCAAGGTTACGTTCGTAGTGTGATGCAGCGTGCAGAGCTGCAGTTAGAGAAGGCGCTTGTCGTCTCTCACTCGCGTCGCATGGCACGAACACGAGCTTTGACATGCGGGAAGCACGCTTTGGACCGTTGCGTACTTGGACTATTTGTTTGTTAGGTGGTTCTGGCTGCCTCCACGTCGGGGTTCCGTAGCCGTGGTTTCTGAATTGGAAGACCTCATCGACAACTCCCAAAGACACTAGGTCTCATCTTGAAGCCGTGTCTGGGGGCTGTTGCCACATGGCCTCGAAGTTTTGCAGGACAGTCGTTAGTTGTTTCCTGACCAGACACCGCACATCATCGCTCACACGTATAAAACACTTTGCCCACATGTCGTGCCAAACTCGCGTGGAGATGGGGTTTAGCATTCATTATCGCGCCTTTTGTCACGTGGCCTGCCTTCCCGGAATGTGCTGGGCTTGACGTGCCTTTTCATACCTGTCATACCGTAACACACCTTCTGGTAACTGCCAGAATCGCCTCAGATTCCATGGACAAGCTGTTCACTGCATCTTAAAGCTGCAGCCTTCGCCAGATGTTGTGATTCTGAGACTCGCGGAGGTTGAATCAAGATGTAGCGTGCGGCATTTTGTTCTTTTGAGTCCAAATTCTATCCTCTGGTGTCTGTGTGTGTGTGTGTGATTCTGTACGCCGAGTCTCTACAGAAGCAGCTCTACATGTGATGTCTCTTACCTAGCGAGGCCCCTCGGGTCTCTCCGGGCTGCCCAGACGCCTCGAAAGCTGCCAGGTACAGCGGGCCTTTGGTCGACCGAGGAGAGCGTGTCGAAGCGCATCTCCGTGTGCCGGCAGAGACTTCGCTGCCGACGCACAGGAGGCTTTAGCATCGCTCCGTCGGGGCGACGACGAGCTACGCCGGAAGACGGATGCTGTGCCGGGCTCCCAGCGTCAGCCCTAGCCCTGATCTAGCAGTCCCACCATCTCTGATGCAAGAGGCATGAGCTGCTGGCGCCCCTGCGAGGCAGCGGGACATTGAGACCATCCAAAGCCTTCAGTCTTGAAACTGGGAACCTCAGATTCACCCCTGTGACTGCCGACCCGCAGTCTGCATACCTGTATGCGTGATGGTAGATTTCAGTGGAACGAGTTGACCTCACCCAAGCTGGATTATCCCGTCGTTTGCCTTTCCTCACCCACACCATCGCCAGTACATATGTCCGTGACAACTGCATGTGTGCAGGCGATGGCAGCTTGGCTGCTGCTTTGGACGCACTCGTTCCTAAGCATGATGGTGCTCGCTCCACCTTTTTTGAATAGTAAAACGCATCAGGCGTTGTTGCCCCTGTTTGTAAGTCAGCCCTGTGTCCCGGTGTCCGAGGAGGTGCGAGAGTCGCCTCGTCAGCACTTCCGAGCAAGGACCGCTGGTGCAAAACGTAACGGCAAGCGGAAGCCTCCCATTGCAAGTGCTGACAGCTGCTGCATGTGCCATGAATGCCGACAGGACCATCGTCGCAGTGCCTTGGAAGCAGCTCTAAGATACCTCATCCTGGGCATGGATTTCGAGGAACCGCGAAGCTAGAACCATTGGGACCATTTGAATTCGCCATGCGTGAACATCATCGCCAGGAATGAGCACAAGAAGGAAAGTTAGTGTTTGACATGCGGCACAGGTGGGAGCCAGCCCCGCGTCAGACGGCTCGGACGGTGCAGGTCTTTTCAGGCTCACGTCGCAGTCCAGCAGCTTGTGCTGTTGCCTTAGCCCGGAGAGATTTGTCAGGTACGTGCCAGATGGGAGCCGCGGCCTCACACTTGAGGCCAACATAAGCAAGGAGCCTGCCAGCAGACGCAGCAAGTGCGTGCGGATGCTCGGGACATGGCCAAGCGAGCTCTGGAAATCTCGTGAACTGGCTAATTCCATGAACGCCGGAGGAGACGTTGCTCACCCAGATCTCGGCCGCACTTCCAGCTGTGGCGGACCTGCTGGGAAGGCCTGGCTGGGGCCTCTACACAAGCCTGATACGCATGTGTCGGCTGTCCCAGTTCGGAGCGGCTGGGTGAGATGCTTCGCGGGCTGCGCTGTGTGCCTCGGGCCAGGGCTTCTAAGCTTCGGAGGGCTTTGAAGTTACGCATCAATTGGCCCTTCCGCCCCCCCACTGCCCTCAAGGAAGTTTTGTCCGGAACAGGGAGACCGGGTGTCGGCATGGAAGCAGTGTTCGTTCTAGTTGTGGTGGTCTGGAGCGGTTTGTACAGTATGATAGCAGTGCACTGGCAGTTGCAGAAAGTGGCAGTAGCAGTCGTCATGTAGTCGTCCTAGCAGTGATAAGCGTACGGCATACCACTCCGCTTGATGGTCTTGGCATCTGCGATTGGTTGTCTCCTTCCTAAAAGCCGATTGGCGATATCGGGCCGAACAAATGTTATTACTTGTTTGTTGATCCACCTCCCCCATATCGGGCCCCATATCTTATTCAGAGGTGAACATGTAATGCTTCGTAACTGCTAGCACTTCTTTCAGGTGAAATTTCACGGCACCCTCGGCGGAAAACCGCCTCAGCTGCTGGTTTGTTGCCCGGCGACATTCAGACTGGCTCCTTGAAAGTGCCACTTTGGATTGAAGACATCTTCCGGCTCTCACGGCTCCAACTTATTCGGGCCTTAACTCGTGAAAGCCAGGCTTGGTCTACGGCCCCGAAGCTGCTCCCGCGGAAGGATAGGGTTTGCCGGAAATCTAGAAGACTCAACGCCCAGCATCAACGTGCAGGATTTCTCCTCGAGGAGCTGCGCCTTCGCCACTTGGCTCGTGCCACGCGGAGCGCGTCGTTGGGGAGTCAGGGCTTGAGAGGGGATGGGACCATCGTCTGCAGCAGACTCCCATCATGTCTACAGACACGGGCCTTGGCACGGGACACTTCTTTTGCCACCTTGCTCCAATATTAGCCAGAGCAGATGCCGCATCATCACGGAAAGCGGCGTGAGGTCTGGAGGAGTCACTCTGCGCAGCGGGACACGCGACTGAGGTGGTCCGTTCATGTTGCAATTGCATGGGTTTTCTGTCCAAGTAGCTAACGAGGCCAGAGCTGCGAATGTGGGAGAGTCGGGGGGGCAAGCTGGGTATGTCGCTTTTCGATTTTCACACGCCCTTCTTGTCGCTCGGGGCCCGTGGATCACCCTCCCCAGGTGCCACACTTGGGCTGACAAAACGAGCAGTTCCATTCATTTCGTCGGAGTTCCACCGCGATGCGGCAATGGACGAAGAGTGGTAGCAGATCCAAAGTTATGTTCTCGAATGCAAACAGAGCTCAGCCCAAAGCAAGGTCGTCGGAGGTTTCCCAACAATGTGTCGCGTTCCTGCAGTTCCGATCAAGAAGGAGCTGGTATCTATTTTGTAGTCTCGTGAGAACAAGAAACCAGCATGACGAGCCTTTCTTCGCATTTCGGACTGACGGCCCGGCCACATGAGAGCACACAAAAGACCTCAGCAAATCGCCCTAACAAATCGCTCCACGAGTCGAGTCATGGCAGGTTGTCACAATGGCATCCGCAAAGGGCACAACGCGATGCTGTCCGGAAGGTGGGACGGTCTTCGGTATGCCGTGTGGGTACCGCCGTGTGACCGTGGGAAGATGCGTGTATATAATGCGGAAGACCAGAGTCAGTGCAGCTCGAACGGCCGAGCGAACTCTGTCAGGCCGTGACTTTGTGGATGAACTTCTGGAGATTCCAGGTCGAGGGCCTCTGAGCATCCTGGCGCAAATCCACGCATGGATGGAAATTTGGTCGAAGTTATCCTCAGCCCGACAGCTTGAGAGCAAGCTGCTTTCCCAAGGCTATCGCCAGCCTTTCGGACAGTTCTCGAACCCGAACCCGCACATAGCACCAGCCCCAGGAATGTCGCAACATGTTGGCGGGATAGCAGGTCGTTTCGAGACGAAGTTTGGAGAGTTTGCCAAAGTGTTGCAGCCAATTGCCGGCAGCTTTCTCAGTCCTTTGTTGAACCCTGACAGTATCAGGCGATTGCCACTGCCGACTGGCTTTCTGAAATTGTCCAGCACGAACTTGGTGGCACGACGGAGTCTTGCCTGTGTGTGGTTGCTGAAGAGTGAGTCAGGGCTCAGCGGCGGCGTCACTTCCGGTTTCTGGCCGCAGGATTTGTTGGAGCTGTACTGTGGTGCCGGGAGTCATACGCTGGTGCTGGCACCCCTTTTCCGGCACGTCTTGGCAGTTGAGAGCCTTGCTTGCAAGCGACGTTTGCGCAGGTTTGGGGGGGGGGCGGGCTTGGTACATGTCCCCGCCAGAAGCCCCAAGCCGGAAGCTTGTCGGGACTTTCCGGGGCCAGATGCCCCCCAGAAGTGTTTGTCAGGTGTTGGGGGAGCGGGCGAGCGAGCCGGGCATAGGGAGGGTGCAGGCCATGTCGCCACGATTTGCCGAGTGCTCGTGCGTCTCCACAGGATTAACCGACACCTTGTTGCTGCAGCAAAGCCGCTTGGGTGGAAAGTCATGCCACGTTGGGATTCATGAAGACACCCCGGATGCTGTCATTTAATCGGTGTTGCCGCTGTCGGTGCCGAGGCACAACGTGACGTCGAATGGCCTGGAGAATGTAACCGTCATGAGAGCGCCGTCCGAAGACTTCGGTCAGCAAAGCCTTGTTTGCTCTTCGCCTTTCCGGACGAAGCCGTGGTCTGCCACAGTACCAAGGACTTTTGCAGGCGGGTGCTCCGTCGCCGCGGCTATGAGCTGCGCAGTGAACATGCTCCGCTGCTTGTCCAAAGCGGAGGGGGGAGGCGTCGAGTCCCTGCGGCCTTTCACAACTGGTAGCAGTGGCTAGATGGCATGGCTCCTGATAACCACAAGGCCTCTTCAGCTTCGCTTTGGATGCACTGCTGCTTGACTCATTCTGGGCAGACGGACAAACCTAGAAGGTCTTGAGGTCAACGGTAGTTGTGGTTGGGCACATGAAACAGGCTTTCACGAAGAGGGTTTGGCAACGTCAGGCACCGAGGTGCTTCTGCCTGCCCCGAAGTCGACACTCAACCCACGTGAAAAAAGCAAGTTGGAGCAGACCCGTAGGGATCTGTGGGACTAGTAGCTTCCATCCCGAACATCCCGCGGTTCGCAGTGTGTGAGGTCGTGGACCCCCCCAGAGCCGGTTTGGACTCGGTCACCCTGGAGGCGGTAGCAGGCAGATCGGGACACTTTCATGGAGTCTTGGTATTGTGTGCTGTGCTGACTCGGGTGACACCAGAGGGATGGGTATGACACCGTGTCGTGCGTCGCATGCTGCACAGTGGCATTGTCCGCCAGGCTATGACCATGTCCTTTACGTCTCCTGCAATCCACAAGCACTGCGATCCAACCTCGATGCTTGTCTTGAGTGGAAAGTCCTTTCTGCAATGCTTGTGCGATCTGCGATCAAAATCATGCAGTGATCTCAGGAAGTGCTGTTGAACACCCACGATGTTTGTCGACTGGTGTTGCTTGACCACTTTCCCTGCTCAGCGCATGTCGAGATGGCAGTGCACCTCAGAAAGCGATCCAACGCAGCGGAGTCGTAAGTCCTAGCTTGCTCTTCGTTTGGATTGGGCAGACGGCGATGAGATGATCCTGGCTCTGCAGACTGGCTAGTTTGCAACGCCTGTGTCAAAGCATGGTTGCGAAGGACGGACGCCTGTCACAGGAATAGGATGCGTGGTGCATTGCGGACATTCATCAGCCCAGATCGCGGGCCGATCAAGACAACGACCACCATCTCGCTGTCGTTTGGTCTGGCAATTTGGAAAGACGACGGCAAAACATCTCGCCAGTTTTGGGCAAGTCTGCTTCGAAGGGATCGGATAGGCTTGTCTTTGCAGAAAATCTGCAGCAACGGTGCTGGGAATCGCAGATGTTGGGTGCAGGCCAGCTCAAGCGGTTGAGAAGCAGGTGGTGCTGCCGCGGAGCACCATGAAGCTGGCTGAGGTCTGAGGTCTTTGGCTGCATGTGCTTTTCGCCACACCTGGTCGTGAAGCCGGTCACAAGACACACGATGGTCCACCAGGAGGTTTGTACTGCTCCTTTCGGCAACTTGGAGCCTAGTGCAGCAAACGTGCTCCACCTGGAGACTTTCAAACGCCGAGAAGTGGAAGTACGGCTGTTTCGCAGAGTAGCCATGACAAAAGCCTCCGGGGTGGTCTTTTGCATGCTGTTGCACTTGCTTAGGGTCTTTCTGGGTTCAGCTGCTTTCAGCATGTCTTTCTGCCACAATCCACTTACAGATGGTGCAGACGTATGGCCTGTGGTCACAGCCTGCAGCTAATCCCAAACCCTGCTGTTTTCAGGCCGCTAGAGAAAAGAAGCCCGAAGACTATGGAGCGTCTCGGCTGGAATCAGCCTGGGGCTCCCTGGGTACTCCTTCTATGCCTGCCCATGCTTGCCCAGTTGCCGGTTCGTTGAATCATGTGAGACTACTACTGTACAGAATGCAGCGACGTATGTAGTGATTATGGCATTACTTTGCCATGCAAGTTTCAGAACGACAGGTAATGAGACAACCAATGCTGAAAGTTCAGCAAAACGCATTGAGAAGGGTATAGGATTGTACCGCATCAGACGAAGCACCAGAGAATACGCCTCGCTGCGGTTTGATACTCTATGAAGCATAGCAGCAAACGGTCGCACATCTAAATGCTGTACAATGAGTCCTGGCTTCGTATCGCCTGAGACACGGTTCAAGCGCAGCGCATCGCCGGCCAGTTAGATCCACGAGTTTCTTTCGAATCACTTGCACTTACTCCGCCTGGTCATCCGGAAGAGATAGTTCACTGTGCCCCGCGAGCTGCACATGCCCCCGTTGCCGCTGGAACAAGCAACCGAAATCCCTCACTGTCGTGTCTTGCCTCACTTGTCCCCCGTCGCGACAGGCTGAAGTTAGGCACGTGGCCATATCAGCCCTTTCCACTGCGGTGCATGAAGCACTTGCAGGACCTACTATAAGAGTTTATATCGGTTGCTGGCCGTCGCTGCCTCGCAAACTGGGATTCCCAGGAAAGGCTCAACAATTATCGATGTTAACGTTGACAGTCCTTTTTGGACAATGGCACCTTTCACATCGAGGTAACCCGCCATCAGCACCAACATTTGACCAATGGGCTTGAATCTTTTATCACCAGTGTTATGGGGGTAGGCTTTCTTTAATTCGAGCTTTTGGAGGTTTTATTTCCTCAAGCGTGCCCCATAATCCACCAAAATGTTGTCCCCAAGCCTAAGCCCGAAACGTTGTCCAAGTTGCCAACCTGGTCGGCTGCACCGTGCAGTCGCCGCTGTCACAAGTTTACGAAGATGTACTTATGCTCTTGGAAACTCGATCTGCGGCAAGCCCCAAGACCCCCCGCCCATTTGAGTTTAATGGGTGGGCAGGCCTTCAAGCAGTCTAAGTGGCTAAAATCGATTTGCACAAGTTTGCACGCTGACACCGTTGGAACATGCAATTTGTATAGTTGAACCGCTGATCGCAACAGAAAGTTCATCCAGATTCAATGAATTACCATGCATTCCCAACATATTAACTGATAGAATCCAATAGACCACTGCTTCGGCCATGTGCATCCTCGTTAGCAAACTTGTGCGCTCAGGTAGACACCTTGAAAATCACAGATGACGATGCAGCTTTTATCCTTGGTAAGGGTGGCAAGACCAAGGAAAAGACGCTGGGCACTGTTGATTTTCGTGTTGCCATACGGGTGGTTGTCAAAATGAGGGTCCCATTTTGAGTCCCTATTATAATACGGCACCTTTTATTTAGGGTAATCAAGAAGGGACCATGATTTTGACAACCATCCACATGTTGATGTTTGGGCTCAAGCTCTCGAAGATGCTCTGTGCTCCTAGTGAGAAGCCTTCGACACCTCTTGCTTTCTTGATGTCCCAGGATCGCCCGCGTATCGGGTGCCGACATTGAGCTTTTCGAGAGAGATCTTATACTGGCCACTTGGTGTGAAGCAACTGCTGCGAAGAATCAGAGGCTGGAATGCTTGACAAATCTAGCAGAAACCTGCCGGACCAACTCACACGTTGTGAACGGCTCGTTATCTTGCCTTGCGAATGGCATAATCCAGCATCGGGTTGGCCTCGACAGTACGTTCAAGACACAGTCCCAAGTTGCCGCGACTGGAAGGTTTTGAACTCGGTGGTTCTACGAACCAGTTGGAATCTATGTTCTCATCAGCTCCCGTCATAATGCTATAATCTCGTCGCCTATGGCATGCCGATTGAAGTTGTGGCGTAAGGGTGCATCCCAACTTCCCTGCAGCTTGCAACCCTGTGGCTGTCTCTGAGGAGATCCGGGGATCGAAGGTTCAGCGGCGCCGGGCGAAGAAGTACTGCCGCATGTCGCAAAGCTTCGCCAAGCTCCGCAAAGTCATGCGTTGGCTTGGGAGGGAAGCAGTGAAACGAGCGGCGTGCGAAGCCCCATTCCTGAGCATGCCATGGAGGCAGCAGTTGTAGCGGACGGTGCGCATCCCAAGGTGAGGGAGTCATGGCGCAGAGAACTGGACCTGTGAACATCACCGAAGAGTGACTTGGACGATGTCAGGCTTGCCGATTTGAGGTTTAGGTCGCAGGCCCTCCGATTCAATGTAAGAGCAGTTTTTTTCGACTGGAAGTGCAAAACCGAAATCCGTTGAACGTGTCGGCATCGAAGGATTGCCAGCACAAATGTCTTCTGAGGGCCAATTCTGAATGCCACAGTCCAGCATACCATCATTATCATCACCTCGGGCTCGCAGACCCTTGCGGTGCGATCGAAGATTTCTCTGATCTGCTTTCGAGGAGGCATACTTCCATGCACAGGCCTCTAGCTCTCTCCAGAGAGTCGCAGAGATATGCAGACACTCAGGTATAATGATGACGACTTGACCATGCTCTTGGTTCCACAAGAGACAGCTGCTTGACTGTGTGTTACTTTTCCGGCGTGCTTTGGTTTCTCAGCTAGGATTAAGCAGTAGCCTGCAAAGCCCGCCCGCCACCCTACTGCTCTGCCCAAAGTGAGCATTCTGGCCTGCAAGCCGTCTGTCAAGGTCGGTTTCGTTACGGGTCGAGGAGGCAATTTTCTGCGCACTATCGAAGAGGAGCCGCTTGGCAGATTGGCGAGTCTGCGCATTTCTGCGCCATATCATTCTTTGTTGCACTGGAGGTGGGGCACCCTCATGTTCTTCTGCGAAGTGGGCTCGGGCCGGCGGGACAAGGACTCGGACGAATCGGCTTTTCTCCAGAAGCTCAAGGTTGAAGTCTTAAAGCTTTGACACCAATTTGTGGCCATAGTCATCCGCTCATTCATACAGGTGCATGCATACGTACGTACACGAATGCGCATCCCCAGGTCAAGAACGGCTGTGAGTCATTTTGGCTTAAGACGTTTTCAGACACGAGTCTCTGCAATTTTCTCGCTGCTGCTGCCATGCCGACCGTGCAGTCACGCTTCGCAGCAGCTGGCCTTGTCGTCGGCCTTGCCGCCTCTGCTAGCACTTTCGTCGCACCTTCTGCTGGCCGCTCAGGGAGCCAGCTGAGGAAAAGTGCGGCCTCAACGGCTCCTGCTCGTACATCCGTTGCTCAGCAGAGGACTGGGGACGGCTTGGCTACACTCGCGGTTCTGGGCGCCGGCTTGGCCTCCGTGCGTGGATCCCGTACGCAGGTCAACGCTGCAGCTGCCGTCGAGGCTCCTGAGCCACCACTCTTCCAGCCTTCCGAGCAGTTCGGTGCCGCCGAACCTCTTGGATTCTTTGATCCGCTCGGGTTTACCAAGGTGGGCGACGAGAAGGGCTTCAGGAAGCTGCGTGTCTCCGAGATCAAACATGGTCGAGTAGCGATGATGGCTTCGATTGGACTGGTCGCACAGCATTTCGTCAAGTTCCCCTTCTTCGGGAATGCTCCCGCTGGCTTCTCCATCATGGACAAGGGCGAGGGCGTGCTAGGCTTCTTCGGCATCTTTCTGGCTTGCGCCCCACTGGAGCTGTGGTGGAGGGAGAACCCTGAGAAGGAGGGGTTTTCATTTTATTTGTTGATCTTTGTGGTGTCATTTTGTTGATCCTAATGTCCTTTTTGTGATCCGTGTAGGAGCCTGGAAATTACGGCGATCCGTTCGGCGTGAACATGTACAACGACGAGATGAGGATGAAGGAGCTCAACAACGGGCGCATGGCCATGATCTCGGTTCTCGGAATCTTCGCCGCAGAGATGGCCACCGGCAAAGACGCCATTCAGCAGTTCGGGCTTTCCGCCATCGGCGGTGCCCGTGTCTCCACTTCCTCCAGCCGCTTTGCAGGATCCACCTCTTCCAGAGTCGTGGCTCAGCAGCGCGTGGTGCGAAGGGCTGAGGCCGTGATTCAGGAAGATGCGCCGCCACTCTTCCAGCCTTCCGAGCAGTTCGGTGCCGCCGAACCTCTTGGATTCTTTGATCCGCTCGGGTTTACCAAGGTGGGCGACGAGAAGGGCTTCAGGAAGCTGCGTGTCTCCGAGATCAAACATGGTCGAGTAGCGATGATGGCTTCGATTGGACTGGTCGCACAGCATTTCGTCAAGTTCCCCTTCTTCGAGAATGCTCCCGCTGGCTTCTCCATCATGGACAAGGGCGAGGGCGTGCTAGGCTTCTTCGGCATCTTTCTGGCTTGCGCCCCACTGGAGCTGTGGTGGAGGGAGAACCCTGAGAAGGAGGGGTTTTCATTTTATTTGTTGATCTTTGTGGTGTCATTTTGTTGATCCTAATGTCCTTTATGTGATCCGTGTAGGAGCCTGGAAATTACGGCGATCCGTTCGGCGTGAACATGTACAACGACGAGATGAGGATGAAGGAGCTCAACAACGGGCGCATGGCCATGATCTCGGTTCTCGGAATCTTCGCCGCAGAGATGGCCACCGGCAAAGACGCCATTCAGCAGTTCGGGCTTTCCGCCATCGGCGGTGCCCGTGTCTCCACTTCCTCCAGCCGCTTTGCAGGATCCACCTCTTCCAGAGTCGTGGCTCAGCAGCGCGTGGTGCGAAGGGCTGAGGCCGTGATTCAGGAAGATGCGCCGCCACTCTTCCAGCCTTCCGAGCAGTTCGGTGCCGCCGAACCTCTTGGATTCTTTGATCCGCTCGGGTTTACCAAGGTGGGCGACGAGAAGGGCTTCAGGAAGCTGCGTGTCTCCGAGATCAAACATGGTCGAGTAGCGATGATGGCTTCGATTGGACTGGTCGCACAGCATTTCGTCAAGTTCCCCTTCTTCGAGAATGCTCCCGCTGGCTTCTCCATCATGGACAAGGGCGAGGGCGTGCTAGGCTTCTTCGGCATCTTTCTGGCTTGCGCCCCACTGGAGCTGTGGTGGAGGGAGAACCCTGAGAAGGAGGGGTTTTCATTTTATTTGTTGATCTTTGTGGTGTCATTTTGTTGATCCTAATGTCCTTTTTGTGATCCGTGTAGGAGCCTGGAAATTACGGCGATCCGTTCGGCGTGAACATGTACAACGACGAGATGAGGATGAAGGAGCTCAACAACGGGCGCATGGCCATGATCTCGGTTCTCGGAATCTTCGCCGCAGAGATGGCCACCGGCAAGGACGCCATTCAGCAATTTGGATTTTAGACTCCAACTTGTTCTGCCAAGCCGTTTCCCGAAGGCGCATGAGCGTAGTTTCAACAGCCCTTTTGTCTTTCGGTCCTTGCGGAAAGCAAGTTGACCCCACAGTTCCGGATTGTCGATTCGCGCCGTGCATTTCTGGCGCCCCTCGTTTCCAAATCCGTTTCCTATAGATCGTGGACCAGCTCCAGATGATGTCAAACCAGCTTTGTGCCGACCGACGCAGCAACAAAAATCAGTGTGGCTGGCGAGCTGTTGGACGCATGAAGCCAGTTGCGGGGAATTTTCTAGCCCGAGTGTGAGAGTCTAGTTGTGCACTCGCTGGCGGTCATTCGCACGATGGCTTCTACTACTACATGCTGCATATTAACACTAAATCTATACCGGTGATCCGCGACTCTCTGAGCTGCTTCGGAGGGCCCGAGCGTCGTCGGAGCTCTTGCCGCGGTGGAATGTCTGAATGCAGACTGCCATGCGAGGACTACGAGAAGCTCGCCATCTTCGGTGACATTCGCGGCCGGCGCGGCGCAGAGCTCAAGGCCGTTGAGGTTAAGTAGGATCCGGGGACGCAGCGCAACTGAAGCGACTGCAGAGCCTTCGTTCCGAAATCGACGCGTCTCATGCAGGTCTTGAGTGCCATTGAGACGAAGAGTCCAGGCAGGGGAAGTCTTGAGGCCTGGGAGTCTGAATTTTTGCATCCGAGTCTCTCTCAGGCTACCTCGGCAAGATTAAGCATGAGGTCATCGACCGTGACAAAGGCAAGGATCCGGAAGGCCGCCAAGAGCGCAAAGTTCCAGGCAGCACATCACAACGTTTTTGCTTCCTCCCAGCTTTCTCACAGGCACATGGTCCACAGACACCATGACCTTCCAGGCACACCCTGGTTGAGTTTCACCCGGTGAACTGCACAGTGGAACCTGGTTCTTCGCAAGCTTTTCGGAGGATGACGAGCTGTCGTATGCCCTGGGCAAGCAGGGTGGCACCCGCAAGAAGCTTGAGCGAGCGTCAGGACCCGCTTGCCTTCCTAGCCCAACACCCTCATATATATATATATATATATATATATATATACAAATATAAACAGGGAACTTTGGAGCCTTAACCGTCTCTGTGTACTCTTGCTGAAACCCACGCTTGATCATGGCATCGTTCCTTGGCTGTTGAGGGAACTCCACCGCGTGTTTAGCGCCTATGGTTTTGCGGCGTAGGGTGTGTGAAACGGTCTTCTTACTTTCTGCTTTGCAGTAGAGTGTCTGCCATCACACTTGTTTGTTGCAGGATGCATTGTGCAGCTGCTTGGCTGTCGGTGTTTGACTTTCCAGGGTTCCTTCCTTCATGTTGCTGCAAACGTCATGTAAGAGCTGCCGTGTCTGTTCCTGTCGTTCAGAATCCATGTGCAAGAGTTGCAGTAGACGAAGATCCTACCTCTGTTTTTGCAATTGCTTAAGGTACGTTGGGCATACTTGCCTCTTCTCTGGAACGCGCGCTGAGCGCCGCCGAGCCAAAGACTACATGAAGTCACTCGGACAGATACCTCAGCTGCTGTCAGCCGCCGACGCCTTCCCGGCTGCGGCGCGTTTTCAGGCTCGTTTCAGGCATAGGTAATGTGGGGGTGATCAGCCTGTCACTGTGACTCGAACTTCAACAACCGCTACAGATAGTCCTTTCATGGCCTCTCGTCCCCTCGACTAGCGGACTAACAAGGTGGCTCTTCGCCCAGCTCGAGGGTCCAGTCTACGTGGACGGTTGGGAGGACCGTGACGACTGCTGTTCCCTTGCCCGCATTTTGTGACCGCAGCAGTCGGATTCTTTATCGGATAAAGCCGCAGTTTGGGTTGGACTCCATATGCATTTCGGAACATCAGACATAAGGGTGTTTTGGATAGGTGTGAGCTCGTCACGACAGGATCCATGACATCCGAGGGTTTCTTCTCATACTTGCCTTCTATTCTGCTTCTGAGTAGCGTTCATTTCTTGCCCCATTAGTTCCTCCGCGAGGTGTCGTACATGTGCGGACCTCAGCATTGCCAGTCTGCGCTACAGCTTTTTGTAGCATCCAGATCAGCTAGATGATTCTGGGATTGTCCATGTCTGTTCTGTGCTGCGCTGAGGTACCTTCGGACTGCATCGGCGCCTCGGCCTTCAGTCATTTTCAACGCCACATCAATGGCATGCCTGGCCTCTGAAAAATTTTGCAAGTTCGCAGATTCTCCTTCTTCTGCTCCGGCTATTGTAGATTTAACACAACTGATGGTGTGATTCCCAATTGTGAGAAGCGCGAGCGTTCATTGCCACGCAACGACCGGACCATCAGCGCAGTGTAGGCATGTAGAGAATTTCGTGTGCCATCGATGAAGGTTACATTACTGGTAGCCGCCGCGCCACACTGGGCCGAATGGAGGAAGTTCCTCGGCAGATGCGGTTTCTCCATACGCAAGCAAAGACACACAGACACAGAAAGATGCACAGGACAGTGCTGTGCAACCCGCCCAACGATGCTTGCCCACATGCCTAGGAGTGGGGGACGCTCATGTTCTTCATGACAAAGGACCCGTGGACTATGCAAGTCGGCAAAACACTCTTAGCCTCTTAGCCTCACAGAAGTAGCTTGAGTATAGGCCTGCTGTTCCATGCACTCGAAGGACGGAGACAAGGGCGGACGAGCCGGACAGGTCGGACGAAGGGTTGGCTGAGCGCCTTTTCGTGTTGAGAGCTCCCGAAGGGATCTGTAATTAGTTATATGTGCGAGTTTATGATTAAGTCTGTGTTGGTGCGGGTCGGGCCTTCAACTGGCAGGCAGCAGGCCCCCGTGACGAAATAAGTCGCTGTTTCAGGTTGCCTCCTTGCACCTCCTAGTGCGAGCTCACAGTCTCATAGGCGGAGAAGCTTATCATCTGCGGCAACGAGCGTGGCCGACGAGGCATTGAGCACGTGCAGAGCCACATTTTTATCTTTCCACGGGCAGGGGACTGGCCTAATTGGCCTACGAACTGATGATGTAATAACCATCTCAGTATGGATGAAGACAGTGCGCCTGGCTGTTTGAGTCTGTTTGTGTTGGCTTTGTCTTTGGATTCCTCGACCCAGTGTGATGGGAAGACACATGACAAGTTGCACTTTGGCACACGTCGCTGCACTGCAGCCATTCTGCCAGTGGGAGAGGAGTGACAGCTTTGTCTGTTCACTCCGTGAGGTGCTGAGCTCAAATGCATGAACGAAATTGAGAAGAAGGCAGCTGGGCTAGTTCGGGCAGTGCTTCTGCAAAGACATCAGGCAGTCGTTTGTGTGACGTGATGCCATGCAAGGGACCACCACACTGCTGCGCTGCTGCGCTCTGCCTCTTTTTCCCTTGCTTCAGGCGCCTGGGCATTTCTCCAGGGGCCTGAGGCGCCCAAGAACGCGTAAGAGATGAGGTACTGAGGTCGGCAGGTCATGCGCGAGGACCGGCCTATGCATGAACACCGTCTTGCAGCTCTGATCCGGCAGGGAAAAATTCTCTGACAGCAGAGGGTTTGACACAGATCGCATGGCACGAAGCTCAGACACTGCGGGCTAGAAGTCCGGCCTTTGCCCTTAGGCAACCCTGCTCCTGCTGCAGAAAGACTTTAACTTTGGGAGCTCAGGCCATCAAAGAAGATGAGCTGAGCTATGTCATCGGAAAGGAAGCTGCCACGCAGAAGAAAATCGAAAAGGCAAGCGGTCGGGAGTGGAAGCAGACTGGTCTCACGAGACTATCAGTGAATTACGAAGAGCTTCAACTAGGGCTTAGGACTTGGCAGCATTGCTGGTGTGAATCATGGGGATTTCCTGCTTCTAATGCCGTCAGTGAAAGCTCGACCCTCGAACATGTAGATAGAGGTAGAGAACCAGGACGTGGGGGACCAAAACAGGAGCTTGAGACGAGGGGTCGGGCATGTAGCGGGAGCAATGACAGCCGGAACAACGATGGAAGGAAGAATGGAAGGCCCTGCGAAGGTATGAGGGGCACAATCCCAATTGAAGCGCTGGTGGAAAAGAGCGTTTGGGGAAGCCTAGTCAGCAGCAATCTCACCTGTGTCCGTGACTCCTTGAGTCCGCTGCGTGCCGGCCAACAAACTGGGATGCTGCGAGCTGTGATCACTGTTGCAGTCATGCCATCATGCCCATGGATTTCGGATCCGTTCGGGATTTGACTTTCTTGCTGTTGACCGTGGCACTAATCTACATGCAGAGCACAGATCGGTGATATTCGCTGATGCTTTCGTTGTTTCAGGCTGCTGGCTGCATCCTACAGTTCGTTGGGCGCTATGCGTTCATGGCCGGTATTGGAAAGGACAGCTTGCCAATACTGCCATGCCAGTTTTGAAACTTTTCCGGAGACTTCCTCGCTTTCAGGAGCGCCGCCGCTGCAAGGAGTACATCGGCTGGCTGCTACAGCAATTGAAAGGCGGAGACTTCAACTTGGAGAAGGTGTTTCATCTTGACAGCCGCGGCCGCAAGGTGCCGTGACCATACCAGATGTGACAGACAGGGAGGACTGCACAGCCACTTCGCTGCAAGTTGGGCTTCGACGATGGAGTTTTATGGTACAAGTGCACCCCTGAACCACGCTGAGGAGATGCACATTCCTGCGAATTGCGCTCATCTCAGACTGCAGCAAAGGCTTCTTCAACATGCGGGTCTCTAGCATCCGGCCTGTAATGCGGATGACGCTTACCCAGGCAAGGGCTGGGTCACCGGAAACCGGGGTTCCGAGCTTCGCCGCATGGAGCACGAGCACCAAACTCAGATGATCTCGGCACCAAGCACTCTTTGCATCGATCTGTGTTCCCGTCACCAAGCCAGCGTAGCTTTCTCCTTTGTAGCCCTGAGCTGCAACATGTTGTGTCTCCGAGGACCTCCACTTACATGTTTATGGCCTTGGATGGCCGTGGTGATGAGCGGCTTTGCATATTCAGCCACGAAGCAGGTCCCTCCGAAAGGGGAGCAGCATTTTTGTCATCCTCTTCTGTCCCTGGCTGCATCGCATCCATGCTTCGTCTGCGGCGTGCAGATCACATGCCCTTCCGTCCTCGATCAAAGTAAGTAAGCGTGTTTTCAGTGCTGGTTGTCGATAAGCTTGTTGCTCGTTGCTTTGTCTAGATTTGTCAAAAGTTCCTGCAGCAGTCAAGGCTGTCAGCATGTGCTATTGAGGCTGTGAGCTTCGCGGTGTGCCTTCCATGTGGAATGCGGGCAGGATCCAAAGTCGCCAACACGGGCCGCATGGTGAGCGGCTCAGGAACGAGCAGGTTTGCATTGTCGAAAATTGCGTAAAACCACACAGGCGGGACGGAGGATCTGCTGCATTCTTGATACTTGGCTTGCCTACTAGCCCCACATGAACTAGGCAGCAGAGCGGCTTGTCAACGAGTTGGTACAGGCGGGGTCTCCAGTTTGCATGGTGGATAAACGAGCCCACGAGCCAAGCGGAACAGGAGAAGCTCCGCGGAGACGAGGACGCTGCTGCATCCTTCAAGAGAGCTCTTCTGTTCAGAGGTTTCAGCACAGAGGCCCGAGAGGTAGCACCGAACGAAGTCGAAGTCCACAATGCTTGTCCTCACATGAGCATGACCGTTCTTCAAAGACGGATGCCGAGCTAGCTTTTGATTTTAAATAGCCGTCACACAGGCAGGGCACCAAATCATGATGAAGAGGAAGATGAAAACCAGGATGACGACGACTGCTGCTGCTGCTGCTGCTACCTCTACTGCTATTCTCGCTTGCCCACTACCAGCACCACCACCACCACCACCACCACCAGCAGCAGCAGCACCACCACCACCACCACCACCACCACTACTACTACTACTACTACTACTACTACGGCTACGACTACGACTACGACTACCACTAGCACAACCCTTACTCTACCACTAGCACTACCCTTACTGCAATCCGCACCTCGATTCCCACCGCTATCCCTGCCGCTACCGCTCCCACTTCCACTACCGTTATGATTAGCACTGCCACTATACACTACCACTTACGACTGCGGCTACGAATACGGCTACGACGACTACCACGACTTACGAGCTCCCATCCCGTGCGCGAGAGGGGTGACGAAGGGCAGACAAACACACATAGACAAACAAGCCTGTGTACTCATAGTGCGAGGCTCGAAAAGCCTATGAAACCAACCTTTTAAACTCTGAACTCTATACATCCTGTATTTTCCGCGTGACTCTTCGTTAAAAGACTCCCCACGCCCTACGCTCCTTTCTGGCCTCCGTGAACTGCCATTTTTCGAAGGACCGGGGCCGCTCGGATTCTCGAGGTCGGAGCCCGCCGCGACGGCGTTCCCTGGCTGCCAGGAAACTTGGGTTCTTCGTGGGTTGGGCGGCGGGGTTGGGTTCGTCGTTAGCATGATCTCTTAAGCTTTGCTCGCTTTTAAGGTTCTTTCTAGATCTTGGATGTTCGCTACAAAAACAACAATTGCCGCTACTACTGCTTCCGAAGCTGGTACTGCTGCTAAAACTACAACAACAACAACAACTACCACTAGTAACTGGTACTAGTACCTCGTATCTGGTACCTAGTACCTAGTACTTCGTCCCTAGTAACTCGTCCCTAGTAGTAGTAGTAGTAGTAGTAGTAGTAGTAGTAGTAGTAGTAGTAGTAGTAGTACTACTACTACTACTACTACTACTACTACTACTACTACTACTACTGCTGTTTCATCTACTACTGCTACAACCACGACGACGACGACTGCCTTCCTACTACTAATACTAGTACGACGACGACTGCGACTACTGCTGGTGCTACGGTTGATGACATAAATCCTGCATTGCCCATAACAAGGAATATACCATAATTCCCATAGTTTCGGGCCATTAAGGTAATGCAGGATTTATATCATCAACCGTAGCACTGGCACCTGCAGCAGTACTGGTACTCGTACCTAGGCTGACTAATAGTACCACTACTGCTACTCTTGCAGCTGCTACGACGACGACGACTGCTGCTAGCAATGATGGTCAAAATATAATACAGGAATGTTGCCCGGTGAGTCTAATTTGTGACCTTTCGAGAACGTGACAGTGCCTAGGCTTGTAAGGCAAAGGAGCTCGGCAAACAAGAGCAGTAGCAAGTATGAGCACGCCCACCGTTCGCATTTCTCAGAAAGCTGCAGTTGCATGTACAGAAGTGGAAAGCTTGCAACATTGCAGATTTGGCTTCTGTTGAAGTGTCTGCCAAACGAAGCTGTTGCACCCCTTTAGGTTCGGACTCACGTCGACGCTCTCCGCCCCGGCCTCAGAGCAACACGTCGCCAGACGGGGACTGGTCCCACCAGCGGAGAAGGAGTTCCTGTTTCTCTCAGGTCGCGGTCTCGAAATCGATCGCCGCCGCGGCGGTCGCCCTCCTACAGGCATAGCTCAGGTTGAAGCTGAATTCCTGACACAACGAAACATGCTGGCCCAGGGGCGGAGGCGGAGGTGGAGGCGGGGCCGGAGGCGGACGCGGTCGCGGTCGTGACTCGCGTGCACGCAATGACTCCAGGCGTCGCTGAGGCACGTGGATGGTAGCGGTAGCACCCAGCAATGACCATCAGCGACCCCTCCACTGGGCATGTTTTGCTACCTGTGATACTTTACTTTGTGACTGTGATGCAATCCACTTTGCTTAGGACGATATTGACTACATCGGATGATTGAAAGAGAGCAGACAGGCGTCCACCGCCGACCCTATGAGTGCGACGTGGGAGGCGCTTCATCGCCAAAGCGAGTGCCACTGGCAAGTGCCGAATGTCCACGTGGCGGTAATGTAAGTCGATTGCACAGCAGATAGTCATGAGTCATGAGGGGCTTCAAGGACGTGAAAGATCTTCATGCATTGCAGGGCTCGACTGTTTGGGTTTTCAGGGGGTGGTTGGGTCGATTGAATTTGCAAGCTTAGCTGTAGAAGTCCAAGTATGTTGCTACATGCACAGTTGTGACTGACAAGTGAATCTAACCGAAGTGGAGAGTAGCTCACCGACGAACATGGCGAACCAACTATGACCAATCAGTTCCACGGTCACGCCAAGCAAGTGAGTTGAGATATTTGTGTCTTGGGCTCATGGCATGTTGCAGTCCAGCTCGCCATGTTCGCCCGGCACCGTTTACGGGGAGCCCAGAAGCGCTCCGAAGTTTGGTCGACAAGTGCAGTCATCGTATCACGTGGCGCCAAAAAGGCCTTTGCCCAGCTTGCAGCGACACTGCACACCTAAGTCGGCTGTGACAGAGCGGCTTCCAGGCTCGGACACATGGGGTCTGCGGCACGGCCGATGGCGGCGATGTGCCTCTGTCCAGGACGGGAACCTGCTCGCTGGAGTGCCAGCTCCTGGGGAGGAGCGACCAGCAGTCATTAGGCTTGCAGGGTATGGTCTTTGTAATACATGTCTGTGCATGATGGCATGCCGAGACGGCGGCGCTCAAGGTTGGCAGAGTCCATCTTCAAACATGGTTTTGCAACGTAGGGAAAAGACTGCATCTCCATACCTCGCGAGCACTCAAAGCAACATCGATGCTGTTTGGTTGCTTCTGGTTCTGTCTACGGCACAGTCGAAGCCTGAGAATCGAGCTTCTCGGAGCCATGCAGCTTGCTTCGATGCCAGTGACCCCGCTCGGACGTCGGACGCTGGACTATTGCAGTGACTTCAGCTTCAGTTCGGGCTGCGGCGCGGGGGTGGGAGTGCTTGAGATATGCCGGGACGTGCTGCAGCAGCCTCGCGTTGCCACGTCATCCAGGATGGCACACTTTGGTTGGGACGAGCACTCCCAGTCACAGACTCAAGCAGTCAGAGCAGGGCCCCAGCTCAACAGTTGGCCCGAGCACGAATTCGCAGCACGAGGCCAGCCATGTACCATGCTGTGATGGTGCGGATGTGCACCGGTCGTTTGTGGCCTCGACTTCGGAGTGTGTAACCCTCTCTGCTCCGTGCAGGCTACTGCTTGCCAGCCACAGTCCCAGCAGTCCCCCCGGTGCCCGACCAGATGCTCGGCCGGATTCGGATTGCTTCATGATGAATACAAGCCTCTGCACTGTTTCCCTGCCATGGCCCAGGTCGTTTGAGCTGCAGGTGCCTTGGCGAAGCATTTACTTCACGCGATCCGGGTCCAGGCGATGGATTATTCTCAGCCAAGATTGCGAGGCTTCGTGAAAGGAGAGACGACACCAGGGTGAGGGCACACGGCAAATGGCAAAGGGACAGCAGGGTCGAACTGAACTGCAGGCGCAACGTAGAAAGTTGCAACGCTTTGCAGCATAATTTTGATGTCTGCGCAGGCTGCATGACATGTGGGGAAGAGGACGTTCTTCCAATCGGGTTTCATTCGTGCAAAAGTCGAAATAAAGAATCACCGTCGTCAAGGCCACGCATGAAGGTCAGGAGAGAGTGTCCGGCTTGTCTCCAAAGGCTTGCAAATTGAATGTTCCCAGGGCTGTTTACCCGAAAGGTTCGGGCATCGGAATTGGATGCGTTCGTCTAATCTTGAATACTCTTTCGTTTGGGTGGGGTTTAAAATTCATAGAGGCTGCGTCACGGCACGACAGCGACATGCACCCAGCAGCGCGCCTACCTACCTACCTACCTACCTACCTACCTACACACACACAAGCGAACAGTTCCGGCAGTTTCAGAAGCCAGAGTGCCAAGAGAGAACCCGAACCCACACACAGAGGTTGTAGGTCCAGCAGTGTGCCCTGAGGCCATGAGCGCCCAGGTCAGCAGACCCGTTCCCGCACCAGCCATTGCGCCTGCAAGCGCCGTTGCATCGTACGACTCCGGTCTGCACGTCGGGGCAGCAGGATTTTGAGAACGCTTGCCATGCTGTGCAACAGTTTGCTGAGGAATCTCGCGACAGCACTGGGAGGGTGTGGGGCGTGCCAAATGCTGGTGGCCGTGGACAATGTTTGGATTGCCCGAACAAGGCAGGAGGAGGGGATAAGCAGGGGGTTTTCAGTCTTGGTTGTCCGACTTCTACAACGGTTCTGCATTCTGACTGTGAGGCGGCCCTGCCCAGCAATCGGTGCAAAGATTGCCAGCTCCGCCGGTGCCTCACGAAAATCCCCGGTGCTTGTATCGCCTAAAGAGAAAACTGCGATCTAGCAGCTTACGGGCAGCATCTAGGATTGAGTGTGCAGCATGAGGACTCCGGCATACTTGCGTTTGTGCTGCTGACACGAGGTCGTGGAAGAGGCACGCCAATGCAGGACCGAAACATACCGAAAGATGTCGAAACGTTGGCGAGGCTGTGTCTAAGACACAGTGCAGACCCATACTGCCAAGCTTCGGATGCGGTGTATTTCGACTGCTTCAGCGGGAGGGTGGGACTGGATCAGTTGTGTTCTCGTCCTTTGTGAACACGCCGGAGGACCTAAGCGCTCTGCGGCCGGCGCTTGACGCGGCTGCTCGACGACGGCCAGATCGGCAGGCCAACTTTAGTCCCTACAAGTAGACCTTTCATCCCACGCCATCACACGCCCCCACGTACATTCTACAGCCTTAGGGCTCGTAGCTGCCACGCAGGTGCCCGAGCAAGCCAAACGCATGTAGGAGCCAAGGTAACGCGACACACTGCGATACCAGGAAGACTTTTCAACTTGAAAGCAAGCTTGGGAAATCCGAGTCACCCTTTCACTGTCTTTAATGTTTGCTACAGATTGTGCAAGACACTCCTCACAGCCAACTCCGCTGTTTCTTCACGAGCTACTGCGCGAGAACTTCATCGGCTCGTTTCCCGAGAAATCTGAGTCAACCTGTCGCGGCCGTGTTGGCCTCAAGGCCCTCGTGGATGCCCGCCTTCGTGTCCTGTACGAGAAATTGCAGGATGGCCAGATCGCCGATGAGATCCAGCACAAGTTGCACCGCAGCTGAATGTGACGGATGTTTGGATTTGTAGAGGAATCCGTGCTTGCACTGATCAACTCGCATGTCATAGGGCCAAGCCAGCAGCCTCCCTTCTGCATCCTGCTCGGGCCGGCTGCCATTTGGGTCAGACTCACGACGGGTCTCGGTGTCGCGGGGTCTGTTTCCCGGGTTGTTCTTTTTCTTGTTGATTGTTTTCTGTTGCTGGTCATGTCGAACCCCTCGCGTGCCGCACATGATGATGTGCCTGTCCAGATCCGACAGAGTCTGGCAGCGCAACGTGCACAACAGAGTCTCTTCGAGCTTGACGAGTTCTCTGATCCTGTGGTTCAGCAGGATGGTGTTGAGACAGCATCTGCCCCCATCCCTTCCAGAGCAGCCCCTGCAGGTGCTGCAGATGGTGTGGTGCTCGAAGAGGTGATAGCTTTGCTCGCTCAGGTAACCAAGCAGACGGAAGACGCGGTGAAGCGAGCCGGTGTCATAGAAACGCTTCGAGCCTGTGACACATTGGGTCTCCTCAAGGGACACCCCATTCTCCAGCGGCTTTTCCTGGATATGTACGATGAGACGAAACGGAACCGCTTGCTGACCTCCAGCCGCGGCTCCTCTGCTGCGGGCAAGCCTCCTGTGGCAGTGGACGCGGTTGCCTCAGGTGCCGATCGTCCCTCCCAGGGGGTGTCACCTGAAGCTTTGGACGTCGAGATGGTGGAGCCGGCAGATTCGGCGGCTGATGGCGACTTTGCCATGGTGGACCCCACCCCTGGGGATGGGAGCGCGGTTGCCTCAGGTGCCGATCCTCCCTCTCAGGGGGTGCCATCGGCAGAACCTGAGGTGGCTCTCTCAGAGCCGGGCTTTATCGACTCGGCCAGTGGCTCCTGGGTCCTGGCCGACAAGGCGCCTTCGATCACGGTGCCTAGCACCTCGGGAGACTACGCCTGGGTGGAACATGAAGACGTCGAGCTTCTCCAGGCTTGGGTGCAAGAGCAGCTTGACGCGGCAAAAGACCCTCAGACGGTCCTGCCGCAGATCGAAGATCGGGTCGTGATGTTGCAGAAGGAGCTCCCGTTTGTCTCGGTCATGGACTTGTTTAGCAAGTCCCACCCATGGTGGGAGGCAGTGTGCAGATGGTACTGCACCGTCCCGGAAGAGGTGGGCATGGTGAAAGGCCAAAAGCTTTCAAGCACAGTCTTGGCCAGATGGAACTGCCTTAGACGGGAGGACCGTGTGAAGATCCTCTCTCATGTGGACGCCACTTCTAAGGAGTTCCACCAGGACCCGAGTCAGTTCGTGAGCGGCTTGATGCACATGAAGCACAAGCTCCCTTTTAAGAATGTCGGCACGATCATCCTCTCCCTGCCGTCCCTGACGAAAGACGAGCTGCTTGGCTCTGACAGAGCGGTGGTCCAGTGCGTGGACGCCAGCAAGGCGGTATACAGGCTGGTCTCCCCGGAAGTGATGCCCGACCGCTTCTTCCGCAGTGACGTCGCGACCATCCTCCGTTCCCTCCCGAAGTTGGTGGTGGAGAAGATGGTGGCCGCTGTGGAGTCCGAGGACTCGGGGCTCTTCGAGGATGCGATCCTGAACATCGGGGGCCACCTCCGCAGCAGAGTGGCTACGCTCCGCCAAGAGGAAATCCTCAAGAAGCAGGGCCAAGGGTTTGGCACAGCTACGGTGCCCAGGCCCTCGACCGCGCCCTTGCCTTACATCTGCTCGGACCGGCTGCGGGGGTAGGTTTGCTGCTGCCCTCAGGGTTCGGTGCTTTCTTTGCAACAAGATGGTTCTGCCTGTCAGGGAAGCCAATGCTTCTATCGAGGCCCCGGCCCCGGATGGATCCTCCTGGCGCTTGGTGGAGGGTGCGTGGCAGAACACCTCGAACAGCTTCAGGGAGGACTTCAAGTACAAGTTCGGCAGGCCCCAGACGGAATATGAAAGGAAGTTGCCGGGCCCTGCTCTTTCCGCTGCCATCAACGCTGCCGGTCCGATGGGGGAAGCCTCCTCACCCGGTCCGGTTACCTCAGGTGGACAGGGAGCCCCACCATTGGCGGCTCAACCTCCAGACATTGACCCTCAGAAAGTTGCTGAATTGCTATGGCAGTGTGCTCTCGGCCAAGGACATCTGGCACATGGTGGGACCAACCAAGAACGAGGGCCAGAAGAAGTTTGAGAGGGGTTTTCCCCTGGTGCGCTCCAACCTCCGCAAACGTGGCTTACCGGGCGGCCCGCCGCAAGGACTTCCTTGACCTGCGCCTGAAGGCTAAGTCGTGGATGGAGGCAAGGGGGTTCGGAGAGCCGAAGTGCCCGGAGGATTACGCGATCATCCTCCGCCGCATGAGCTTCGAGGTCCACTGCATGAACTTCCTGCACAACCCCAGCTGGGATGCCCCGGTCGTTGACTCCAAAGAAAGGCTTCGGCTGCGGGCGGAGTACGACCACAGAGTCACGCTGCCCATCGATTCCCTCCCGCTTGACCTCAAGGCCTTCTTCTCGGGCAAGCACAAGTGGGCAGTGGCCTTCCAGTACTACTGCTGCACTGGAGGGGCGTGGGTTAAGGCCCCGGACTTCGTGGACAAGCCCAACCGGAGGCATTGGATCCACATGGAATGTGGCATGGTCCTCCCGGCCCTGTCAGGCTTCGACTACACCAGGGTTGGGTCGAGCAAGCATTCCAAGAACCGTTATGCCTGCACCCTTTGCAGGACCGAATGGGGCCGGGACTCGGCGGAAGGCAAGTGGCTCAAGGGCCACGAGATGCACGGCTGGCTCCTGGAGATTTTCGATGGCGATGTGGTCCTGCAGGCCATCGTCACGGCTCCACCGCATGCAGAGCGCGAGAGGTGGATCCAGGGGCGCATGCTCTTCTGTCGGAAGTTCGAGGGCACGGCTCCGCTACTTGACGCGGCCCCACACAAGATGCCGGGGCAGAATCCCTTCCGCATCCGTCTGGGCCCTGACGCTTCTACACAGCTGTGGCGTCTGGTCTTCTCGGAGCCCTCCTTGGAAGCTCTCCAATCTTTGGATGTCTTGGCTGATGCGGTCAAGGAAGAGCTTAAGGCGGATGTGGAGATGAAGCCCGCGGCCTCCTAGCCTGGGAGCGGTGGCTCCAACGGGCTGTTTTACGGGGTGCCACATCCTTTTCTTTCAGCTAGTTGGGGGGCATGACCTCCCCAGTACAGCCTCGATGCTCGGGGGATGGGGGGGGTAGCCGATTCCCTTCCCTGAACCTACCCATCGAGGGCTTCAGAAGGGGAAGGCGCCTCTGTCGCTTACTCTGGTTACTCCTGCCTTTCTTTTAGCAAATTTGGGGGCACTGCCTCCCCAGTGTAGCCCCGATGCGTTGGGGAGGGGGGGGGTACGGTTGCCTCAGGTGCCGATTCCCTTCCCTGAACCCGCACATCGAAGGTTCAGACGGGGAAGGCGCCTCAGACGCTTTCTTTGATGCCTCCGACCTCTGGTTGCCCAAAAAGGGGAATGGACTTGCCTTGCTCTTGGGGGTGTCTTTCGGGTTTTCTTCGGTGGGGTCTTTCCCTTTTGCCGCTGGGTTGTTCGGGGTCTTTTGGAGTCCTCGCTTGTGCAGAGTGCCTGCTCGTGATCTGCATGCGCATGTCTGTCAGTGCTGCGATGGTCTCTTTTCACCCTGGCTGGCCGGGCCCCGCAGCTGTTTTGTTCTGTGGCTCCATTTTGTTTCTCGCTTCTCGGTGCCAGTGGGCCTTTGGGCCTCACCGATGGATGCGGGTCAGGTCGTGGACACGCGGCACCGGGAGCTGGTCATTCTCACTGAAGCTATCTGGGAACGATTCCAGCCGAGGGCCAGGGACCTTCTGGTGGAAGGCTCTGGAAGACCGGTGGCAGACCAGGTTGACTGGTCCTTTCTCCTCACTCTCCCGCGAGACTCGCCAGAACAACGCTGGTCTCAGGGCCGGGTATACGGTCCAACGTTGGCGACAAGGTGGCATACGGCAAGGTGGCACCTGCCTCCTGTGTGATCCATGCGCCTGGTGTGGGGAGATGGCCACGAGTTGGTGTGACCGATGCGAGCGCCAGGGCGCTTTCACGGCGCTGTGCATGGGATGTGAAAGCGAATGGGATGGCTGCTGCTCACACCGCCAGGGACGCCAGCGTCGGGACATGCCCCGCCGACCTGATCCGGGTGCTCCTCGTCCGTCTGATACCGTGGAGGTTTTTGCCCTGGACTTGGAGAATGATGGCCGGGGCCCGGGACACACCGAACGGTGCAATTGTGTACGGTGCAGCACCGCACGAAGGGCAGCTCGGATGCAATCCCAGGAAGGGCAGGAGCCAGAACGGGAGGCCTAGGCTGCCTCCCTCCGGTTTGGGTTGGTGGCCCTGCCTGGTCCTGTCCCTGGGCTCTCTGCTCCTCGTTAAGGGCAACGGGGAGGTTGGTCCTCCCTCCGCTTGCCTCAGGTGCCGTTGGGGGGGGTCCACCTCCCACGTATCCTGCATGGAACATGCTTATTCCCGGGAGGTCGTGCTGAAGGACATGGATCCAGATGTGGTTGCCGGCGTCAAGGCTACCTGGCTCCAATCACTCCCCGAAGATAGGAGTCAAAAGCTGGAGGAGAACTTCACGGAGGCGGTCACTAGGCTTCAGCTGGCCGCGTCGGGCTGCCCTTCATGGACATCTCTCTCTCCGGTGGGTCAACTCCTGGCCGACAGGGCCTTTGGACGGGCCCTCGCAATGGAGCGCCGGAGCGGGAAAAGATCTTGGGAGCACTGGGCACCTAGGCCTTCTCGGATGGAAGGTCCGGTCAAACAGCTTGCCCTTGATCGGGCGGCAAAGAAGAAGTGGGCGGACAAGATCATCTCCGTCCTGGCTCCCTACCACAGGCACTTTGATAACATGCAGGACATCAAGCCGGGGGAGGACAAGTACGAGGTCTGGAGGCCTTTGGTTGGCAAAGCCAGGGTTAACTCCTTGAAGTCGGTCTTCTACAGCCTCAAGAAGCTCCGCTCCACGCTCGGGTGTTCCCCCCTGCCACTCTCCGAAGACATGGCAAAGGCCCTCCTCTACGAAGCGGTGGACCAGCAGTTCACAATCTACAGGTTGGGGCAGCTGTGGAGGACACTTCACTGGATCCCACAGCACTTCGGAGGCTTTGACCCCACGGTCAACCAGGCGATCAACCGGCGCTATGAGTACACCAGGGGTCTCTTGGTCTCTTCGGAGGCCAAGAAGGAAAGGAGGGCCACTCCGCCTCCGATGGAGGTGGTCATTGCGCTTGAGAAGCTGGCTGGGACCCTCCCGGAAGGCTCGCCGGATGGCTACGCGGCTTCTTTCTTCAGGTTCTGCATAGGCGCCTCGGCCAGGTTCTCCGATACAGCTCACACCAGGCCGGATTCCATGAAGATTACTAAGGACACCCTCGAGTTCACCGCCTGGCAGACTAAGGTCAAGGAGGTAGGGGACAATAACCCCAACCTCTCATCGCGCCTCTGGTCTCCTTCTCCCAGACGGAGTGGTGGGGACCCATGATCGCCCTCAGTAAGAGGCGGAACAGCCTGGCTACAAAAGGACTTGAGGATGATTACCTGCTGCCGGTCCCAGACAGAGACCGCCTTGACTTTACGAGGGCCCCATGTGACAATTCTCGGGCCCTGCGGTGGCTTCGGGCTCTTCTCTCCATGAAGGGAGCAAAGATCCCGGAAGAGGAGGTGAAGATGATGACCCTTTCTTCTTTCAGGGTTTTCATGCCGAACCTGGCGTTCCAGATGGGTGTCCCCCGTGAACAGCGACGATACTTGAGACGTTGGCAAGGGGACAGCATGGCGGACGTTTACACGAGAGAACACCGCTCGGTGGTCCTCTCCATCTGGAAAGAGGTCCTGTCGAAACCCCAGCCTGGCAAAGAGGAAGGGATCCGTTTTGTTCCGGAGGATCTGGATGCTCCTTACTACCAGTTGGCGGAAGAGCCACTTCTGGTTCCCCCCGATGCGCAGCTCCCGGTTCTTGCCTCGGCCAATGCTCCGCAAGAGGACAAGCGGGCTGATGGCCCTGCCTTCATGGCCACCAACGCCCGTAAGACAGGATCTCCTCCGGTGTACCGGGTACACTGGTTTGACAGGGGCTACAGATGCCTGGGTTGTGGTTGGCGGCCCATGTCGATGGGGAAGCCACTCCCAGAATGGGGGCTGGCCCGGCGGCCTCTTCATCGGCTTCTACGGTGCCTTTCTCGATTGTGCTGTGAGCCCCTTTTGTTTTCCCACCTGGTATTGACACCAGGACTTGTGGAGACCCCCATTCCACAGGGGCGGTTGCCACAGGTGCCGATCCCCTGGTGGAAGGGGATTTGATCCGGGGTGACAAGGGTTTTGTGAACGCCCGTTACCACGTGTTAAGCCCTCGGGCCCTTCGGAGTTGGCAGGCATTAGCCCTGCGGACTTGGCGTATTTCCGACCGGTCTTCGGACCTGTCTGAGCTATGCCTGCCCCGGGTCCCTCGGAATTTTGATCTGATCTGCCACTTCTCGGACCTCGTCGGATTCGGGGAAAAAGTGCGTGTGCATAACCTAGGGCTTGTGGCTGCACTGTGACTTGTAGAGGAGGAATCCGTGCTTGCACTGATCAACTCGCATGTCATAGGGCCAAGCCAGCAGCCTCCCTGCTGCATCCTGCTCGGGCCGGCTGCCATTTTGGGTCAGACTCACGACGGGTCTCGGTGTCGCGGGGTCTGTTTCCCGGGTTGTTCTTTTTCTTGCCCTCCCGCCCTCTCCTTGTCTTTTCGCTCAAGCCGGGTCCTCCTGCCGCCGGGCAGTATGGATAGACCGGGTGCGGAAGTCGACGCCAAGCTGACCCTGGCACGGCCCCCGGAGCTGTGCCCGGACCCCTACAAGGAGGAGGTCATGAAGATCGATGAGCATGTTCGTCTGGTCCTGGCCAGGCACCAGGTCCCTTGGCTAGTCCTCTTTGTCATGGGAAAACAGGGCTTCGTCACGGCCCAGGACTGGGCAGGCCGCTGGGATGAAAAGGAACTCCGGAAGGAGGCTCCCAAGTTGGGCTTCTCACCGGGCCAGAATGGATATGATGAGCACACGTGCGTCCTCACCGCTATCCGCCTGGAGAACGCGGTGGAACAGTTCAAGCTCTTAAAGAAAAGGAAGCTGGCCGAGGTGGATATCCACTCGGTCGAGGACTACAAAGCTATGATTGGCAGAGGTGACCGCCAAGAAATGAGGGCAGCTTACCTCGCTAAGTTCGGCACGGAACCGGAGAGGGAATACGAAGGCTCGGACCACATGCTTGGTGTCTTGAAGAGGGTGTTGTACAGGGGAGAGTTCCTTTCGGGCTCCCAGCTCGATCTCAACAAGGTCGTAGCGAACCACCCCAAGGATGGGGAAGTGAAGTTCCAGAAGCGCCAAAGCAAAGAAGATGATGAGTGGATCCATGAGGAATCCAACCGTGTCCAGTCGGAGAAGCAGTGGAAACGGGTCCTCATGATCTGGCGTACGTCCCTCCTCATGGTTGTGGCAACATGCACGGGCCCCTCGTGCATTCACCTCACCAAGGCAGACTTGGACGACTTCTACAACTTCCTCTTCGGAGATACCATTATGGGCCGCGAGCCCGCCCCCTCACTGGGGGTGTTAATGACAGCTGAAAGAAAGGTCTGGCGCCAGGTGGCCCTGAACATGGCCAAGGACGAAACCTTGACCATCTCAGCTGCCCTCAAAGAGATCCAGAATAACTCGCGATTCTGGTCTATGGAAATCGATGAGTTCTGCCTCCGTCGCCACCACACTGTCCAGCCCAAGGGCCCCAGGAAAGGCAAGGGCAAGGGCAAGGACAAGGACAAGGGAAAAGTCTTCCAGCACTGGGATTACTGGAAGGGCAAAGGCAAGAAGCCGGGAAAAGGAAAAGGCAAGTCCAAGAAGGAAGACTGGCGTTGGTCCACTCGCTCGGAGGAGACGGTGGAACCTCCCCCTCCTCCGACGGCTACTTTCGCTCGCACTAAGGCACCGCACCATGAGTGGGCGCCTAAAGGATCGGACGGCAAGGAGTTCTGCAAGAAGTACCATGCCTTCAACAGGTGCCCGGGGGACTGCGGTCGCTCCCACAACTGCCCTGTGATTCTCCCGGACGGTAAGATCTGCGAGAAGAACCACAGGGCGGCGGACCATTCGTGAGAAACCGGCCCCTCCCCTCCGGGGCGAGGGGCCATCTCTTTCCTCCCAGCTAATAGCGTGGTGGCAAGCTCGGGACTTCCTCGCTCCAGCTGGCGTCTGTGGGGACGGTTGCCTCAGGTGCCGATTCCCTACGTGCTCGGCTTGGGTCGGGACTTCCTCGGAATTCCCAGAGTATGGCTCGGGCTGCTCCAGTGGGGGATACCACGGAGGCAATCGACCCTGGGGATGCGGCCCCGCCGCCTCCCCTGGAGAAGAGCTCTCCAAAAGTAGCGGCTGGCGAGGGTGACCGCTGGAATCGAGACCGCTGGTCCCATGCTCTTCCTACTCTTCCGGGCTTCAGAGGCCTCCCACAGAGACTCTTGGATAGACTCCTTCCTGGATTGGCTGCTTGGCCTTCTGCAGGCAAGCCGTCCCAGCCTACAGTGCTCATTCTCTATAGCACTAAGGCGGCGATTGCACAAGTCGCTCCTCTCTTCGGTCTCTTCGGGGCCTCAGTCCGCGAACTGGATATCTGTAGAGGTGGGATCTCCCAGGATGTACTTTCTGAGGAGACCTTTTCTGACCTTTGTGCCCTGGCCCTCTCTGGCGACCTCATGGCAATCATCGGAGGGCCCAATTGCAGGACTTGGTCAATTCTGCGACACTTTCCTAGAGCTGGCTGTCCTGGTCCAGTTAGGGGCAGGAAAGGCCAATCAGCCTGGGGCCTCGATGACCTTCCGGAGTCGGTGCTCAGGGATACGGATAATGACTCTCTGCTCTTGCTCAGGATGTTGCTCCTCTACCACCTCTCGTTGGCGTCTGGCCCTCGGCCCCCTGCCTTCCTCCTGGAACACCCGGAGGATCCCGCCAACCAAGGTACCTCGGAAGCTCAGCAGAATTGTTCTTCATGGTGGGCCACGGCCCAGTGTAAAGACTTCGCGGACCTTACACGGATGAAGATACACTGCTTTGACCAGTGCATGCTGGGGCACGGGGCCAGGAAACCCACGGCGGTTCTTAGCAATCTGGCCCTTGACTGGGATGGCCTCAGGTGCAGGCATCCGGACCACCCTGTGTGGTGGTCCAGTTCTGACTTGGCCCGGTGGGGTTGGCAAATCAATTTGGAATTGGCCACTTCCTTGCTAGCCTTCTTCTCCACATCCGGGGACACGGATGGAGACCGTTCCATTGCTTCGGCACTGGCTCCGGTGACGGCTAGTACCTTAATTGTCCGGCTGGGACACCGTTCTCGCCCCCTCAGGGATGGTGGCGGTAAACCATTGTGTGGGAGACTCAAGCCGGAAGACAGGTGCAAATGCAAGTTGGCCTGGCTTGGCCAGTGGATCGAGGAGACACTCACCTCGGGGACGGTTGCCACAGGTGCCGATTCCCCAGGGGTCTCTCCTATGACGCCCTTTCGGGAATCGCTCAGGACTCGATCAGGCGCGGGGCTGCCCCTGGCCAGACCAGTGGGTCGCAGACCTCCGCCAACAACTGGCATCACGCCTCTCTTCCCGACTCCACCGACCTGTTTCAGCTGAGGTCTCTCCGGGACAACCGTTCGCTTTGGACATTCTCCAAGCTTTGGTGGAGCTGGCGGAGGACCCGGACCGGGATTTCCTCCAACACCTACGTGAAGGAGTCCCCCTTGGTGTGGACGGTCCGACGCTGCCGGACCCTAACATATGGCCGTCCAAGCAGGAGCTGGGGAATGCACCGAAAGACTTGGAGCCCCCGGCGCCCACTGCGGCCGACAACTACCCCAGCGCTGAGGTCTTCGAGGACACCATAGAGAAAACTTTCCTGGAGGAAAAACTCCTCGACATGGTGGCGGGTCCCCTGTCGGAACAGGAGGCAGCGGACCTCTGCGGCTGCTCGGTCGCAGAGCTGTGTGTCGGGGCCATGGCGGGCATCCAGGAACTGGACAAGATCAGGACCATCTTCGACGCCTCGATCATCGGCGTCAACGACAACATCAGGGCGAATACTGACAAGAAGACCACGGCCCCGACTCTCTACGACTTGCTTTTCGCTTGGCTCCACTTGGCGTCGAAGGACCTGACCCTCTTCAAGTCGGATGTGAGCAAGGCCCACCGGAGGATCAAGGTTCTCAAGAAGCACTGGCGGTACATGGTGGCCAAGATCAAGAAGAAGTTCTGGGTCAACAAGGTCGGCACCTATGGGGTGGCTTCGGCGCAGCTCTACTGGGGGCGATTGGCTGCCATCCTCACCCGCCTCTCTTACCAGATTTCGGAGGTTTTCCTTTGGCTCCTGGTTTTTGTTGATGATTTCATGGCGGTGATGAAAGAGAGCCTTGGAGAAATTGGGGCGGCCACCCTCATGCTCTTCCTTACTTTGCTGGGCTGCCCTATCTCTTGGCACAAGAATGCCCTTGGGAAGGTCAACCGTTGGCTTGGGTACATGGTCAACATCTCCGAAGGCTCGGTGTGGCTCCCGGAGGAAAAGTTGGCCATGCTCCGCCCGGCCTTGTTGAAGTTGGAAGCAGGAGAACTCCACACCAGAAAGGAAGTCACCTCCCTACTGGGCAAGTTGCAGTGGGTGGCGAAAGCCTACCCTCAGGTGAGTTCCCACCTCCAGCCACTCTATGCTTGGGAGCAGAAACTTGAACGGAAATGCAGACCGGGAGACCTTGTACGTTTTCTGGCAACTCTGCTCATCTCCATCTTGGACTCTGGCCCCTGCGTTCCTCTTCGTCTCCAGCACAACACTCCATGCTACGGGAGCAGTGATGCCGGTGAGGACGATGGCCGGGTGGCTATTGGTGGCTGGTTCTCGCCCTTGCTTAACCCCACCAAGGCGGAGGTCCTGTGGTTCTCCATGGACGTCCTTACCACTCCATGGGTGCAGCCCCTCCTGGCGCACACTTCTCCGAAGCGCCGAATTGGTGCCCTGGAACTCCTGGGCACACTCATCCTTTTCCTTTTGGCTGCAGAGTCCGTGGGGCCCTGCATGATTGATGCTCATCTCCCTCTTACTACAGACAATGAGGGCAACGCCTTTTCTGCCAGCAAGAGATCTTCGAAGAAGTGGCCTTGCTCGGCGCTTTTAATGGAGCTCTCCGCACAGGAGTTCCACAAGGGTGTCTTTGCCCAGGTCACCCATGTCAAGAGGAGTTCTAACACGTGGGCAGATCAGCTCATTCACTTTGATTTCGAAGGATTCTCCCCCGGAAATAGGAGGGAAGTTTCCCTTTCATGGTCTCCAAGTTGGATGATCTTGGACAAGCTCCTTGCTTTCAAATCGGAGCAATAGCTCAGGGCTCCTTTCTGGGCCCTGCTTGCACACAGGATACGAATGCCAGGTACGGTTGCCTCAGGTGCCGATTACCTGTGCTTGGTTCCTGTACGGCTCTGCGGGACCTTCTCACTCACGGGATCCCGGGTCATTTCTTTACCTCGGATCGGATTGGGGGTTGTGAAACCCCTTGTTTGATCAATCTGAGGAGGGGTGGCGTATTTCCGACCGGTCTTCGGACCTGTCTGAGCTATGCCTGCCCCGGGTCCCTCGGAATTTTGATCTGATCTGCCACTTCTCGGACCTCGTCGGATTCGGGGAAAAAGTGCGTGTGCATAACCTAGGGCTTGTGGCTGCACTGTGACTCAATTCTTCACGATATGAGCGTCCTTCGTGAAACCTGAATGTGAGTTGCCATGAGTTTTCAAGTATTTGGGGAGTGTACCCGTTAAGCCGGCTTTGTAGAATCTTGTAGAAAGGATTTGCAGCCTTTTGCTGTTATTGTAACTGCAGTTGACGAGGTTGAGGTTTGCAGATGCGCTGGGTGCCGGCCGTGAGCAGGATGCCCAAGCGGTTTTGCAGGAGCGGGCCACGATATGCGACCCGCTGTAACTCATGGCGATTTGTGATCTGCGGGTACTGTATGGGCACACGTGCTGCTGCATGTATGATACGTACCTGAAGCCTGGCCTGAGAGAGCAGGAGCTCGTGGCAGAGTACTGGCAGCAGTTGCTTGGTGTGCAGCTAGCTCCCGCCCGAAGCGACTTATAGGTGGTGGCGTGGCGTTGGCAGCGGCAATGGTAGCTGTGTGGTGTTGGTAGTATGCAGTAGCTGTGGCGATGTTGATTGTGCTGCCACCACGGTATGCGAGGCGCGGCGTCGGGTGGCGAGGGTTCGTGGCGCAGCTGCCTGTTCTGAGAAGCCGAGTCGCTGCAGAGTTATTTCCGAGGCACAAGTACTGGATCTCCGGCCTGAAATGGCTGCTGGGCGAGATTCGATGAAGGAGCGCTTCTCTGCTCGCTATGACTGACAACGGCAGCTAGGCTCGACAAATCAGCCCCTCCGCAGGCTTCTCGAGCAAGCAAGACCAACGTGCGCCGGTGCAGTGGCTGCCATCCGAATGATCCAGTACCAGTAGCTTAGGGGATTTTCGTCCCCGCGATCTGCGGTCAAGATCTGAGTTCTGACCATTGCATTCAAGGCAATCCAGGCTCAGCTTAGTGTCCGAGGCACCATTGTACAGATGCCTTGCCGAGCCGCACCGCAGATAAAAGATGTGGGTCCGCTTCTGCATCTCCAGTGCCGCAACATGTAGCCGAATGCATCTGTGTTTTGTGGACAGGACGCACGGCCGGCACCTCTCGCCCCGTTCCTGAGGCTGCCAAAGTCAATCACCCTTTCGGCAGCCGGCATCTCCGGTATCTGCTTGGCACTTTAACATGATCACTCCTTGAGTCCCAACGTGGCGCAGCAAAAAGGGCTGCTTTGTGCCTCCTGCACCGGGCAAAGCATCTTCAGGTTTGCATCAAACGAAGGACTAGCATCAAAACTGCACTCCTGGTCGGGATGCTCGCAGCATGCCCTTTCAGCTGCAGGACTACATGACAGAAAATCAGGACCCGGAGTTCTATTCGCCTGTGCTCAAGCATGCCAGTAACGGTTGGTGTCTCATCTTTGGCTTACCTGGGCAGTCTCTTCTGCAAGTTTGTGAAGTAGTCTTTGAAGAGCTGTGCCTCTTTAGGCTTCGGGGTCAACTAGAGCAAATGCGGCATCTCAATCCGCCTTTCAGCTAGTACTGGTAGGGACTGTCGCTCCAGGGACCCGAGAGCTGCAGCCTCCCGTTGCTTCACCTGTGCAAGGAGCTGATCCTTCCGCAGCGGAAAAAGAAGAAGCAGGAAGAGGAGGACGGAGAGGGGACCCCGGGGAGGGTCAGCTTTGTCGATAGTCACATCGACGCGGCGCTTGCCATGCTGCCAATGCCAGGCTGCCATGCCTGTACTGCCTCACAGCTCGTGCCATCTCGTGCTGCAGGAGGCAGAGCTTGATGATAGCTAAAACCATCACAGCCTCTCTCGTGAGAGGGGCAAACCCGATGGATTTATGTACATAGAGCTGGAACGGCAGGTGGCCTGTCCACCAGTTTAGCTGGTGATGTCGGGTAGAGTTTGTTGCTTGCGCCAGTTACGGGTTGTTCTCGGCTGTTTGATATCTTGAAGGCATTCAACATTCTGCTCCAAGCATGACCCTAGTCGAGGCCCCTGCCGAATCCGGAAAGCCGCAGTCTTGTTGTGGCATCCCTCGAAAGCTAATGGAGCAACTGCATCTGTGGCTTCTCAGCAGTGCGATTCGCAAGATTCAGACAGATGCCGCAGTGCAGTTAGAATCAGTTAGAAGAGCGCTCTAATTTGGAGCTGCTTCTCGTTAACGGTTTCCGCATAGGATCAGGCGGCATCGCAGGGAGATGGAGGAAAAACGGAGTCACGGAGCTGACGATGAACTGTGCCAGGACACTACACCGTGTGCCAGTTGAATTGCTTTCTGACTCTGCCTGGCTACGTGCCACCATGCCACGACATGAGGATGGCTGCATCTGGCTGTGACAGGTCGCAGCTAGCATCCCACAGGCTGGTAGCAGCTCCGTGGCGAGCCTTTCCAGCCGGGGTTGCCATGGATGTCTTCGGAGTAGATGTTGCCTGTGCGAAGATTTCTGGAGAAGTGTTGGAGCTTTCTCTCGACTCGGACTCCCTGGTGCGCGACCTGAAACGGGCCATTGCGGACATGGCCGCGTCCGGTGAGACCCAGTTCCATCCCATCTGCCAAAAGCTCATGTTCCAAGGCCGCGCTTTGGAAGACACCGAAAGGCTGCGCACGCTCTGCGAGCCGCCAGCAGAGGGGGCGAAAGCCAAACTGGAGATGACTCTTCTGCTGTCAGTGGACAGCATTTTGGCAACTTTTGGCCTGGCGAAGCCCGATCTTGCCGTCACTTAGCATCCCAAAGTAGTGCTAAACTGGAGAATGAAGAACAAGACTGATGCCGAGAGCCAGAAACGTGGATCAACTCAGGCCGCCGCGATCAAAGTTGCCCGGACGATGGTGGCTTGTGATGAGCAGGCACAGTTGCCGCGCTTCTGACATTCCTTTCTCAGGATACGGGATTCGGGTCAGCTTGAAACGAAAGCATATCAGAGCAAACCTTCAGGCAAAGCGAGGCGTAAACTCTGATCCTGCGGACAAGACATTGACATGCCCCTTTCGGGCTTTGAGACCCAGCTGGATTTGCAGGTCCTGGCTGCGCTGTACCACTGTACACGTTGGGGCCTCTTCCGCAGTTGGTTGGTACGGTCCGAGCTTATCTCGCAGTGCCGTGTTGAGGCCGGGGGTGTTGGAATATCGTTGCACTGAAGTTGTCTCTTCCAGTTCCGCTGGCCCGCAAAGAGGCTGCCAAGGCCATCAGCAGCTTCGCGCAGAGCGGTCAAGAGGATGCTGTAGATGTGCTGATCAGGCGATAAGAGGGGGGGCGCCGTGTGTGTCGGAATTCGCATGTCATGGAGCAAGGTGCCTCAAGAGCCCCTCTCGCCAAATTCGTGATCTCGACGCTCGTCTGCTCTTGGTCCCAAAAAGACCCCGACATAGATGTCGCATGTGGAACTGAGCACGCTTTCCATTAGAACATGGAAGCACAAAGAAGCATACACCCCTCCTACCTTTATGTTCATGGCGGGCAGCATTCCCTCGGCCTCGTCAAATGTGCTTGCAACCTCTATCTTGTTCTCGTTTCGCAGGCCCTTAATGACAACGCATCTATGAATCTATGCAGTTGTGCATATGTCATATGTGCAGGACTTGCAGAAGACGCTGGCATTAGGCATAAAAGGCAGGCGCTGAGATGCAAGGCTTTCTGTGCCCTCGACACACCAAAGACGGCTTGCCAAAGATAGTGGGGGGTACCATGCAAAGGTATGCAAGGATTATTCGGGAGGCTCATCCCATCTCACCACTACGTTTTGTAATCAGTGCCCAAAACTATCCAAGCTGCAGGTGATTGACGGGCTCCTCATGGTCCCGATAGAGAAAGGGCTACTGCGCACGAAGCTGCGATTGGCCATAGACGGACTCCTGCAGCACGTGCAGCCTGTCGAGGACCGTTGCGGATCCTCATGTAGGTAGCTGAGTCGTAGCAGAGCACGCTTTCGCCCTTTTTCAAGATCGAACTGGCAGAGGGCGACGACTCCGAAGAAGAAGACTTTCACAGGATCGAGAAGTGGCAGGCTGCTGGTATCTCTATGCAAGGTTCCACTCAGAGCCACTTCAGCTACCCGAAGGGCCAGCCCGCAGGTTCTGCCCGCAGTGGAGATCCTGGGGCGTTTGTCCCCTCCGGGCGACGAGGATGCCCTTGCAGTGCTGAAGAAGGCTCTGGACCTCAAGCACCTCAGTCTCAGCTGCCGGAAATCTAGCCAAAGGATGTGCAGACGTTCGAGAAGAGCAGATAGATACAGACAAAGAGATTGAGATGAGAAGACAAGACAAGATTCGATTGGCTGCCAACTAGGGTCAGACGCGGTGGAGCGAGAATCGGTCCGAGCCGGATGCCTTGAGGTATGAGTTTCTGACTGACCGCCGGATCTTGGCGAGAAGGGTCGTGCTGTCCTCACTGGGCCACGTGGGCTGGGCTTGTCCGGAGACAGCGCGAAAGCTGGTGCAACACTTCGTCAAGTTGTGCAGCGCGCCTGAGACTGCAGGGAATCGGGTCGTACTGCCCGAAGTGTAGACCTGCAGTAGCCATGAAACCTAAAACAGATTCGGCCAATCATACTCCCTCGAGGTCCTGATGGTTCCTTTCCAGATTGGCCGTTTCGGCATGGCCGGCATCTCAAGCTTTGCGGCTCATGAATGGGCCATGGCCAGTGAAATTAGACAAGCAGAAATCCACGGAAAGGTTAACGATCCCCACGATCATTGGGAGACGACAGTCCCCGCCGTGGCCCAGCAAATGTGCAGCTTTGAAGAGACGAGGCCAACATCAAAGACATGCTTAGGCTTAGCCCTTGATCTGCGTTTGCTGCCTGCATCGACCCATTGAACTCCATGCCAATGTATGGCACTGGTCAGATGCGACAAACCAAAATCTCACCGGCAACCAAAGCTCTTTGTCCCACATCGTCGCTTGCAAGAGTTGTCGTCAGATGCTCGTATACGGCTCCGTTTAAGACCCCCAGGGGAAAGTTGGATTGGGCGGCTTTCGGGTCCCGAATCGAGTTTTAGACCTTCGGGGGGGCAGCCAATGGGCCTCCACGTTGAGCGATGCACTTCGCTTTGCCCTGCAGGCTGCAGCTTCCAGAGAGAGTGGTGGATGAGCTCCTTCGCACAATTGGACCCTCTCCTCGCCTCGTCTATCGGGGTCAGCTGGAGTGCAGCATACTGCAGCTTCTGAGGTTGGTCTCTCTCCTATCACATGCGGGTCAGACAGACCCTCGATTTCGCGTCAAAATTGGCGCCTCGGATTACTGATGCGCCTAGGCTGAGGCAGGCTGAAGCACTCCCACCCGATATCAGGCGGCAGCCGCTTCGCTACACGGGGCCGGATGCCAAACCCTGCATCCATACGGCGAGCGGCTATTGAGCTGCTGAGCGCGTGTGCAAACGAAAGTGTGTTGGACCCTTGCCAACAGTATCCAATTCCAGGGCTTTTGCCCTCCTTCCATGTTTTCATGTCATTGTGTGCTGCATGCGGGTAGCCAGCTTGTGCCAAGATGGTATGTAATTGGCAAGCTAATCCTACAGCACCGACTTGTTTGGGTATTAAGCATTCAGCACTTCTTGGGGCCCGTCTTGGCAGTGCAAGGAGAAAACACGGCCGCTCTTGCAGCATCATTGGGAGGAGGTGAGGATCGCGGCTACGACTTTGCCTCTCGTCGCTGTGCAGAGACCACTCCCAAACTCATGCAACTGTCGCAGCTGCACGCTCGACATCATGGCGGGAACATCACATTCTTTATCAGTGACCATACCCCCTTCGATAGATCGATAGAGTGGTGGGGGGGCGGGGGGGGGGTTGTTCCCACGTTCCCTGATTCTGCGAAGAGCAACCCAGCCCTTGTTGTTCTTGGCCACCGCCCTCCATTGTTCTTCAAACAACAACCCCACTCCCCCGTCGTTGTTGTGTAGCACACGTGTGTGCGCAATAACAATCGTGAACGGCGTAGCTGCCTTTAGCGCTCTGGCTCGACGCGACCTTTCGCCTACAGCTTTTCACTTAGATCCTCCTGTGCCTTCGGCGGTCATGTCCCTTCCTTCGGCGACGGCTGCTCAGATGCTGGCAGACGCCCTGACGGCGGCTCGGCGGACCGGATGGGTCCCCGTCATCGGTCTGCCCACGACGGACCAGATGACGGACCTCATCGACGCCGGGCACGCGGCGAGCCGGCTGATGGTGGCATGGTGCAGGGTTCGATGGTGGAGGCCGCGGCGGAGGTTGCGGCGGATGAAGCGGGGGGCACCGGCGGCACGGGCGGCTTGCCCTTCGTGCCGACGCCCATCCCTGAAGGCGACGAGGACGCCGACGACGAGGTGGTCATGGCTCAGCCTGTGGTGGTTGGCACGGCGGGAGTTGGGTCCGGGTCCCCGCCCGTGAGGTCTCCCACGGCGGCGGCCGACACATGGCAGGTGGCGGCGCTTACCTCGATGCCATCCTCTGACTAGGGCGGTGACACCGGCGCGCTCGGCGCCGCGGGGGCCCCCCAACGCCAGGGAGGCGTTGAATCCCGCCCTGGCCCCTCCTGCCCAAAGCCCCTCCGACGCCGCTGGTGCCGCCAGGGACGGCGGCGCCAATCCGGCGCCTATCTATCTGGGGCTGGGGATTGCGGCGACGGTCACCGTGCCGGCCGAGAACCTGGAGACGGCGGAGCAGATGGTTTACCCGCCGACGCCCAACCTTCGACGGACCGCCTCTGAGCACTTCGGCGAGTCACATGGCAGCCGCGGCTTCTGTGGCGGAGGTTCCCTTGAACCGACACCCGACGCCAGCCGAGAAGGGCCCAGCTGCACCCTCGTCGGCGTCGGCGAGCCACTGGATCAATGAGGCCTCAGCTTCGGCGGGTGTGGCCCCCGCGACGGATCTGGGGCGACGTCCCCTGGGAACAGCCCCACGAGGCGGCTTTGGCCCGCATTGCGGCGGCTGCGGCGACTGCCAGCTTCCCGCCCGCCAGGCCAGCCGACGCAAGCCGCCGACGGTCCTCTGTGCCAACGGCGGCCATGCGGGCAGAGAGGCGGCGCAGAGAGGCATCGGCCCAGTACGAGGCCTATGACCCACGGCGCTGGGGCGGCACCCCGTGGACGGCGGAGGAAATTGGCCACATCCCACCGGCGTACTTCGAGTACAGACACCGGCTGGAGAGGGCCGGCACCTCAGCCAAGGATACGGCGGTGCCACCACACCTTCGGCGCTTCGCCTATGACTCCCTGGGCCAGCTTCGGGAGATGGAGGCCAGCGGCGCACTGCCCAGGCCGGCATGCGGAAGCTCTGCGCCGACATGCGGCGCGGCCTCGCCTTTGGAGCCGCGGCGGCGGCCATCATGGACGACGCGGCCTCCTGGAACGAGCACGTCATCGCCCACTCCATGGCGGCCGCCATGAAGAAGCAGGTCCAGAACACCCGGGACACCGGCGCACCGAATCAGGCGGCGACCGAGACCCAGCAGGACTCCGGCGACCAGCCTACCAAAGGGGAAAGGCCGGCGCACAAGGCCACGACGACGACCCGCCAACACCGAGCAGCCCGACACCAGAGAGGGTGCGGCGCATCTTGGCACAGATTGGGAAGGCACTCGACGAGAACCAGCTCAAGACCGACGACGCGCAGAAGCTGGCGGGCCGGCTCTCCTTCCTGACGCAGGCGGTCTTCGGCGGGGTGGGCAAGGCACCCACCAAGGCGGCCCGTGCGGCGGACACGGCGGCACATTCGGCTGATGGCCTTACCACGGGGCTGCGGGCGGCTGCTTTATCCTGCCGACGGTCCGGCCCCGCTTCATACCGTTCGTCGCCGACGAGCTGGACACCGCCGTGCTCTATGCCGACGCCTTCTTCCTGGACGGAGAACGACGCCACAAAGCAGGCCATGTGCCTGTGGCGGCGGACGCCTCCCGGCCCAACCGTGTCAATAACGGTTGGGGGTTCGTGCTTCGCCTCGGCGGCGCTGTGTTCTACGACCACGGCGTCGTCCCAGCATGGTTCCTGCAGAAGTTCCAGGCGCGGCGGGCCTTCATATACATGCTCGAGATCTTCGCGCAGGTGGTCGCCATTGCGGCGTTCTCCGCCCACATGCGCGGCGCCATAACGGCCTTCATCGACAACTCCGCGGGCCAGGCGGCGTTGTCCAAAGGATATGGGAAGGATCCGGCGGTGAATGGCTTGCTGGCCGCCTTTTGGGCCTTGGCGGCATTGGCGGCGAAGAAGGGAACCCTGATCCAGTTCCGGCGGGTGCCGTCCAAGGCCAATGTAGCCGACGCGGTCTCTCGCGATGACTTTTCCAGGGCCCGGCGCGAGGGGTGGACGAGGGTCTACACCCCGGCGTCGGTGATCATGGACATCTTGGCGAAAGCGGTCGACGACATCGTCTACGCGGTGGATGCGGCGGCTGCCGACTTGGACTCCTGCTCTACCTCCTGGTTCTCTGAGCCGGCGCGTGGTGGGGCAGGGTGCGCCGGACGGTGCTGAACTGCGCACCCGGCGCCGGCTGTAGGACCTGAGCCTGCACGCCGTACGGCGCTTTCAGCGCTACGCATCCACACGACGAAAATAGAGTCGTCCGATTTGGGTGTCAGAGCTCAGAGTGCGACGGTTGTTGTGTAGCACACGTGTGTGCGCAATAACAACCGTGAACGGCGTAGCTGCCTTTAGCGCTCTGGCTCGACGCGACCTTTCGCCTACAGCTTTTCACCCACCCTCGCCACCCTTGTTGGGTTTCGGCGGCGGTCAGTCCGCAGCGGGCCGGTGCTGAACTGCGCACCCGGCGCCGGCTGTAGGACCTGAACCTGCACGCCGTACGGCGCTTTCAGCGCTACGCATCCACAACACGACGAAAATAGAGTCGTCCGATTTTGGCGTCAGAGCTCAGAGTGCGACGGTTGTTTGTTGAACCTCCCCCCCATTATTGTTGTTCTTGCCCCCTCCGTGTGAGCGGTGTGGTGGTTACTCGGAGTAGTAGTAGCAGTAACAGCAGCAGTTGCAGCAGCAGCAGCAGCAGCAGCCGTAGCGGTAGCGGTAGCGGCAGTAGGAGTAGGAGTAGGGGCAGGGGTACTGTTCCCCACTCCTCCTCTTCCCGTTGTTCTGCGCTCCCCCCCCCGCCCCAACAGCCCGGGTTGGGGGTTGTTGTTCCTCAAACCCACGAACAACAACCCCTCCCCTGCCTATCGAAGTAGTGTTTCAGTGACTCAGGCTGGGTCGGCGGTCGTTCAAAGACGAGGTCCTCATGGCTGAGCTTACTAATCTTCTCCATTCTGAAGCACCTCCGGTGGCACAGGAAGCCGTCACTGCGCTGGGCCAGGCACCTATGCATGCAAGACGGTAGGAGATCTGCTGTTAAGTTTTCGTCATCCTGTTGATAAATCGAAACTAGGAATTTGTGTGTGTGTGTGTGTGTGTATGTGCACGCGTGTTTTGCTTGCGGCAAAGACAAACAAGTTTTGTCATGGTAGAGTCAAGTCACTGTGGCGGCATCTTGGGTCAGGGTGTGCCCTTCTCCTGCTACCGAACACTCTGTACTGTCCGCTTTGACGTTGTAGCGACTGACCAGTCTGTTTCGAACGTTTCACAATCGAGGTGGGCAAAGGCAACGCGCAAGTCATCGCAACCTTGAGATCATGCCTGTCTCACGCGGATGGCTGGGTACGAAGAAGCGCACCCCGAGCATTGCTGAATGCGGAACCTTGGCTCAAGTCACGGCTTGCACGCTGGCATAGCACGAAGAAGGTTTCTAATCTCTCTGTGCCCAGGTTGGCTCAGATGTTGTGGACGAGCTGCGGCAACTGAGTGCACATGGCGATGTGGAGGTTCTGCCACTGAGATGAAACGTCCTCCGTAGCCTGGTGATTGAAGCGCTGCACGAAAGTCTCGGATGCCTTGCAGGTGGCAGAAGCCTCGCTACTGGCCTTGTCGGACGACGTGCGAGCTGCTACTGCGGCTTTGGAACACCAGGTTCCCTTCGTAAGCATGTCTCAAGTGGGCTTTGCTTTTGGGCATGTCAGGGCTGCACACAGGAGCCGCATGTCCAGTTCGTTGCCGCGAAGCTGCTGTTGAAGACACACCGGATGCCTAACTGGGAAATTGACAATTCAACGGCAGCATTGCCTCCAGTCAGAACCAAGATAGATAAGAAAGCATGCAGACGCAGCTGTACGTGCATGTCGCAATGCGCGTGCGATGAGAATTCCGAACGTTGGCCCTCTGAGGTATGCGCATGGCTTGGGGGAAAATCAGCGGCACGAGCCGGAGGCTCACGTGGTCGGCAAGCACTTTTTAAACCTTTCAGAGATCTACAGGGACGCAGCCACGCAAGCTCCAGTCGGTCGCTGGCTTTGAAAGGCGCCTTCCGCGGAGACCTTTGCAGCTGTCAAGAACGTCGTCATGCGCCGGGAAATCTCCGAGACCAAGCGGATTTGCATTGGTGGCCTGCCTTTAGGAAGACCTTCAGGGGTTTGCATCTAGACGATGCTGTTGAGGTCGTCCCAGAAGAGAGAAATTCCGAAGCTTAGCCGGCGCGAATTGTACCGCGTCTGTGAGGTTTTCTTTATATTCTGGGCGTGCGGTTGCAGCACCAGGAGGTTGCTCGGCATGCAAGCCATGTCTCTGGCCGAACAGGCCCTTTAACTTATAGGGCTTATAGGGTGTGCGGTCTGTTCCTCGGCTTTTCCCGATGTAACTCGCAAGGGGTATCCTAGTCATGTGACCCTGCGCTGCACGACGAAGGCGATCCACCTGCTGCAAGAGCTCTTGGACGCTTCTTGTTTCACATCTTAGCTTGCAATCGTCTAGGTTCCGGTGGCAGGGCTTGGATCCGTAGAAGCTTCGCATGATGAAATTGTCGCACTGCATGGACACCATGGCGTTTGTGCGTTGCTGCGGCCGTCTTTGTTCCGAAATCGGTGATGGAGTGTAGCCAATACGAAAGGCAAAAGCATGTTGCCAGAATCAGAAAGATCTGCTCAGGAGAAGCTGTGGCATCCTGTCGCAGAGGCTGAGGACTTCTTGACAGACAGGAATGCTGCATGCACAGTATCACGAATCTTCGACTTGCACTTTCAGGATGCTCTCAGACTGCTGCGCGAGAAGCCAAAGCCAAAGCTGAGAAAGATGATAAAGGCGACGAGCGTTGGTATTGGCCACAAAGCCGCGCTGTTGATATCACCTTGCCGGTTTGTTGAGGCAAAGTGGGTTTCATCCATGCTATCGCTCGACAGAGACGATGACCTGCCTGTCCCATCATCTTTGGAGGTGGGCTTGCCGGGCAGATCCCCAGGTTGAAACGATCAGAAATCGTCTCTGGAGGAAGATAGCTCAACCTTCTGGGACGCATACAGCGTGGACGATACTCGGCATGACAGATGGCAGCCTCGGTTTGGTACACTTAGCTTCGCCGCCCCTCGGTCGATGTGCCGGCATCCGAGGGCTTCACGGCTCACATCAACGAGCGCGATGTTCTGGAGACCGGCGATGCCTGAGAATTGGCAGAACAGCTGCGACATCGGCGTACCTCACGGTCCAAAGAGGCACCGAGCAGCAGGGTGCGGTTGGAAGTTGCATGTAAAGAGGGTAATGCGGTGCTTAGGGTTGCGATTTGGAGATGTAAACACACCCTCAGCCGCGTCAGTTTCCGAAAGAGTTGAAAGCTGCAACGGTTTTGAGATCTCGTTGTCTCAAGTCATTGCCAAAGCTTACACAAAGCCTCCGATTCCGCCGGCCCACGCAGGCCAACGGTGCACTTCGACGTGGCTGCGACGCTGGACATCACTCAGAGCACTGATCCGCTCCACCAGGGTAAGCTCCCTGGGTAGCTCACCCGGCGCCGCCCAGGCGCCACCAATCAAAGCTATCAGCTAACATTGCAGCAAGGCCTCTCTTCTTCGGCTGCAGTGGTTGTAGTGGTCTTAAACGAGAAACAAGGGACACGGGTTCATGTCAGTTTGACAACCAGCAGAGTGTCGGTGTATCGAGATCAAGAATGAAAGAGCCTCAGCTGCCATTTCCATGATGAGGGAACCTTTCCTCGGGACGCCTCTGAGATTGCTGCGCGTTTATTTGTAGGAGTATTTATATTCAGGCCCCTCGAAAGAGGCAGACGCCTGCGTATTGCGGTCATAGCTTAGGCACAGGTGCGGCATAGCCCTCGCCGAAGGCGAGCTTCGCACCTGCCACAGCCGCTGTGCCGTCTCCGACTGAGAAGTATAAATGACGAGAAAATTGGCTGCTGGGGCTTGGATGTGTGACTCAAATTCAGCAGGTTTGAGCGTCTGCGCACGCGCGCGGTTCGTTGCAACGAAAAGAATCGCAATACGGCCATCATGCGACCGGACAGGGCAAGAACCGCAAGATGCTACAAGAGTCGTCCATTCAGCGAACGCATCTTCCTGACACATTGGATGCCTTTCTGTCCGTGGTCGCCTTGACCTTTCTCTTGTCCATTGTGAGGCTCACGTTAGGTTCGCGAAATAGTGAGACCCATGCTGCCCTTCAAAGCCTCCCTGTGAAGCGAGATTTTGACAGATACTGCGTGCTGCCGCATGGCCATGCGACAAGGCGGGCAAGAAGCACGCTCCAAACAACCGCAACAAAACTTGTAAGATGGCCGTGAGCGCCTTTGCGGCCTGAATTCAACCCGAGGTCCTTGAGGGAAGGTTGCGATTGAACCGCGTGCCGGCATCCTTCACATCTGAATCTTGCACCACCGCTCTGAAGAACAATTTTGTATCAGGTCCTGTGTGCGGATGGCTTCGAGTTTACCATTGACAAGTTGTCCCAGTGTGCGATTTTCTTTTCGTGCGCAACTAGCGTCATGCTCAGCACCGCTCCGATCAAACCGGATTTGAATCTGCATACTTTGTGGAGGAGTATGAAGAGAGCTGGTGACATAGGCAAAACTTCCCGCCTTGACGACCTTGCCCGTGTCGATGGAGGCTACAGTGGTAGCAGCAGGATGCAAGATGAGCGGAAAGCAGACAGACGCAGACGGGTTTTGTGCATGCATGAATTAAGGGACGACGTTGGTGGCTATGATTGGCCTCCTCACACATACACTGAGCAAGCCAGGAATCAATCATACATCCTGGGATTTCTCGGCGGATCCCCCTCCGAGCAATGGCAACGCGTGCGACCCGCTTTGCAAGGAGGCTGCGAGGGTAGTTTAGCTGCCTGGGTGCCAGCGATAAGGGTCGCCTGGGGTAAACCGAACTGATCTTGCCGAAGTCTTGCTTGCAAGCATGGGAACACAGGATCGAGCTTTTGTGGTGTATTGCTGTCATGCCCGGACAGGTTGGTGGTCTTGGCCGTGCTGCTAAGCGGTATTTTGCTCGGTGACTGTGTACAGTGATGTAGCGCTAATGGGCTGTCCGAATCAGCTATCGGAGCAGTGTGAAGCCGGACCATCTGGGCAGAGACGCTGAGGAGCAGCGCTCCGGTCGCTGACGTTCTGCGGCAGTCCGACTGCAGGCCTTAATCGACTCATGCGGCGCGGAGCCTTTGGTTTTTGAAGCTGTCGCCGCTCTGCCAGGGGGGCGCCAGCCGCGGCGAGCCGCCGAGGGCCCCGGGGGCCGAGGCCGAGCCGAGCCGTCAAGAGGCGGAGACGGCGGAGAAGCAGGGGGGAATCTGAGTATAAATGCGCGTAGAAGGCTTCTTGCGGTAGCCTTCTGAAGCCCATACTTGGCGGTCTGACGCACGTTCTGAACTCTGACCGAGTGATTAGTTATTGAGAGATTCTCTTGTGAAGATCCTGATCCAGGTTCATACATCTACCGCCAAGCAGTGTCGCTGAAGGCGCGGACTTGTCAGGAGGACCAGCATGTTCATAAGACATTGTGGCAGTGCGGCAGGTTGATGGAGCAGTGGAGCCGTTGGGCAAGTTCGTGCTTGTGAAGTCTGCGAAGGCGGAGGAGATGACAAAGGCCAATCGCTCAAGCGCATGGGGCATTCGGTGTTAGAGGGTTCTGAAGCAGGGCCGACTGCATTGAGGTTGAGGCTAGGGCTTAGGGCCTGCAGGAAGCAATTCCGTGGATTCGTAGGCGCGTTGCTTGGTCGGACACCCGCCGACAAGCGCCCAAACAGTTCAGAACCGATCAAAGCCATGCAACCGCAGTAGCTTGCGTTGTTGTCTTTTGCTTCGTGAACCAGCGTTGTAGCAGTTGTCTGCTGGATTGTTGTCCGTCTGTCATGAGACCTACTCGGACCCACAAGACAAGACAAATTGTTCCACAATTTCAGTTGTGTTCCAGTGTGGCGGTGTTCACGTGTCAACATCTGCCAGAGGCGCCTACGGCCCACTGGTTTTAGTCGATCTGCATGGCGTAAGCGGTAGTTGCAACCACAGTCTCCAGCAGGGGGGCCTGCTGCTGCCGAAGAGCGAGAAGCCTAAGGAGCAGCGCCAAGTGACAAGTGATCGTGTGTTGTCAAGTCGACTTCAAGCCATTGAGTGCGATACTTCCTTGTGCAAGACTAAAAACTCAGTTCTGCCTTCATGAGTCACGCTGACATTGCGCATTTTCTCGCTCGCTGGCACTAGCTGTCCAGAACAGCAGCAGCTTTCCAATCCGAACCTGCTTTGAGGAGGGCGAGATAGTGGCAGTTGGCCCTGGAGAGGCCTGAAGACCAGTCATGTGCACTGCAGAGGGATGCGGCTCGTAGGTTCCAAGCAATTGTTGCAGCATTGTACGACACCGGGCGCAGTATGCAGCCAGCCAAGAGCGCATCCCAAACAGGCCATAGCTGAGACGGGCGTGATGGTTCCAATGTCTGTCCAGGTGGGTGAGAAGGCCCGTCTGTCAGGACATGAATCAGCCAATCTAGAGCAGAGGAGGGGAGGTAAGAGAGAAGCTGTGAAGAGAGATGCAGAGAAAGAGAATGCGAAAAGCGGCGTGAGGTTCTGTACAGCAAGCTGCAGCCTTAGCAAAGGAAAGGAGTTCAGCTGGGATGCCACCTGTCCATTCCTGGTCTTGTAAGACATGACTGCTTCGGCTTTGCTCGGATGTTTTCGTGCCGTCTCGGAGGTATGGTGCATCCGAAACCATCGAGTGCAGTGGGGAGGATCATGTCCTCGCCGAGATCTTAAGACGGCCTACCTCCGAGTCCGGCCAGCGCCAAGGGTCCCAAGGGTCCGGAGATGCCCAGGTCAGAGAGGATGATGTTCTCTTGAAGTACGAAGGCTGGGACAGGCTGGGGGACTCCGGGCCTCGGCAGATGGCGGATCCAATTCAGGCGATGAGCCTTCGCTGGAGCAGGTCTCCATGCCCCGGGGCAAGGCTGCGATCTGCGTTCTTGGGAGCAGTCGCAGCGATCGTCTGGGCAGGTTCTAGTGAAGCTGTTGGCGAAAGAGGAGGCATGAATGTTTACATTGCAAGTTTACAAAGCATCCACCTACGACCGCTGCTGTAAGCGTCCCAGCGTCACCGATATCACGAGCACAGGTGGTCTGCGAGCTGCACTTGGATTCTCCGCTAATTACACCCGCTCCACCCGTCACGAACAGGAGACCTCCTTCGGCTTGCTCCTTTCGAAGGAGGCCTCCAAACAGACCACGACCGCGGGCAAGGCCAGGACTTCAGAAGACCTTTGCGTCCAAAAGTGCCTTGCGAATGCTTGCGTTCTCTCTCTCTGGCTTGGGTCACTTCAGGTGATTGCTGTCGGCCCTGGCATCGTTCTGGCCAACGGACCGGCCCCAAGTATTCTCGCACGACTCAACCCAGCTCCGCAGTGTCTTGAAAGTGTTCGCTGCCGGTTCAACTACGGATCCAACAGAAACTCAAAGCCGCGGTGGTCGACAGGGCTCTGATGCGAAATCGTGCGGAAATCAAGCAGTTCGCGCAGTTCCGGCCAGGGGACGAGCAGCCCTCGCCTGTGCAGGCGGAACCTGCCAAGACAGCGTCCAACGTTCAACGTTGTCCAAAATCTGTTGCAAGTTGCTGGTACAGTGATAACGAGTAGACCCTGACATTGGGTTGCCGATGAACCTGTGACAGGTGGGTGACATGGTCCGCTTTCGCTACGGGGACGAGGTCTGAAGGGACATGCATGAATGTATGGCTCGCAGCAACCTGGTGATAGCGTTTTGAAGCAGAGTCACGTTCCGGCGTGGCTTGGCTGGAGCCAGCGCGGGTCAAAGTGCCGTCTGTGCAGCAGCGGCGCTCGTTTAACAACGGAACGATATTCTTTGTTGCGAAAGCTCGAAGACGCCAATTCGAGGAAGAAGCAAGTTAAGCCTCGGCTCTCCAACTCTTACCTGGGTGGAGCAAGGTGAGGCGACCCCTGTGCCAAATCACTGCCCGCCACGGCCCTTTTTCGGGTTTAGGGTTTAGGGTTAAGACTTTGGGGGGTTTCGGGATGAGGGCAGCAAGCACTTGCGAGCCCCTGTCGGGGCTTTAGTTTCTACAAGCCGGATGTGCGCACTTCAGGGATAAGAACGCTTTATTGTCTTTATCGTGTCAGGTTTTGCTCCTCGACCTCCTCCTCCTCCTCCTCCTCCTCCTCCTCCTCCTCCTCCTCCTCCTCCTCCTCCTCCTCCTCCTCCTACCCTGCACCTTCTGCTACTCCTACGCTACAGTACTGCTGTTCGTGTTTCCTCGTTCTTTGACCAGAGCGACGAGGACATGAAGGCTTGTTCTGACCATCCGTTCTGCGCCTTATGAAGTTTTTGGCTGGCTACAAGTTTGGCGGGCGGCTACCTTCAGTGACCCTATGTAGGGTTGGGAGTACACGAGCCCGCGCAGACTGTTCAGCGACGGTTCAGCTTCAAGAGAGTCCACAAGTTTATGCAAGTTTGAGAAGGTCCAAAGAAACAGGCCAGAGCATGCAGGGTCATTCAGCGATTCTGAAGTCATTGAAAGAACACATCACGAAAGCCACGCACTGGCTCATCGGTGACCTTGTTGCCATGAAAGTCGCGGATGACAGCGTGTCGGAAGCTGACCTGCATGAAGAAGCCCAAGATCATGATGCTGATGAAGGGGTATCCAAACATCGTGCGACTCCTTCAGACTGTGATGAACCTTGGCCGGCTTGTTGTGATCATGGATCATGGAGTATGTGCTCGGAGTTAGCTTCCAGCAGCACCGGGATCTTCCGCAACATATGATCCGCATCCTCTTCCAACAGATAACGGACGGCGTGCGGCACCTGCACAAGATGAGCGTTGCGCACGGCCACTTGATGCTCGAGAACATTTTGGTCGATGGGCAGGGCTCCGATCATTGATTTCGGCTTCTCGTGCCGTGTCGGCGAAGTAGCACGCGGCGGCACAATCACCAGCACTCCGCCAGAAGTGATTACAGTCGTGCAAGGTTCCTCACCACCACCTCAAACTCCACAATGCTGCGACGTCTTGTCTCTGGATATGGTGTTTTTCGCCTTGTTCTGTGGGCACCTGTCCTTTGAGGGAGCCAGCGACTTTGAGGTGGCAGCGAAGATCTTACGGGGTAGCTACCACTTCCATATTTGGAAAGTCATCAGCGAAGCTTCGCAAGACATCGTTGACCGTTTTATGAAAGTCGAGCTTCGTTGTCGCATTCCACTTTCCGATGTGTCCGCACATGCCTGGATTCCAAGTGAGGGTGCTCTGAGGTTTTCGCGCAGAAGTGTGCCAAAAAGCCCTCCACTGAAAGCCAAAACTTCGAAGTGATATCCTTTTGGGCACGCGCAACGTTCTGACTGAGCCCAGATGGATTTCAACGCTATTTATGGGCGTGGACTTACTGCCCGCCCGGGCTTCTAGACCCAAAACCCGCAGACTTCGCATCGTGCTTAGTCTTGACATGGTGTCCATTGGGGTATGTGTCAGAAGAAATGCTATGATCAGAAGGGTACCATGCCAAGCATCTCCAGGTATCGTGATTGTGGCAAGTAGCAAGAGGAGCCCCGACAAGTTGGGAGACAAGTGTCGTGAGCAGCTGGATGACTAGAGCATGTATGGTCATGAGTCATGAGTGCATGCTGCAGTGCTCACCCCTTGCGACCACCCTTGGCTTGCGGTCTCTGGCCTTGCCATTCAATGTCATCGTCGTTTCAGATGTGGGTCGGGAAGCTTGCCGTTTTTTTCGATTCATGCGGTCATGGAACGGTAGACTCCGCCATAGACTTTTGCGGTGCCGTGAGTCCCATGGAGGTCGACTTGGATATCGGCGATGACCAATTTTCCGTTGCCTCTTGGAGCAAATGCACAGTTGAGCTACTTGCATGGTTTTTTTTTGCAGGCTCACGAACAAGATGCTCCAAGCACGTAATGGCAGTGGTACTATTGTAGGCCGGCCGCATGTCGTAGCGACGTTGTCGCCAAGACTTCCAACACCACCGATTTTCACGGGAGTAGACAACTTCGTGCTCCCAGTACAGTACCTGCAGTGCAAGGTCAGCAGCTCCAATTGCATCGCGAAATGGCAGGATGCTTGATGCCTCGACTGAGGCAGGTCCCGACAATGCAGAATTCGTCGGGTATGCTGGGCGTCTGCTGCTGTTACTTCGCACACTCTTGCTCTACAGCTTTTCGACTTTTGCGAATGCGAACCTTGCTGTGAGGCTGTTGATGAATTTCTGATTTGCTGTTGACGTGTGGGCTTTGCTGCAAGATGTTGAAAGTTGTCAGTTGCCTCACGCGGCACCTTTCGGTCCATAGCCTCAGTGTTGCTTTCCGGAGTGCAACATGCTGTGGGAAGACACTGGCGAGCTCGCCAGAAAACGACCTGAACAACTTTGCTGCGCGATCGCAGCGAAATTCGCCGAGCAGGAGACTGCAGGCAAGGCCCCGTTCTGCAAAAACAGATCTGAGTGGCGGAGGTTTCGGCACTTCACTTCGAGAGGCCGAGACAAGAAGTATGGGGCAGTGGGCTCTCTCGAAGCTTCGGTGGCAACCACCAGCGTGCACTCGAAGGATGATTGTTCCTGAAGCTCTCGGCGCTGAGAGCCTAGGCTTTTTCTTAGATGGTACTGGCCACCTCGATGCCCTCCACCAAGGACTACGAACTTTCTGGCTTCGTGTGGGACTGTGCGGAGAATATCACGAAGCGGGATGCGCAGCTTGTATGAGTCATGTGGCCACGTGCCGAAATGAGCCGAGCTTCGAAAGCTCCCAAAGGCTCAGTTTACGTCCAAGCAAGAGGCTCTGTGGGGCTTGGCAGGAGCGCATCTTCGGTCTTCGCGATCTCGTCGAGACACTGGCACCTGTGGACAAGCGAGCTGCGTGACTGGAGATGGTAGCAATCGGCCTCTCTTTGGTAGCAAAGTGGTTCAGAAGAGCCTGCACGGCAGCACGGTACCCAGGATTGCTTCACGGTCCTGGAGCCTTGGCGGCGCTTCGGTGGTATCGACAAAGCTCGTCGGGCACGAATTTCTCCAAGGATTTGGGCTGCGGTGACGGCCAATCGCTGTTTGCTCTGCACTCCTCTGGCCTCAGCTGGGAGAACATCGTGGGAGTGACGGCAGAGGACTAGAGTTTAGAGTGCAAGCTGGCAGAATCAGCTTTCGATGTTCTTTTTGGGTGAAGTCAGCGAGGATTCACGCGGTGTGGAGGCAGGCGTATCAGCAAACGGACCTGCGTTGGTTGGCAATTGCATGTTGACAGTTTTGGCGGGTTAAACAAACACTGGTGTTGTCCGGTGGATTGTCGAATGTTTGTGACACTTGTCGCGGTTTCGATAATGGTACTTGAAGGTACTAACCGGCACTGAGCCTTTTGATCTGCGAAGTGCTGGGGGTGCAGAATCAGAAGCTTCCTACGTCGTCTGGAACATCGATGCCGCTCAGATCAGGAAGAGCAAAGTTACCCTGCCGGCGACGCCGTATTCCGTAGCTCTGTGAACTCTGCGCCCAGGACCTCGCTAGCTGTCCATGTCTTCAAGGCCGAACATTCGACCTCATCGTTTCTTGGGTAACATGGATCTGGCTGGCGGATCCGATTGGCACTTTGGAGGCCCGGGAGGTTGCAAAGAGCTTCGAAGAGCAGTGCTCGTGACTCTCATGATCTTTACCTGGCTTCGGAGCAAGGGAAGTCAGGGAACTCTGCAACCTCATCGTTCCTGTCGGCGTCGACACCTGACGCGTGAGGAAAATTCGTGTTGCTTCCGCGTATCTGACGCAAGCAGCCCTTGGGCAGATGATCTACGAGCACTTCCTGCGCTCGGGTGGCGTGATGATGCTAGGTGGCGAGTTTGACATCGGTCTGATTTGCAGCAAGATGCCTTTCTTTTTTGGGACTTCGGCGACTGTTTCCTTGCGTTTCACGCCAAGGTGGCGTGCAGCTCCTGACACCGGGCCCCGACCCCCTGGAAGATCAGAGGCGACTCTTTGCGGCGTGACCTTTGTTCTTGTGCAGAGAGGGCAGCCAAAATGTGGCCACCGCCACGCCCGCCCGTTCCTTCGTCACAGGTGGCTCTTCGCCCTGTCAGACTTCCTGATCGAGGAGGGCCACCAAATCAAGTGTTTTGCAGATGCGAGCTCTGGCGTCTACACTTGGTGGATTCAGAGGAAAAGGCAGGGGCAGCATGGTGCTGCACTGTTCTACAGGCTGTGCAAAAGCATGCGACGCAGTACCAGGCCATCTCGCCTGGCATTGAGCCGGCTTGTGAGCTACTGTGAAGACACGTCAGTGCACGAGCCTTCCCACAAAGCGCTCTACGACACTTGGCCGTCTGTGCTGCCTGTGCCGGACTCTCTCGTTGGTTTTGTCTTGTTGACATCAGTAGTTTAAATGCGCAGCCACTGCCAAGGATGTAAATGCAGACGTTCTCGGAGCGCTAGCGTGCCGGTATGCAGGGGCAGGAGGAGACTATCCGTTGCCTCCGCCGGCAATTGCTGCATCCGCCGAAATTCCATCGACGAGGATCTATGACAAATTGGAGCTTCTTTCAGACGCTGAGCGGATCAGGAATGCTCCGACTCTGAAGATACACGTTCCCCGGAGTGAGCTGGACCTGAAAAGCTGCATTCAGGCATGGGTGGAATCAGATGTCTGAAGCCCCCACCGACCATGTTCCTGATATGCCACAGCAGCGGACGACACCCTGAAAGCGCAGAGCTGCTGATCGCCGGCTTTCAATCCGGTCTGGGCTTTCAACCAGGTCGAGGAATGCAAGCCCGATGATCTGCGAAGATTCCGTGGGCTGTCTTCCGCTCGCGGTTCTCCGCCGCTGTAGAGCTGGCCACTGTAAAGCTGCGCGCGGGAGAACCCGGCGTAGTAGAGGCGGGGTGCTGGACCCAACTGGCCGGTCTTGCTCCCGTGGCCTCCTGTACTCTACCGCTTTGTTTCCGGGATGCAGGGCTTTTCTCCCACAAGTGGTTTTTTGCCTGCATCTAGCATGCCCTTTACTGGTAGTTTATCTCTCCTGGTTATTCATGTGTTGTTGTCCAAGCTTTGCTGTGTGCGTGCAGTGCAGTGCGCTCAGAACTAAACCTGCAGACCACGCCATGTGTTCCGGCACTCTCCTGTGTTGAGTGCAGAGTCGCATCCTGACGTCAACAGCTTGGACTAGAATCTACAGTCAGATGTCACCGGCAGTTCAAATTCAAGTTCAACGAGCTTGCTCTGATTGTGGTGCCTCGATCCGGGAGAAACAGCAGAGACTGCATCTTGCTGCGGTAGTCTGAACGTGTGTCCTGCCTGTCTTGATGGCCAGGTGTCCACGGTTTTGTGCCACGAATTCGAGCACTGAGACTTTCATCCCAGTCCGTGAGAACTTGCAATCAAGTGTCATGTCGGCTTGAATGAACATAATGTGGTGAAGACTCGTGAAGATGAAGCACCCATCTGGGATGATGGTAATCAGCCGTTCGCCGCGCTGCTGCGGTAGGTCATATGTGCTCGTCGGGTTTTGCTGTGTATGGGATAAGTATGACTGCAGCTAGAAAATCGTAGTACAGTGTGCGAGCCGAACTTTCCCATGCGCAACTTTCGTAGACTCGCTTGCAAGCTGGCGCCTCTCGCAGACTTTGTCGCATTCGCAGCTCTGGCACCACTGCCTTAAAGCCCAAGCTGCATGCCGTGGCCCTTTCCCCCCAAGTTTTGGCACAGAGAGGCACCGGATGCTTGGGTTGAAAGCAGATATAGACCGCTCAGAGCTTAGACTGCACGAGTTGTTCACAGCACCAAAGCTCTCGGATTGTGCAGCCAGCTGCATTGTGCGATTGAGATCACTGCCGTGCTCGCGCATGTGGTTCCACTCTGAGATGCGCTGTATATCTGTCGGCTTCTCGAGTTGCCATATGATCGAACCTGGGCACGAGCACACCTCACAGCTGGAATATAAGAAATTTGTTGCAAGCAAAGAAGAACATGAGCATACGTGAGCACACTAGGCCACGACCTCTACTACCACTTCATCTTAGCAGTCGCATGGTAAGGGAAGTTGCGAAACGCTCCGTTGGTCTTGGTCCTGTGAAAGCCATGACGAGACGCAACAAAGCTGCGAAAGCAAAAGCGGAGAAACCAGCGATCGACTCGAACGACAAGGCGGGCTCGCCAGTCAGCTTGAGGATGAGGTTTCTTGTTGCAAGCAGGAGCCGGCGAAAGAGGAAGTGCCTGCATCGACAGAGCCAAAAGAGCTTGAGGAGCCCGCAGGATCGCAGGTGGCGGAGACAATTCAGGAGCCCTCGCAAGAGGAGCCCGAGAACGAGAAGACGGAAGCAGTGGAGGAGACCAAGGCTCGCCACGGCCACCGTGGCTCCGATGCTGCCAGGGCCCGCAAGACTCGCATGACAGGTCCAAGCAGACGAAAGCTCCGCACCAGAAGACCTGGACACGTGAAATTGCGTTAAACTTTGGTACTCTTACTCTCATGCAGCTCGCGTGTGCCACTGTCACTGACTGCTGCCAGGACACTACGGCCTTGATTTCCGACCCCTTGTCCAGTGAGGACTGTTCTGGGTTGTCGGGTTGTCTGACAGCAGAGTGCGGCAGCTTCATCTTGCAACCCTACAGACTTACAGCAAGGAGCGCGATGCTCTCACGAGGCTGCGCCAGCACGAACCAGAGGCAGCTTCTATCAAATTCTGCTTTTCGACTTCGTGGGGATGGATTCATCAGACCTCCCTCGCAGGTCGCCGCACTGAGAACTGCAGTGCAGCAGCTAAAAGAGAATCCCAGCTTGAACACATGTTATTTTGCATTTTCGTTTTATGTTTCGGCTGTTCTTGGTGTGGACACTACTCAGCGCGTGAAGGATCACCTTCTGCTGTCGGACGAATATCACGATGTGCAATTAGCTGTGAAGTGCAGGGCGGCACCTGCAAAGGAGTTCGTGCCTTCATCACGGGCTGCAGTCCTCTAGGGATGAATGGGATGAAGCACTGTCAAACACGACGTCACCCCAACTCCACAAAGCGACCCCCCAACGGCCAAATCATTTCAGCTTCAAGTGATGTTGGAAGAAAATTGGCCGCAGCTTTCAATTCTGAGCATCCGTGATAGGGCATAATACCGTGAGCGCATCGTGATAATTGTATGCTGCAGAGAGTGCAGGAGCGTTGTCCCATCCAAGGAAGACTGTGCAGTCAGCAGTCGACCTCCGCAGCATGTGCGAAGATGCTGGGCGCATCGAGGGCCTGCTGCAGGCGGGCGGAGCGATGCGGCTTCAAGGTTTAATACCCTGCTAGCGGATGGGTGGAGCATGATAGCCAAGACACGACGACAGGATGACCAGAGTGATCGAACCCTGAAATGTGTGAAATCCTGACCAGCAAGGGCAGTTGGCCAGACTCACCGAGACACACTCAGACAATTTGAAGCACGCGGATGCTCGCAGGTGGATGCAGGCATCCTTTCCAGCTGCTCGGCTTTGCTATCAAATTTGCTGTTCTTCTGGATGCGCCTTGTCGTGCCGGCCAAAGTCGTGCATCGCGCTAGGCGACGCTGTGAGTACCCACGCAGAGTGGCCCGCTGAGGACGATTGGAATCTGGCCTGTCAAAAAGCAAAGCAGTCATCATCAGTCATGCAGCCCAGAAGGCCTGCAAGAAATTTCAGGCTAACGGATACTGCCAGAGGAGCTCCGCCAAGCACGTGCTCTACTAGCAGCCGTGGACGCATGGGAGGAGGCATGGGACGACACCAGAGATTCACGGCCGATAGTCCTTCCGCCTGCCAAAGGCCATGCAAAAGGGCCGTTTGCAGATCACTTCGCAAGGAGGCAGGCACCAATGCTTCGGGACCAGCAGGGTGCTCTCAAGCCATCCATATTGGTTTCGCCGTGGGTAAATCGGACAGCGCCATGAAGTGGAGGCGGAGTGACCTACGTGATATGGTAGGGGGATTTGGGGGGAGGCATTCAGAGGGTCGGGTACAATGCGAGACGGACGGATTGGCAATACTCGCAGTACCCCGAGCGAAAAGCTGAGAGAACCAACGCACACATCCGCAAACAATGCTCTAAATCCAAGAAGCAGGTGCTGAAGAGCTCTGTGCAGCGCTGGAGGCCCCCTTGTTCATGCTCCAATCGTTGCAGATATCACCGGGCAGCTGCTCTGTCACATGAACATGGAAGGCCCTGCTGGACAGCTTCGTGGCGGTGAAAGATGCGGAGCAAGCTGCACATGCATCTCGGATCTCGGACATATACTTGCCACGTCCTGTCACATCTTGCCTATGCGCCAATCTACGACACGAAGAACCTCAAGTTGCAGTTTCAGATGTCAAGCGCAGCTTAACACGTGCCGTCGGAGTCTTGTCAAGCTGACCTGATTTTGTTTAATTTTCAATCCGTCCTGAGTGTCTGCTGAGACTCTATTGTCTTCGAAGGTAAGTGAGGCCAATGCACTCACTTCCTCAGGCTGGCCACTGCGCCTGCGTGGAGCGTGCTGACTTGGGAGTGGCTTTGAAAGCAGTTTGCGTAAACCTGGTTTGAAGGAGCAAAGGGCCACCAGCAAACTTGTACTCGGGAGTCAGGCGCATCAGGCCTTTATATGCCTTTCTTCAATTTGTGCAAAAATACATCAATGAGTTCGGCATCAGCAGCAGTATTGCGGTTACCTTCGGAGAACACCTAGGTGGATGCAAAGACCATGACCGAGAAGCCTCTCGTGGAGGCGCTGCTCGACAAGGCCACCGGGCCGCGCCCACCGTGAGATAGAGCCAGGGCCCAGGGCAGCGCGCTTGGACAATGCAAAGAGGCCATCGAGCTGCGGTCTTCGGAAGAGGCCGCAGCAGAGCGCTTCCGCAGCCTTCTGCTGCAGGACGACGTGACGATACGTGACGCGGTGTTTCAGGGGTAAATCACTGTAAAAGAAATAGATTTGTTTTGGAAGGGAAATCAAAACTCTTGCGCACACGCATCATTCCCTTTTGGCAAAACACCGGGCGCACGGTGGCCCGGGCTAGGCCAGGGGCAACAGTTGCAACACGACTGAGAAACAAAAACACGTTCCCGGCAACAGTTTCCGTCTTTTAATGGGACCTTCTTCGTGAAATACGTTTCCACCTACCTCTCACCATGTCGACACATTTCGAAAGACATGAACTTATGAACTCATGAAAAACATCACGTGCATGCCCTAATTCATTGGCGCACAGACCAGGACTCCAAGCACCGAGCTCTTGGCGAGCTGCGTGTCGAGGCAGAAGTGCATGTTCAACTCCGAGTCTGTGAGACACACAACTCGACAATCAGACTTGGGAAGGTGCCTGTCGAGCTCCTTCAAAGTGGAGGACCCCTGCAGTTGTCGAGCCGACATTGGCATTCCCTCTTGCAAAAAAGATTACTGCTCACGCATTATGTGGATGCAGGATCAGCATCCCAGACTGCAACGGCGACTGCGCAGCTCGGGGCACAGAGAGCAGTTGCGTGCACAATGAGCACATAGCAAGAGGCAAACCAAAGGTCGGATGATCTCCACCAGTCGACAAAAACACCATATATTATCAGTTGTATCAAGCACACGCAGTAAGTTTTAAGATTGGAGCCATGCAGATATGAGCATCTAGCACGAGACATGAACCTTGCGTGCACGACTCTTTGCCCCATTCGCCTGAATATTGATATTGCTCTCCCTAGCAATCTCCGTTCCGGTAGCCTGGCCGTGGCTTCTGCCTGTTCTCTTGCTGGCATTGAAGTGCTTCCGGTCCAGGTCCAAGGGCCTGGATCCGGATGAGGTCAGGCCTTATCGAATTGTATTCTCGAGTGGCACAGCCGCTTGCTGTAAAGAGGTTCTTGGTTGAACTTCGTGCGTGAGAAACCTAAGACAGGCCGAAGCACGGTGGCATATCCAAGCTGAGCAGGTGGCCATCCCGTCCAAGGACCTCCTCAAAGGAGTGGAGGCGCTCCTGAAAATCGGGCTGAGGGATGCTGGCGGGTTTTTGCAGGTCCGCAGCGGGCGCAGTTGGGGACGGGCTGAAAGCCAGAAGCTGTCCAGTCCTGTCAGTCCTGTCTTGGTTCCTGACAGCCGATAGCACGAGACCATGCCAGGAGCCTCAAAAGATGGATGCAGCACAGCTTTGGCACGCTGCAGGAAGCCCAGCAGCCAGGTCTTTGGCGATGTGTCATGCTACCTGTCGAGTGTGCCGGATTTCGTAGTGGCCGAGCTTTCAGGCCCCAAGCTCATCCACTTGAGACAACTGCGCAGTAGCCCATGTGCTGATTGCAGTGTGCTGCTTGCAGTTTGGCGTTGGGGCTCGGGCCGTGCCTCCTTCATTAGCCTGGCTTTGTGATGCCACGAAATTACGAACCCACACTGCAATCCAAAACTCGGACTCAGGTCCACACTGGCGATCTGGAGATTGTCAAAGCCTTCGTGCGGAGGCCAGAGACAATCCAGACTCGTGCCACCGGCCACACGGAAACTCTTGCAGGGGTGCATGCACGGGGAAGTCCCGGGACGCCAGTGGCCTAGCTTGGGGAGTCTAAAGCTGGTCTAGTTTTCGCATCTGGGATGCAACTGTTTCTTGGCCATTGCTGGATACCCTGTAAGCTGCCTAGCTTCAGCTTTTTCAGCGTGTTACACTGGCATTACGTCGGCAAGCGACGCACGAACATCGAACTGCAAGTTGCGAGCTACTGAGCAATTACCATCGTCAAGAGGTGATGAGGGCCGCTCGAAAGTAGTTACGAATGTCTCCCAGCAAGGCTTCAGGGCACTCCATCCTCTGGCATGCCATTACCTTCAACCACCACAGTCCGGGAGCCCAATGCACCTCCGTCGTCGAATCCGGAGCTCTCTCAGCCTTTCCTTTCAGGTCTTGCGCGATTTATGGTGGAGACCTTCCCCCCGGGCTCCGACGACGGGATCGAGGCAACTTCGGAAGGATTGCAAGCGACCGCAAGCCAGTCAGCGACATAAACGGTTCTGTGGTTCTTCGCACGAGCCCCCAAAAGACCTGCAAAGGTGGATGAGGTGCATCAGCGCAGAGGGGACACGCTGCTACATTTGCTGCTGGGCTGCACGACCTGGCACGAGAATGTATCCCAACGGCTGAGAAGCTGCATGCCGCCGCTAAATCTATGCATTGTGCTGATACTGTGCCCCAAGACGAGCCCGAGTCCAAAACATCCCGAACATTAAATTTCCTCCTGTTTGCAAAAGACGTCATTTCCGAATTTGAGCAGGAGTGCAAACACATAACACTGAATTCTCCTTTGCGGAAAAGGCACTGCAATCAAGTCCAAGCATGACTACATGCCCTTCTTGAATCGTGGCACGTCAGGCCACAGCCCTCCCGACTGCCGTGATTACACAATATAGTTATCTCTGCGTGTCTTCAGAACGCCAAGCATGCCTATGCAATCTAGAAACAGTGTCGCATAAGCATTACGTTTTCGTCGGTTCGTCTCGTGGTTACTCCAGAGCCACCATCAAATTTTGGGAAGTGAATCGGGAAGTAGCAGAGCAGGAGAATGCGGCTCCACCGATTCGCTTCTGTCACATCTCTTCAGGCTTTGCCTCAGCCGCTCCTTCGATGCAGAGGCGAGAGTATGTGTGCGGTGTCTTGTCTTCCTTTAATTGACCAGCATCGTTGCGACCTGATGCGTTGGAGTCTTAATTGTAATTCTTAGTCGAAGACGCAGAGGGGCAGATCTGTTGCAGGCCGCTGCGCTTTTCAAGAAACTCGCGACCAAAGCGCCGCCGGCTGTGTACGGCACCGAAAGTGTTTGACTTCACATCTATGACCCAAGGCGCAGACTGCAGTGGCGTGCAACGTTCCATGAATCATATGCGCGTTCTAAGTGAGTGCGCTTTTGACTTAGGTTTCAAAAAGTCAACCATGCTGGCCTCACTTTTGCCCATGTCGGAGCCACGGATATGTGCATGGGCTGCGATGTGTTGTGGGAATGCAACAAGATTGGAGTAATCACTAGCAAGGCACTTTTGTAAAGCACGTCAACTGTTACTTTAGATCGCCGCCTCCAACTTGAACTTCTGGGTGCTGACATTCATCTTCAAGAACTTCCAGGCGGGCCGCGGGTGGGGTTGGGTTGAAGCAACCCGCTTCACGCCGTGCCATATTATCTCGAGAACTGCTCATGCGGCTGCTGCTGGCGCATCAATGTCAGGTGCTGGGTCCCCACCTTTCTGCAAACCAGGGGCCTTGCAGGAGCAGAGAATGTCCGGTGCAGGCACAAGCCAAAGCGCTCGTGTGCGCGGACAGTCACCCGATGAAGCATCTCCTGCAGGCGGAAATCGATGGTTTGTAGATGTTGTCGCTACAGAGAAGGGTGCATGAACTGGGGGCATGGGCCGACAGCATTGGTAGCAGTGTCCGTGAGGCAATGCCTCAGCCAGTTCCTCCACCAGCAGGATGCCCAACATGTCAAACGGAGTGGTCGAAGGATGAATTACCAAGTTCTGTCTCTTGCACGGGTCCTGCTTGACAGACTGTCGTTCGAGGCCTACCAGCCACCTGTCGGATTTCCGGACCACTTCCGGGTTGCAGCAATGCTGCAGCAGGACTTCATCGGCATAGCTGTTTGAGTTCTGCGGTCTAGAGGTAGCTGGTAGCTGGGTCGTTGGAGCACCTCGCATTAATGTGTGTCACCGGTCAGAGTATAAGCAACTTCTGAGCGCGCGGTTACACTCCAGTCTCTGTAGGGGCATTTCATGTTGCCGACGGCATTCGAAGGATTCCAGTGGCGTCGTTCCTTATGCAGATGTAGCCTTCGATGTTGGCCGCGGCCTTGACTGACCATAGATGCAGCTGCGGAGCCATGCAGCCTACAAGGTCAAGGCAGTCAGGGAATCAGGGGTTCTGTTGCGGCGGGCGCTGCAGGTCCAGAGTTGAAGGGCGTGGCAGCTGGTCGCTTTTTGGCACATCGTGTCGCTCGGGGCCCAGGCTTTTCAATTCCAAGCTGGCTTTCGGTCGAGGTGTCGCGCTGTTCAGCAAGTTGGTCGCCAGATAGAACGGGCCACTTTGGGGATCAAGCCAACCCATGTTCGTCACCGGTCAACACCTTCGTGGCCAAAGGCTTGTCGCATCCGTTGTGGTCCAGTTCCCTGCCTTTGGTAAATGCTTCGAGAGTTCTGTCTGTCTGTCAGTGTGGTCTGCGCAAGGCGGAGGTTAACAATCGTTTTCGGCACTGTGGGCGGATCGAGACGATGGGGTGTGAACCGATCTCGCATGGGCATGTCGCAAGCACCGAGCACCAGTTGTAAGTTCAGCAGACGTTCTAAAGCCGCGAAGACATCCCCGCCAACCATCGAAGGGCTCGTCCGGCACGACAATAGGTTGAAGCAATCTGCAACTGGGATTTGGCCCCGGTTCCCCATGAGGGTGGAGGTGTTTCCGTGTCCAACTCCCCGCGGTGCATGTGCAGGCCGTGTGGGCAGCAATTTGTACGTATCCAGGTGAAAGGTCTGTGTTGCAGTGTAGCAACGCTAGGCCCGGTAGGCATGATGCCTGTATCCGAAACCAGAGATCCCACGACAAGGGTTATCGATAGCTTTTGCAGTCATGACCTTCACAATCAGGTCGTGGTGGCACAGAGCCCAAAGCTGTACGAGGCGATGCATCGATCGGGTTTATTGAGCTACTGGGCGACTCTCTCGCAGGCCGTTCGCACCATCTCATAAGCACCGTCTGGCAATCCGATCTTGTTGACTCCACTACTCAAGCATCGTAGCACATCGACGGCAGTACCCGTGAGTCCGAAGTGGAGCAAGTGTCGAGCTTGCCGCAGATGCTCGAAACGATCCCGCTCACGGAGCTACCGAAGGCCAGTGGAGCAGCATGACATGCAGTGGCTGGACAAGCAGCTTGGCACTGGCCGGTTTGATAATCGTTGATATTTATTCAGCCTTTTCTGGAATTGTCTCGCGGCGCGACAAATCAGCCAGGAGAGAATCCGAGCGGCTGTTGTGCGCGTCGATGAGCGCATCTCGCAGGAGGCGCGCCCAAATGGCCCACATCGGTGCTAGAAAACTTTTATTTGCGGTTATCCCGAGACCCCCGTCAGAGAGTCTTCCAGGCACGTGCTGAGTGTGTCTGAGTGGTGCCTTCTGCTGTCAGAGCACTTTCTAGCAGAGTTTTCTCGGAGCTGACAATCAAATTCTCAAGCCTGTGCACACTGGATCTAGCTGGCAAAGTCAAGTCCAGCTTTGCAATATTAATATGAAGGGAGACCGCCTGAAGCGCAAGCAAGGGTACCATGCGTCGATGTGGATGTGGTAGCTGCTGCTCCGGTGGGGAAGAAATTGTAGGAGCTACAGCTCGTAGCGTTTACACCCGACATACTCCCGAGCGTCTTCAGATGGAGTCAACATGCCTCTTGCAAAGGTCTGGCGCAGCATCCTCCAGTTCATCTATCAAGGTCCGGTGCGGTGTAGCTCTAGGAGACGGTAGGGTCGAAAGCTTCGACATGTTCAACATCCGCAGTGTGCTCTGGCAACCCATCATTGCATCGACTGGCATGCCAGCAGGCACGATCCTTCAGGAGCAGTGCATCTATCTGCACGATGTTGCAAGGCCCAATTAATCGAACCGAGAGTGCACTTCACTGATGGCAGCCATTGCTTCATCGCTTCGCAGCCGGATGGAAGCTTCTGAAGGTGCTTCGAGCTGCTCTTCGCCGTGCTTCTCTTCCGCCTGCCGGAGCCACTCTTGCACCTTGCGCAGCCCGGCTCCCCGGTGTTCAAGCATGCTCGAAGAGGCTGAGAGTGCATGAGCCATTAAGATTCTTGAGCAGGCACTCCCTCTATGTGCTGCTCCCGGTCAGCAACCCGACCTGGGCGCTCCAGGCGATCCAAGTAGGGACCATCTGCAAATCTGCTGCGCTTGAGCAAGAGAGCCTCTGTATCCGTCGTGTGTCGAGTCAACTTGTTTATGTCGATGTCCTTCTCACTAGACATGCCATCCTTGACTGCGTTGGTTGCAAAGCATGAGCTGTCCGATGAAGCCCTCTTGCGTGCTTGTGCGATGCGAGGCATAGTGTTCAAGATGCTGATTGTAGGCAGTTCAGTCTGGTCCAGCGGCATGTGCAGAGTGGAGCACTGAAAGGCATCAAGCAAATAGGACTTGACAAGAGTCAGGCGAATGAGATGCTCAACCAGTTGTGTGGCTTGGGACAGGATAAACATCACGGATCAGCTGAAGGTGATCAAAGCACAGCAGCAGACCATACACGACAACGGACGGATCTTGGCACGGCAGAAGTCCCAGATGGCAGAAAACGAGCTGGCCGCCTAAGAGCAAAATCTCCAGTTGGCACTCAAATGCTGTGGGCAGCATGCGACAGAGGTTCATGCACGTGAGAGCGAGACAGCGAGACATAGCGTCGAAGGATTCCTCATCGGACGAGGAACCCTTCGACACTTTGTTTCGCTCTGATGTGCATGCACGTCTGTCGCATGCTGCGTGCAACCGGATCAACATTCGCGTAGACGAAAACCGTAACAGCAGAGGTGGAGCGACAATACCCTGTGAAACATGCGGGTTAACCAAGTCGGAGTCTGTTGGTTTGTCTCAGGGGGCAGATACATGCACAGGGCCATGCGGTGTCTCAAACCTGATTTCGCTTTAGTGAAGTGTTCAACTCCGAAGCCAAACACTTCCTTGAAACTCTCTTCGACGAAGCTTTGACTACGTCCGTGAAGCATTTCCAGACCGAGGAGAACAGTGAGAACAGCAACAAACGGTGCAGGAAGGTTCATCGCAAATGTGTTTGATGCCTGAGTTGCACGGCCGTTCAGATGTCATCAACATGACACATGACACCAACTGTGAGGGCCAGAGCTATCACATAACTCAAATCTGCCCAAGTTGGTTGGATACAGATAGCTCCACGAGCTCCAGGTCTTCCAGCTCTGCGCGCAGAAGGAGCACTTCGACAACCAGGACTTCCAGGGTGGGCTCTTGCTTCCTCCCTGTCAAGGAGCTGTCTGGATTCCGATCTTGTAGCAGGAGCTTCGGCCTATTCGTGACGCAGCTGCGTGGCTTCTCCTGCACTCAGCGCAGCGTCCTCAGTGTTGATGAATGGGCGGAATCTGAATTGAAAGACTGCGTCTGGGGATCCTCACATCTCACCAAGAGATCAAGAAAGGTGATCCGTGCGACTTGTGCGCAGCAAGTATCAAGCGGAGATGCACATGAATTTCGAATACGATGCAAAGTGTGCTGTCTTGGCTTTCGCCTCTCAACGCTGCCCGGCACTGGAAGGTCAAAATTTTTTCAGACCATGGACACCAAAGACGTCTGCGAAACCTTGGAGAAAGTCGTGCTTCAGCCGCACGGAACGAGTGTTGTAAAGGGATCGTCAATGCGATTACCTTACTGGCCACAGGTCAAGTCGGTTGAGCGCTCCGTGTTCGATCGACCGAGATCTATGACGCGCACTCAGGAATACACAGAGGCTAATACTCGACAGCTGGGTGAGTACTTGCATGTTCTGTCAGCGTCCGCTTTCGAGCACACGGGTACATTCGGGTTCGGCATGTGCCAGTACTGGTACCAGGTCCGTGCAAGGGACCTCTGTGTCGAAGCAGGACAGCTGCATCAATCTTAACCCTTGTCTCTGCCTTAGCCATCAGCACTGTGCCCAGTCTCCTGCAGGATTTGATCGCCAACAGCGTGCAAGGAATCCCACAGGAGGGCACAGCAGGGAAAGGTGGTACTTCGAATTGACTCCTGCTTTACTCTGAACATCCGCCTCTTTGGAGGACATGCTGGCAGCCAGCATGCGTGGAATTCCTCAGGAGCCCAGCACATGTCAAGCTGTTCTCACTCCGAGCTTCCCCATTGGTTTTCGGAAGGAGCTGTAGAGTCTCGAACATCGGTACCATCCTTTCCACAGTATCAATAATAGGGCAGGTCAGGCAGTGGTTTCCACAGCCTCCAAAACTGCAGTGTCTCGAGAATGAGCAACTAGGATCGTGCTGATCTTGTACTCCGAAGTAAGCAGTAGCAGTTATCATGGCAGCACAGCGCGACAGGTTTGGGCGAGCCCCCTGAAAAACTGTGTCCAGATCTGCTGCGGAACCAGTGCTCTTCCACACCCCCAAAGCAAGCATGATGCCAGGACCTCCTGTCTCAGACACTGCACGGTTGCCCAGATGTGGTGCGATGTGGTGTTGCTTGGGCACGTTCCTTGATATTATGCCACCCTGTCATTCATTTTCACCAGTAAATTCAAGTGTCCAGCTTCCAGCTCATCACGCAGACCCACACTTTGTTCACTAAGGTCCAACACCATGATGGGTTTCCCAGCTCAGGCGTTCAGACTGCTCCCGCTAGCATGTTCAAGGGCTTGATGGGGCTGCCGGCGTTCAGGATGATCTTCTGTCCAGAAGTATGATGGGTAATGCCGATGCCCTGGAGGGCGCCAGGTGGTCTGGAGTCGCTTGCATCTCTTCTCAGACGAATAGGTCTACGGCTCCTGCAGCGGCTTGCAGTCGAAGCCTCATTCAGGGTCCGGACTCCGGAGTTTTGCGCTAGCGGCGGGCGTAAGTTTATGCAGGCGGGCAGTTGCATCGTAGCACATCGCAGCCGGAGCTGAACAACACAACCAGACGCACGAAGTCGTGGTGCAAGCCTGCGGCATGAACTCAGTGCCTCCGACCCGAATCACTCTCAGGTCGCAGCTGACCGGGTTTGGCAGCAGCCTCAGCTTCTGAAAGCGTTGCACCTGCACGGCTGAGAACCCAGGCCAGGCGTGACCGCAGCTGTCAGCTGCGAGCTACCCTACTAAGTGCGTTGAATGGCTTGACTCGCGGTGCCAGCACTACAGCTGTTGCACTGCTCAAATGTTTAAGTTTTTATTCATAGATGTGCCGAATTGCATGGCAAGGTTCTGCACCTTACGGCCTTACGAGGGTCTACTGAGGTGTGAGATGCAAGTTTCGGGTACAGGCACAGCCTGTGCAAACTGCATCGCATTTTGTTGTGTCTCGGCTTTCACCAAGCCTAAATTCCTTTTGCAGAGCCTGCGAATTCGAACCTGGGTTAATGTTCGCAGGCTTGCCTGCGCGCCCAGCCTGGCTACAGAGTTTGTGATACCAGTTAATTTGATAACAAGAGCATCTAGAGCTCCATCGTCGAATCTTGCGTGGAATGCAGCACATGCCTTGCTGGCCAGAAATGCTGCTGCAGGCATAAGCCGCTGCAGTGGTAGTTCAGACAGTGCGGTGTTGATGCCAAGGCGTGGGATCTCTTTCAGAGCGGCTGATTGCCGTGAGAAAAGCCCGCTGCTGCCGTCAGGCATGGGATTCAAGGCGGTCTGCTTCGGATGTCCACCCGTTATACAGTACAGTAGGACCATGGCTGCGCGGCACCCGCAGGCGTGCAAGAACACTGTCAGGGCATGCTTGGCATCTTTTTATTCGGATTTGTTTGCCTTTTTTCGGAGGAGTAGCAGCAAGTCACAACATCGGACAAGAGGCGGATCTCTTGTCTTGGCGATTTCGCCCGTGTCGATGGAGGCTCCAGTGGTAGCAGCCTGATGTGGCATGAAGAGAAGGCACACGGCACACCCTGCATTGGCACACGAGATTCCTCGAAATCGGGATGTCCAGAGTTTCCTACAAGCGAACACGGCCATGGGAACTTCCTAGCGCAATGAGTCAGCCCTGCTCTCGCCAGAGTCGCTTCTTCGGCTCGGGTGAGGTTGCTGTGGGAGGAAGGGGGAGCGATCGGCTGATCAATTTGAATTGTAATACGCAGCAGGACAGAGGGAGGGAAAGATTAGCTGAACAAAGTGAGGGACAGCATGAAACGACCACTTGTACATTTTCGTCGGCAGCTTGAGGTAAGTCTGCTACCATGGAGATCCATTAGTGGACAGTTGCAACGGTTGCATACAATCTTGCGTTGTTCACGGCAGGCCGCTAGTGAAGAGGCCGGAAGTCCTTGCACGATCAAGACGGCCTCTGATAATCTTTGCTTGAATGGTTGCCGTAGGAAGGCAAGGAATCACAGTGCAACGTGGGGCCTTATGTGATTTTGCAGATGCTCCTTGCCATTTCGTTCGTGCTGGGCTTGAAGGTAGCAACCTTAACAGCGAAGGACCTTTATGTATTGTTTTCTGGAGTCACATCGCTTTACAGCCCACCGACATGTTTACGATCATAAATGGTGGCGCATGTTCGCCGACACCAGCTACAGACGACCCTTGCATCGCCAGCATCTAGATTGCTGCGGGTCCAGCGTGGTGACCTGCACGCGTTCAGATATGTTTCAGCTATGGCTGCTGCGCCCCGCGCTTGTGTTCGATGTTGCGGGCTGAGCTGGTTTGTAGTTTGTAGACAAGGCCATCAGGAGGATGAACAACAGCCGAACAGACCTGCTCAGGAAGGGGATGAGGTAGCTTTACTCCAACACTGCAACCGCCTGCTCAGCCCGTGAAGCTTCGCAACAAAAACAGACTGTCTGACATGGTGTGGTTCAGCTTACAATACGGAGGCACACTGCTGTGCGACGATGCTTCGCAGCAAGCATGCGCCCTCTGTGGGGGCGACTTGGCTCCGCCGCAGAAGTTCAGGCGTGCTCAGGGTATACACATCAAACGAAGAGCTCGGTCTCATTCACGTATGCCCCGATGAATCCCATGCCAGGACCCTGAACTCTCCAACCTGCATTGACCTCGAAGATGACGTCACGGATCACGAGCCTCCACGAGGCCTCCCTTGATGGAAGCAATCAGGATGTTTTTTGCTGCCAGCGGCCATCATAGGCCCATTGGCGAATCCCGCCAGGAGCCGCAAGGAGCTGCCCGGCCTGTACACTCATTTGTCGCATCCTGAGGTCTGCTACTCGTAGCTGCGAGTTTGCAAGGTTTTGTGAAATCGGAAAGCAGGGATTACTTCAACCAGCGACTTGTGACCTTGACTGCTACGCTGGGGTTGCTGGGGTTTGGGACCTTGAGTTTAGCTCGCCAACGCGGTCAAACACTTTCAGCGTTCACGGCCCAGTGCGTCAGTCTGTTTCCTATCGCTACGGCCGTGAGTCCTCGTGCTTTAAGGGCCTGCAGGCCCCAAAGCCCCAGACCGGAATCAGCAATTAGATTGAGCGTCTTGCGAGCTTAGTGCGAGATTCTGAGACTGTCAAGGCGAGGATCCGGCACAGCGCAGCTGCGAGGCCTGCGGCGGCGCGCTGCCTGAGCCGCCCACGCAGCCTCCAAGGCCACACGGATGCTTTAAAAGACATAGAATCAAAGAAGAACCTGCGTCCTGTATTCTTGCCACAGTCCGGGCATGTTTCTGCAGAAATTTCCGGGGTCCTCCACCTGTCCGACTCAGGAAACGGCCAAAGAAAAGCCCGAAGCCGATAGCCTCGCAGGCGAAGGGCGCAGTCTAGCGGCAACTGATTACATTCGACATTTCAGCAGCGCTCTGTTCTGAGTTCGAAGGTTTCTTTCTGCTCAAAGAAGGGGAGACTCAGAGATTCAGCAGCCAACTAGAGTAAGTTGGCCATGCTCGACCTGGCCAGGCATCGGGGGTCGCCACGTTCTTTCAGAAGACTGCGACGATCCCAGAAAGTTGGGGCCTTTGTCTGCTCGAAAGGAGCGCCAGTTTGTCGATCCCTGCGTGAGCAGCATGCCTCGTGTCTGCGCAGCGAGCACTACAGTAGCACCGCCCGTGGCAAGATTCATCGAGTTGGTTGACTACGCGCCAGTAGCAAGAGTCAAGAGTGATAGCTCTCGCCCTTCTCTTCCTCTCCCTTTATCTTTTGTCTCTTTGTCTCGCTCACTCACTGCTTCCCTCTCTCTCTGTCTCTGTCTCCCTGCTTGCCTGGCTGCATGTCGGTCGACCTGCCACTGGCTGGCTGCCTGCCTCCACTCCTGCCTCTGCCTCTGTGCCTGCCTGACTTCCTGACTTCCTGCCTGCCCGCCTGTCTGGCTGCCCGGTTGGCTGCCTGTCTCCCTGTCCTCTCTCTCTCTCTCTCTCCCTCTCTCTCGCTCTCTGTCTCTCTTTCAGCGTAGAGAAGCTCCGTGGTTGGACAACTCAGCAGCAGCTGGACTTAGGCGGCATCATAACTAGAGGAACCAAACAGGGCTTTGTTTGCCACGGCACTCCTGATTGCCCTCGTCCCCTTTCCCGCAGCTTCTTGGCCGTGCCGATCGGTGCAGCAGGATCTTCGTTCAGTGGGAGTTTGATTGTGGCGCTGGTTAAGGAACAAACTGCACGCCGGAATGTAAACAACTAAAGAATCAGGGAGCCCTTAGCCTAGCCTAAAACCCCTGCAAGTCTCCGAATCTGAGGCAAGCAGGAGCCTCCCTCGTCGGCCGAGCCTCCGGCTCCGGGGTGCGGGCCGAGTCTGAGCCCTGCCCCGGTGGCAATCAATACGGAGTCTTCTTTGCACTTCAACTGTCATCTCTCCTGCTAAGAGAAGGATGAGCAGGATTGTCATCATGATCTAGCATGCTTTTGCTGTGTCGTAGACGCAGCACATAGCAGCACCATGGTTACCGCCATCGTCATCTTTCGCATCATCAGTACCGCCGCCATCAGCAGCATACTCTTTCGTCGCCGAGTCTTCACACTTGCATCTAGAGGCTGCTAAGTCGCCAAAAGGGGTCGTCGCAAATTCAGCATTGAGTCCGGTCAGTCACTTTGGTTGGATAGACTAGACAAGGGTCCAGAACGTGCAGGAGCCTAACTTGAATAGCAAAAACAATGCGCAGCTTCAGAAACGCCAAGGTAGTTTCAGAGGCTCGGATTTAGTGGTACAAACAGTATGCAGTAAAACATTCAAGAGATGTCCACCTCCCTGTGTCTTAAAGTGATGAGGGCCTGAAGAAATATGCCTTCCAGCCTTCCAGAAAGCCTAGATGAAGATTGCGACCATGGTTGTAATTGTAGCAGCATTTTTAATTGTTGGAATAACCATAGCAAGGGCTCGCAGAAGCCTCCTCCTCCTCTTCCAGGAATCAGCCTGGTCCGCCAGCGTCGCGGCAGCCGCCCTTTCTACGAGCTGCGCCGACTTCCGCCCGGTGCACTCTGCCTGTAGCCTTGGGTAGCGCACGTTCCAGCGTTCAGGGATTTGAGGTCTTCGGCTCCGGGTCGTTTCGCAAGTCTTTGGGTGCTAGTTCGTAGGTGTCAGAGGACGCGCTGCCTGCTTCAGGGCTGGTGCGGTGCATGCGCTTCAGCTCGTGCCCGATGAGTCCTTTGAAGCTGGTACAGCTCGGAAGAAACAAGCCAAAAGCTGCGTGTAGATGTCGAGACTGGTTGACCATCTTGCACGGCCAGGCAAGCGCCGCAGGCTGCGACCTGCCTTCGAAGAATTCGATCAGCTCCTTTCCAAACTGGAACTCTTTGTCGATCAAAGGCTGGACCAAGAAAGGCGCGCCAGTACCTTACCGTCACCTTGCTGCGGCCCTTGATGCCGCTTTCTCAGCTATCTCCGCGGAGAGAAGGGTGGTTTTGCCCCCTCCCCTGGGCCCTGGTTCTCACGAGGCATTGGAAGCTACCCGAAGCCGCCTGAGCAAGGAGACGGCAAATTCTGCACGGCAACCTTCCGAATAACATTGCACTCAGGTATGTACTTCTGCTTGCTGTGTGCGAAAGCTGATGTCAGAGCTGCCGTCAGCCTTGCAGCACTCCAGGATACCATCCTTACCAACTCCTTCCGGGTCATGTTGGCTATGGCGGCACCTGCAGAAGAGGTGGGTTGCGTTACAGCCGAGTTGCAGCCGGCATGCGAGTCCAAGAGTCCAAGAGAGGTGGAGTCCGCCTGCTACCTCTTCGCACCAGCCAAAGATGCACAAGCCGGTGGCCACAGGCTCCCCTCCTATTGCATCGCAGACCTGCTCGGGCCGGACCGATATATCGGTCTCATGCTCGGCAGGTTGCGACCCGACTGGGTGGAAGGAGGGCGGCCGCTCAGCATCCCGCACAAGTCCATCACGGTCGCTTTGCCTTATGAGTTGCTCACATCGGTTAGAGAGCATGACGACAGACACGGCAGCACTTCGCTAGAAATGTGGCGAAGCCGCTAAGCAGGCACAAAGCCGACAGGGGTAGAGGGTGGTAACTAGTAACCGGGGTAGTGCAGAGTCCTGGCCCCATGGGCGAGGCTTCCTTGCTGGAGGCAACCGGTGCCTCGAAGGCCAGGGCATGCTCACGGGCTCTGGTGCAAGGACTTGCCGGGTCTGGTGGTCTTGGTCGCACTTGTGGCATGTCGTGGCACGCAGACCGTCTCGACCGAGGGCGCATTTGCTACAGGAGGTACATGTCGGGTTTGGATGTGCGTGGGAAGGAACCTAAGCACAGACTGATCCACAGATGGCGGCTGGCAGAACAAAGGTGACAGCAGCACGTTTGAAATGTCAGCTAGTCTTCTCGCTCTTGACGTCTGGGCCATGCTCATCTGAGCGGTCCGTGGTCAGGCCGACATGAACCGCAGCTTGCTCAGGGAAAAGCGATCCTGAGTCACGAGCAGAAAGGTAGTAATCTCTGCAGTCTCCGCAAGCCTGAACAGAGCATATGTGCTTGGGCTGTGCAGTTCGCGAGAAGGTGCTTGTGGCTGTCAAGCCTGAACTGCTTAGGCCTTTACCAGGAGCTCCACGACAGCGGTCAAGTCGATTCCTCAGGTCGGCTCGTCATTTCTGCTACAACCAATACGGCAACTGATAGCAGCTGTGTGCGACACTCTAAGACTCTAGTGCAGTCAGTCACACTTCACTCATGAGGTGGCTTTGGCGCTGCGGGAGCGCGGCGGAAAGCAACGGCTACTCCGGGCCCCACAGCCACTCACGGCGGGGGAGGGATGGGGAGGGTAGCATGTCAAGGATTTGGATTAAAAGTGCTCTGAGACGTTTTGAGGACCTTGTGCAAACACAATGCAGCATCTTTTTTCCGAAGGCAGGCGCGGTTCGCCGCACGCTGCTGAGCCTCGCGGATTTGCAGGGAACAGGCACATCGGCCGCAAAGAGTGTTCCTGCAGGGAGTTGGAATACTTTGCTGTCGGCGCGTGTTATTTGCGATACTGAATGTGCATAATGCTGGCAAAGCACGAAGCTGAGGTGTCGAGAAGGCGAAAACCACTCGACTGGTTGGCTTGCTTCGTGCAGCTGAAGGTGAGGTGCCTGCAAGAAGCTGCAAGTCAGCTCGCGGCTCTCATCCGCTGGCCGTCCTGCCTTGACGTTTCGTTGCAGGCACTGAGCTCAAGTGGCTGGTCCGTACATTCATGCCGCATATGGCGGCTCCTTGGCAAACAAACAAGTCTGACAGGCAATATGTCGGAACGGGCTTTCTGTTTTGCAGTTGGTGCCCTTTTGCTCTTCTGCTCTGCAGCCGAGATCCCAGCGAACCAGCAAGTGAATGAACGGACAGTTGGGGCCCCAACAGAAAAGAAAACACTCCACCGCACCAACTGCAAAAAGAGACACCGCCCAGCAGCAACGTCAAACAAACAACCCCCCTCTCCCCTCCACACCAACAGCAGACAAAAACAAACACACACTTGCATCAGATGTCTTGATCTGAGATGTCGTCGGTGATGTGGCTCGTTCTCTTGTATGACGTCTGATGCTTTTGTGTTTTCTTTGTATGCTGTCAGGGGCTCAAGGCTCAATCAAGAGTTTTGTTGCGAACTTCTCTGATGTTCTTGGCTTGGACCCTCGCCATTCAGCTTCAAATTTAAACTTGTCTAGGGATTGCCAGCTGTTACGTCGAGCCCATGCACACCCCATGCGATGATGCGGCCTGCTGTGATTCACATACTTAGCCCTGTGGGACAGGGATCACGCACACAGACACCGCACCCACAGGAAAAAAAACAGCAACAGCCAAAAAAGCACTTCTACAGCAATATGTCATACGTGTCTAGACTCAACAGACTTACAAAGCTGTGATGCTGTACTGGGATCCCCAAGAGCCGCCCAGGTCCATCCGACTAAGCAAAGCCCCTGTCGTCGCCCATCCTGACGCCCTCACCCGGGGCCCTCTCCTAGCAGAGGCTGGCGTGTCCCTCGAGTCCTCGGTTCTCCCGGCGCTTGGTGCTGCTGCAGCCATGGCTGCAGGCCCGAGAGTGTTGCATGTCGCGACAGAATCTGCAATCCATGAGAAGGAGGACCGCCAGCTCTTGTGAGCACTCTGCAGCGAAGCATTCACCACGACCGAGCCGGCTGATTTCAGCGGAAGCACTTCAAGTGCCGCGACATGAAGCCCTAAACCCTGAGGCTGATGCCGCCCACTGTTACCCCTCAGGGCGACACCCTTTCAGATTCAAGAGTGCGGCACCCTTTACATAGATCAAAAGCCCAACTTGACAAGCGGCAGAGAGATGACTGAAGAAGGTGCATCATTGAAGACGCCTCACGCAGATCCTCACGTTTCTATGTTGGCGTCAAAAGGAAGCTTTTTCTTGTTTCTGCAGCAGTGGATTCTCGCGGCGTGTCCTTGGAGCCATGAGCGCTCGCCTGACGGAGCTGCTCAACGGCTCTGCGGCGGCCACGGCGCTGGGAGTGGCCAGTCGCAGCGGCCGCGGCCCTGAGATCTGCGGAGACGACAGTGACGACGTGGTGTTCTGAGCGGCCAGCAAGGTCTGCTGCCAAAGCTGAGCACCGCCGAACCCTCAAGTCTTGAGCGATCTTGGGCGCAGTTTTTTCGGGCTGTAAGAAGCTTTGGTCTTTCGAGGTGCCCCAGAGTGCCGCGGCTGTCGCAGAAGCTGCCGGTCTGAACCAGAGATACGTAGAGGACTCTCAAGGTTTAGGGGGACGTCAATGTGAAGTGAAGCTATCATGCATGTACTGTGACGTCTTGGAGGAAATTCTGGCTGTCCTTGCCTGCAGCAAAGTCGTGAATCTTTCGGAGGACTGGTGAATACAGCGACCAACCATCGCAACAGCCTAGCTTGGGGAAGTAGCACTCCAGGAGTCGCCGCCCAAATATCACGTCTCTGATGAAACCCAAGAGGTCTGGCGCTCAGCAATTTGGAGGGTTTCAAGCAGAGGCGCTTTGCCCTGGGGATTTCGTCTCTTAGGCTTTGAGCGGCATGGGCCTCTACTTCGAGGAGCCGGCCTTGGAGCTCTGGCCGGAAGTGGGCCTTTCCAGTGAAGTGCAGGAGATGCCGCTCTTGACCCGCTGCGCTTTCGAGGAGGTGCCCGGTGCTCGCGGCGTGCGGTCCAACACAGCTGGCACTCGCCGAAAACCGCAAAGTCTTGATGCAGAGGTCGTCAGCGCCACGAGGCAGGGGGGTGGAGTGCCGCCCCTTGGAAGCAACTTCAGATGGCCGGTTCTGTGTCGTGACACACACAAACACACACACGTTTGCACAGGTCATCCTGCTATGGACCTTTCGGTGCTTGGATGGGCCGCTCGTTTTCTTTGGCTTCCGCTCGTTTGCGCTCATGCGGAAGTTTCTTGTGTTGTCGCTGCGTGCTATCACAAAGGCAAGCTGGCCGATGCCAAGCACGAGAAGCAGCTGGTTTCGCAGCTGCTGCCTCTGCTTGCAGGTCAGCGACTCGAGCTGCCGGCAGCTAGAGATGAGGATCCCCGTGTCGGTTTATGCCAGTTGCTGGTGACAATCGTCCGCCAGGCGGTGAGATCGTCAAGAAGCTGGAAGCCGGCACAGTGCTGCAGAAGCAATGGTGTTTTGTCTGGCATGCGGGTCTGAGTTCATTGAGAGGACGGCGAGCAAGAGTGGCCTGTCGTTGTATTCTGGTACACTCGTGGCTACTTCCTGATCGACTCGCATAGCCTCGGCTTGTCAAGCGAGCGTAGCTGACGACAGTTGACTCATGTATGTTTCTACGAGGCTCATTTCCAGCCGCAGAAACACATTGTTGCACTGTACCAGAGTTGGCCCAAGTTCCGCTTTCTCTAGGCCAAAGTGTTGGATCTGGGCTGCGGCGAAGGAACTGCTCCCTGCTTGAAGCCTGGATGCAAAGAAGTCTCGGGGAGTGACGCAGAAAGCTGTGCCGCAGTGCTATCAGTCAACAAGCATTCTGCCGAGGATAGCCAAGCACTTTCCAAAGGCCGAAGTTGTTGGGCCGCACAGATGCAATGGTTTCTTTGGATTGTAAGCTTTCATCTTCCGACAGTCAGCCGAATGTGAGAAACTGAACGACTTGTGGTAGCCCGTCGCAGGCTTCCGTAGAGTTGGAGAGAGCGGTGTTGCCACGTCGATGGAGCTTCCAGGATCGATGCGTGGGCACCATCCGTAGCAGCTGCCACAAAGAAGGCAGCAGTCGCAGTTGAAGCGGCATGCTGTGGTAGCTCAAGCAATTGAATCAGTTTCCGAATTCCTGGTGGCAGGCAGAAGCCGCGAATTTGTCCAACATAAAGTTCGTCTGCAGCGGCCTTACTTATGCAACACTGAGCATAGCTGCACAACCGATACTGCACAGTGAACTTCTGATCGCTTGCCGACACAGCAGCATGTTTTGGCATAGAGGCGGCGATGCAGCAAACTTTGGCGACGATGGGGCGTGGACGGGGCAGTTCGATTTGGATGCTTGACAGCCTGACAGACACTTGACGATGCCTTCTAATTGAGTTGCATTTTCCCCTGCGAAAAAAGCAGACGTAGCCTCTAGGTCACAAGCTTCGACGTCATCCATGACCTGACCAAGCCGGAAACAACCCTGGGCGAGTGCCGTCGGGTCCTGAAGGTGGCCAACGTAACCGGCGGCCATTGCACCCTGGGCGGGTGTCGCATCCTGGGCGGCAGGCAGACGGGTACTTCGCCATGGTTGACATCCGGGCAGAGACAGGCAGTATCTTTGTTTGCTCACATGCTTTTGCAACCCATGCATGCAGATACCGCCGCGGTCCCAGGCGTGGCCAAGAACATCGCACACCCCATGGCGCCGTTCCTCTATGCCGTCTCGTTGTGCCTTCGCCCAAAACTATGCTGCAGCTGATCGCAAGTGGATCCATCCAGCGGGGCAGAGCGCCCGTACTCATACTCATGCAAGGTCCAGAAGTTTGGAGCACAAAGTGCGCATGACCGCTGAGGATGCACTGCATGCCGCAAGGGATGAACGATGGCGGCCCCGGACTGGGTGCCCCTGCTGCCCGTCGTCGGGACTGGGAGACTGGGGGAGGCGGTGTTCTCTTTGTGTGCACAGGTATGATGTGGGGCCGAGAGAAGGCCCTCTCGCTTCTGAAAGGAGCAGGATTCGAACCCGAGGTGCCTTCCAGCTTGTATACTCGAGGTCGTCAATTTATGCAGTTTGCGCTTGCTGCAGATCGTTGCCATGGAGTTCGACACGTTCAATGACTGCTACTTGTGCCGGCCAGTGGGCAGCGAGTGAGTCGGTTGAAGACAGCATCAAGTTGTGAGCCTGAGAGGTCTTTGACAGCTCAGCCACTTCCAAAGCGAAGTGGAGTTTATCAAGCTTGGGCTGATGTGTTATCCTGCTGTAGCAAGAGACGAGGGAGGATGAACGCGTTTGCAAAGGCCCTCATCTTGATAGACTGTGAAGAGGTACAGAGACCTGATCATGCTCAAGCTTTGCTGAAAACGCTGTTGCACAAACATTGCTAAAGATATTTGTGCACATCTCCCGGCCGAAAAGGGTAGACTAGAACAGGTGTAATCATATCGCCATATACCATGCAAGGCGCAACTGCCGATGCTGTGCGCTCTGCGCAGGAAGAGGCAGGCCGGGTAGACAGTCATACACGGTCAATCTGTGTTGTAATCGGGACGGCTGATGGAGCATGCACATGGCGAGTCGATCTCAATCCAGAAGCTCATCCAGAATCTCGTAGTGGACATGTCAGGCATCGTCACAATTTTACTTTCGAAGTACGATTGAACCGTGTTCTTGCCTTGGGGGGTCGCCTTCGCCTGAAGTCTCGCCGTGTTCAGGTTCGGCATGGCTATGCCTTGCGGCCAGACGTGCGTGCGCTAGTCGAGGCACTGCTGGAAGACGGAATCGAGGCTCCCCGACAATCATGTGTGTGTTCGAGAGCTTTGGTGCAGTCGTGTCAGTGCCACGTTGCCGCGGTTGCATCCTGCTTCGCTGTTTCAGGGCGTCAGACGAAGGTGCACTCTGCACTTGGGTGTCCCCATGCAGCCCATGCTGGCCAAGGCTCGGAATATGAGCGCTTCTGAACCGTTGTCGGCTCTGCTCTCGGAGTTACAGCTTGTGGCAGCTCGCCTCAGGCCTGCACTTCCATCCAGGAGCTTCTAAAGCGAATCCTGAAGTCGGTGCCACGCAGTGTACAGGCCCGCAGGCTGCTGAGAAGTAGCCTTTACACGTTCGTGCTAATCTTTGGCAGTTGTCGAAGTGTCAACCCCAAAAACAAAATGTCCAAGCTCTACGACTCTACGGCTATGCCCTGCAGGCAACCAATCCTATCATGCTTTCTGCCGAGTTCAAGTGCCCTCGGTTTCTGCTGGATCTTCCAGGGGAACGCCAACCAATGCGGCTGTTTGCTTTCAGGAGCTACGGCACTGCTGTGAATACGTTTGATGTGATGCTGAGTTTCGACGGCGCGGCTTTTCCCCGGCGAACCGCTTCTGACATGGAGACACAGGTCTGTGAACCATGGGCGTGATTTCTAGATTCTAGGTTCTACAGCGAACACGGCTCAGCCCCATACTGGTCTGGAGCAAACAACAGCTTCGGTATCAGCAGTCTTCGTACTGTCAGCTCGCAATGTTGCCTTGAAAGCAACTGAGTCGCGATATCTCGCAAGCGTCTTGCTGGACCGCGTTGGATGACAGCCGAGGTACGATGGTCAGCGCGCCCAGATCCACGTCGTTCCCGGAGGCCACTCATTTCTCGACCAGCACTGATGCAGAAACCAACCACTAACTGCTAGTTTCTCATTCTCATCACCGCGCAATTATGGGGTTGGCCTGGGGTTGAAAGCACTTGCAAGTTGGAATTGCAGCCCACCCTGGCCTCCAAGAAAGGACGGGAGGTTCAGGGATGTTTAGGGGTTTAGGGTTTAGGGTTAAGGCTGTTCGGTCGTTTCGGGATTCGGGATAAGGGTTTTATGCGAGTTTTGGGTTTAGGATGCGCAAGTTGGCGGAAAGCAGCATGCAGCAAGCACTTGCGAGCCCTTATTGAGGCCTTATGTAGTTTCTACAAAACAAATTTGCGCACTTAGGGATATGATCACTTTATTTTCTTTATCGTGTCAGATTTTGCTCCTTCTCCTCCTCCTCCTCCTCTTCTTATTCTTTGGCTCTGTAGCTCTGCATCCACACCCTTGGCATGGCATGACTGGAAGTGGCTACTGTTCCTGCTTCTTCGTTCTGTGACCAGAGCGACGAGGACATGAAGGTTTGTTCTGACCATCCGTTCTGCGCCTTACGTGAAGCTTTCGGCTGCCTATAAGCGTGGTGGGCGGCACCGTCAGCGACCCCACAAGTATCAGCAATTAGTTTGGCGAGGCAGTGCCGGGAGTACACGAATCCGTGCAGACTGTTCAGCGACGGTTCGGCTCCAAGAGAGTCCGCAAAGTTCAGAAGGTCCAACATATGCTTAGGGTCATTCAGCGATTATGAAGTCATTGAAAGAGTTGGGTGGCTCCATCACGAAAGCCATGCAGTGGCTCACCGGTGACCTTGTTGCCATGACAGTCGCGGATGACAGCGAGTCGGAAGCTGACCTTCATGAAGAAGCCAAAATCATGAAGCTGTTGAAGGGGCATCCAAACATCGTGCGACCCCTTCAGACTGTGATGAACCTTGGCCAGCTTGTCGTGATCATGGAGTATGTGCCCGGAGTTAGCTTCATCTGCCAGAACATATGATCCGCATCCTCTTCCAACAGATCACGGCCGGCGTCCGGCACGTGCGCAGGATGAGCGTTGTGCACGGCGACTTAACGCTCGAGCACATTTTTTGGTTGATGGGCAGGGCTCTGTCAAAATTATTGATTTCGGCTTCTCGTACCGTGACGGCGAAGTGGCGCGCCGCGGCACAATCACCTAGGCTCCGCTAGAAGTGATTACTTTCGTGCAAGGTTCCCCACCACCACCTCAAACTCCCACAATGCTGCGACGTCTGGTCTCTGGGTGTGGTGCTTTTCGCCTTGCTGTGTGGGCACCTGCCCTGGTGGCGGCGAAGATCTTACAGGGTAGCTACCACTTCCCTAATTGAAAAGTCATCAGCCAAGCTTCGCACGACCTCGTTGACCGTTTTTTGAAAAGTCGAGCCTTGTTATCGCATTGCGCTTTCCGATGTGTCCGCACATGCCTGGTCCCAAGTGGGTGTATGTGGGTGTGCTCTTTGAAGCTTTCACGCGACAATGTGCCAGAGCCCCCCACTCAAGGCCCAGAGCTTGAGGTGATAGCCTTTTGTGCACGCGCAACGTTCTGACTGCGCCCGATGGATTTCAAGGCTATTTTTGGGGCTCGGACTTTGATGACTGCCCGCCTGCGCGACTAGACCCAAAACCCGCAGACTTCGCATCATGCTTAATTCATCTTAATTCGTCCTGACATGGTGTGCATTGGGTGTCAGGAGTAAAGCTATGATCAGAAGGGTATCATGCAAAGCATCTCCAGCTAGCGTGATTGTGTCAAGTACTTCTGGAGTGCATCCTGTTGCGTTTCATTCCACGTTTGATGTTGCAGCAGCACAGCAACAGGAGCCACAACAGAAACAAATGTAATGAGCATGTACATGTGGAAAGCAGTTCCGCTGCGGGCATGTTACACGAAGGTCGTGTCAAGATATTTTCGCGGAAGCTGGATGACATGACCTACAAGCAACTCGATGCTGAAGCTTGTCAACACTGCATTGCACAGCGGGTGCAAGTCGATGTCCTCGACGATTCAGGTATCCAGATGTTGTCAAGGCTGTCTTGAAATCCTCAAGGACACAGGCAGCCTGTGTGTTGGATGCCGAAATCGTTGCTTGTCATAGTATAGACTTCAACAATCCTGCAGTATCTAGTTGAGTGCTTCGTGGACTGGCATTATGTAATTAAGGTTGCTGTCGTGCCCAAGGAGAACACAGAGGCAAGAGTGAGAAAAGAGCCTCTCATGTTCGGATCGCTGGACTCGGCAGGAAGGTACCGGAGAAGGTAAGGAGCTGGAAAGAAAGGATGGCAACAAGGTGGAAATCGCTGTGCCGTGTCAGCAAGGTTTCTCGCTCGACGCACGGTATATGCAGCTTTTTTTGCGGCAGTTTGCAGTCAGTATGCGCGAGTCAAGCTAGCCAAGATTTGGGTATGCCGCTTCCGCACGACTGAGGCTTTCCAGTCACTGGCCACTCGAAAGCGCAAGCGGCTTCGCCTGCAATACCTGTGTTTGGGCAGCTGAGCCTTCGAAACTTTCTTCGAAGAGCGCGGTGGCTGCAGAGGAACGTCACGGAGGCCAATGCGGCGACGACATCCGTGGCAGCGGCAAGTCTGAACAGAATGAAATTGTGATGTTGTAGAGCCGCCTCTGCTGCCCTTTGTGAGCACAGTCTACACTTAGAGCCGCCTTGCTTCAAAGGTTAAAGTCTTTCTGTTCGACCTCCTCTTTCTTGCCGAGGCCAGTGCAGTTGCACACAGAATTGCAGCAATGTGCGGAGCAGATTACTGCAGGCCCGTAGAGCTTTGGAAGCAAATCCGCTTTCCACCACCCCCGAAGGAACCTTGCTGCTAGATGCTAGCGAGGAGCCCTTGATCTCGCTTCCATTTCAGCAGCGCCGAGAGAGACTCAAAGAAAGCTTCGCAGAAGTGGAGGCCGAAGGGTTGCCTATGGCTGCCACTTGTGGCTGATTCGGTGGGTCGAATTGGATTTACACGTCTTCCGGCTGTAAGGATCTTGTTGCCTACGCCGAAGCAGAGGACTTGGAGGTGGACTCACATCAGTAGCCAAGCGTATAGACAGGCTCTCTGAAGCTGCCGAGCTGCCCAAACACTTGCAGCACGGCCCGGCCGCCCGGCAGGGCAACGCGGGCTCAGCGGAAGCAACACTCGAGGCGGGCGGTTCATTCCCGAAGTCGCATAAGTAGGCGTAAAGGCATATCCCGAATCATCCACACACACACTATGCTTCTGACATGTGAGCGTTGACCCAGCTTCGGTGAAGCTCTCAGGCAGCTCTGCAACGATCCGTGGCCATGTCGTGCGAGGGCTTGATGGTGCCTGTTCGGCAATCGGATTTTTTGTGCTTAACTCAGTAGCAATGCTTAGCCGATCCTGTCTCTTCGGCTGGCTCTCTTCACACATCTGTTTGCACCGGCCAGAGCTTGGCAGCTTCGCGACACCGAGGTAAAGCACTTGGATTCTGGCTACGAGCCTTCAACAAAGCGGTCCGACTGCTGGCTGAAGCTCAAGAAGGCAGTCCGGCGAAATGGAACTAGCTGCACACCTTGTGACCACAGTCGGGAGCTATTTGGTCTCAGCTGCCGCCAAGCAGTTTGAGCAATCATGTGGGTTTTTGCGCTGCTGAGGACTACGTTGAGAGCATGGGTGACTCACTGGATCTGCTGCTCGAATATTGAAAGCTGGTGTTGAAGGTAAGCTTGCGTAAAGAACTTCTTCATGGAGTTGTTTGCTCAGCTGCTCTGTGGTGAATGCAATGAGCTGCCAGCCGAGGGTCCCCATAGGCGGCTGGCGCGGCAGCGGCCGCAAGTCGCGCTGGGTGTCGCCCTGGTTGCTGGCCACGTCCGGAACCCTGTGAGCTACGTCAGGTCCGCAAGATCGTCAGGGAAACTAGATTTCGATCGTTGCTGGCTCTGATAGTTGCAAAGTTGTCAGCATGAGGTATGATCCCGAGGAAGGCACATTCGGCTCGGTCTGCCGGGTGATGTCTGGTTTCAGCGATCAGTTCTACAAGGACTTCAGCGTTTCAGGGTTGATCTTGGAGACAACGCAACCGGCTGAGAGCTGGAGTTCTTGCTTCTGCTGACATGCGCATAGGAGAACACCCTCCGCTATCTGGGCCGGGAGCTCCACGTCGGAACTGCCAAGTCCGAGATCGATGCGGAGGACGAAGGCCGGCCTACTCCTTTCTCCAAAGGCCGTGATGTGACATGGGCCTGGGCTGTAGCTTCAGATGACTGCAAGGTGAAGATGCAGACGAGGATGAAGTTGAGGTCGCTTTGAAACGTGAAGTGCGGGATGTTGCAAGCACTTGTCCTTGCACTTCCAAGTGACAGGTGGAGAGCGCAGAGAGTGCAGCTGCAGAGGAGGAGGTGGAGCTCGTTGGCAGAGTAGGCATCAGTAGGATCCTGCGATATCACAGTCTGAACCTTGCAGGACGACACGCTGCCGAGCAAAGGCAGATCCTGAAGGGCACAGCCAAGGCCACAGTTGAGGCCCATCCGATCATGAGCGCAGGCTTGGCCGGGATGCAGCTCCGGTCCAAGGCCGGAAAAGAGCCGGTCGTGTGACATACCAGTTACCAGATGCACAGGGGAGGGGTGGAGAAACCATCAGGCCGGAGGGGTGGAGACGTTGGAGCAGCCGCAGTTCTGGTTCCAGCCTTCTGTGCCCTGGCCACTACCAGAACAAGGGATTTCCAGCTCCATCAGAACCGACAGACGGTGCTCGAGGTAGCACCTAGCAGCTAGCAGAGTGCTCGGTGGCGTGCCATGTGCCCAGGAAGTGTGGGAGATTCGGGGAGCTGCAGGAGCCCCAGTCACCTGCGTAAACTTGCCTGCCGCTACTACAACAACAACAAGTGCTGCTACTACTACTGCTGCTACTACTACTACTACTACTACTACTACCACTACCACTTCCACTACGACTACCCCACCTGCCGCTGCCACTACCGCCGTCGCCACCACCACCGACTCGTATGACGCCTATTGCCAGTGTAGCGCTGGTGCTAGTTCTAGATCCTCTTCGACTACCTCTACCACGACGACGAATACGACAACGACCGCAACTGGCGCAGATTGCACGTAGTGGTCCTTCAAAGGGTGAGATACATGTATGAAAATCATAAAGTTTGTTTAAAGCCGCGACGGCGCTCACTCGAAGCCGTCCCGCGCATTCAACTTCACTGGACTGAGGACATCACCATCTCTCCGAAGCACTTGGCCGCACAAGGTGCCTTGCTTATGTCAAGGCGGTGTAGGTGTAGTCAACTTTGCATCGCGGAGGATTGGTGGATCCGAAGAGAGGCCTCTCGCTGCGATTCCCTCGTTTCATCCGCAAGAGGGAGGCCAGGCCGGTTGTCGTCGGTACCAGAGCTCTTTTGCCCTTGCGGCCGGGCGCAGCCAGGACAAGCGCCTGGACCAGGCCACCACGCCGCAGCAGTTGGCGGAGTTCTGTCTGAGCTTATCGAAGAAGTCCTGAACATGGCCGGGCATAGGGCTCTCACATCCAAGGAGCTCTTCAACAAGCAACTCCAGCATCGAGGCACGGGTGCTTCAAGATTCGGGGACTTTCGGCTTATGGTAGTCTGGCCTGCCCCTGGAAGAGGCCGCGCATTTGTGCTGGAAATTGTCCGAGGTTTCAATCGTCAGTTGTTACTGTTTCATCTTGAAATAACCCAGGCTGACAACGACCACTGAAACAGCTGAGAACGACTCGGACGACAATGGCGTGTGCGAAGGGTGGCAGCCCATCTGCAAGCAGGAAACGAAAGCCGATGTTGATCTTCAGCTTTCATTCATGAGGATTCAGGAATCTCTGAGCACATGTCATGTGAGCATCTTGGAAGCCTCCCCCTAGAGGAAATTCTGCATGAGACCTGCCCAGGTGCCAGTGGCACGGCGACGGAAACCACCACAGAGATTTGAGAGTCTTGGAAATGCCCAAACGGGCACTCTCGACTCCACGCGACGCGTGCTGAGCTTCAGCCGACCAGACAAGATGGATTAGGGAGGACACAGGAAGCCTGCTCCCGGTCCTCCCGCACGCTGCCACACTGCTACACGTCAGTGGTGAGGTCGACGAGTCTCACCATCTGCCGGTGTCGCTGTCCAGCTACAGTTTGTTGTAGTATGTAGCGGCCCTAGCAGGATGCTTGCATCAGCACCAGCTGGATTGCAGCACATCCAATAGCACAGCCCAGCTGTTTTCAAGCGCCATCATCGCAGCGCTTCATGAGTTTTCCTTCGGCCACGATGCAAACTCCACTTGGGCATCAACTTCGCACGGTTCTACACCCAGCAAAACGCTGACAGGCGAAGAGAGGAGCTGACGTTGACCTTGAAGGCGGCTGCCGACCTGTCGCTGTCCGGCTGTCTCCGACCCTGCTTGCACTTTCAGGCCAAGAGCACCTGGCGAAGGCCAGGGCGGCTTGGAGAAAGCATTGAAACCGCTAGTTTGAGCTGGGCCCAGGCGCGGAAGACGGAAAGCGTGGCTCGTGAGGCAAAGGGAAGAGCCCTGGGTAAAAGTATCAAAAAAAAGCCGGTCAGATCCTGCCTGCCGGTCATGCCCGTTCCCGTGTCAAGGCCCTGGTTTTGGATTCCTCGGAGTCGGAGGACGTCCTTGTGGAGAACGCTTTGGCCTCAGCACCTTCCGCAGAGGCCTCCGAAATCGGATCCGCTTTCGAAAGGTTGGGGTCCCTGTTGAGCTCGAGCTCGACGAGCTGGAGCTCGACTGGTCACAGCTCGGGGACCATGTCGAAGATCTGTTTTGCGGCCACGGGGCCACCAAGCAAGGCACTTCTGAGAGAGGACTTGCGGATTCGACTCGGCTCGCTGTCGCATGCTGTCGCTGCCAGCCTCTCGCTTCCTGCCGGGGTGTCCTTGGTGCGAACGTCGTGGGCAAGGCGGCATCCAGGAGGCCACGGGGATCCACGGGGCTTCGCCTGCTAGTCCAAGCCGAAGCGCCGAAGCACACGGCTTGAAGGCCATTTCACTTCCACATCCACACCCTGCTCTGACTCTGCGCTCGACCCAACCTTGGTTCCTGGAGCATCGCAACTCAACAATTCTCCGTGACTTGTGGCTGTGGTTCTGTTGCTAGGCCTTCTTTGTATCAAGGTCACCTGAACCCGACTCCCAGCTGTCGGAGGAGGCATTTTCCAAAGAGGCTGGCACTGTAGGAGCTGCTGCACCAATGGTTCTCTTGCATTGCTAATGCAGTGTTGCGAAACAAGTTCATGGCCTTTGCATCGGATTCGAGCACATCTGCTGTCGATGCCAAATGTCACATGTCAGCGAGTGTCCGAGTGCAGGGCCTGCGGCTTCCGCCGGTCAGCCTGGATGAGCTCCGGAAGTCCTCCCGGCTCGTTCCACCGCCGACCCTGCGTCACCTTGCTACTGCGAGGCGCTGTGCGCATTTCCGGCAAAGTGGATCGTCCAGGCGAGCCGAACTTTGCGGTCCGGTCGTAGCTCTGTCTGTGTGTGTGTGTGCGTTTATTTCTACTACCGTTGGCTGAGACAGCTGGAACACATCGGTCGAAGCTGTATGTGCCTGGGCTTTCTGCCACGGAATACAGTATCCGGCCTGCCAGCACGGCCCATTGACTGACATGGAATAAAGCCAGGTCCAGAAAGCTCTTCGAAATTGTACCCGGAACCTTTTTGTGGTGGGTTTTCTGACCAGATCCTGAGAAACGCACCAGATTTATGTCAAAGCTTGCGGCATGCCTACAGACTCAACGCGCAGGCACATTTGTTCGGACTTGTGCTACTTCCGCGATTACGAGCCTGCACGCCAGCTTCGGGCCTTTCAGGACGCTTGATTGCATGGGGCAGGGGTTTAGGCTTGGGTGTCAGCCGAAAGTCAAACCCAGCCTCGACAGGACCGAGCCGAAGCTGCGCCGGCCCTGCTGCCACCAAACCGCCTGGCTGGCCTCAGCGCGAGGCCACAACCGAGTTGCCTAGAGGTTGCAAAGGATATCACGTAATCAGCGTAAACTCTTTGACACACAGCTTCTGGCAGCAGAAGGGATGACCCTAAACAAGGCTGGCGCTCTCGCAACAACCGCCATATTGGTGTGCCACGTTCTAAGCTTCTTTGCTACGCACGGTGGAGCCACTCGAAGCTCCCAGAGACCTGCTCACAGTCACCGGAATGCATCACTCGCACCAAGCCAAGAAGGCCGCTGCGATGTCATCCGTAAGTGTGCCCACTTGTTCGCGCATGATGTAGGTTGCAATATGTTAAAGACGAGGTTGTTGAACTAATTCTCCGTTGCATGATTGTCATTGTTCAAGATTTCATGCACCCATGACGCAGGCATGCTGAACATGTAACTGCGCAGAGGTGAAGCAGGAGCTGATGTATGCAAGCTGGTGTAATCAGTTTTGCGCAGAGAATCACCTGTACATGTACGCAGACCAGATTGTTGATGGCTGGTATGCTCGGTTCACATGAGATGCAGATACAGTAGACACGTATGCATCTGCACGCCAATGTGAATACAGTTATGAGTATAGTTATAATGCTAGATATCGGTATGCATGGGAATGTACATATTGTGTATGTTGATTATACGCATGTATGTATGTGTCTGCATGTGTGTATGTTTATGTGCATGTGTATGTAATTGTACGTGTATGTATGTGAACATGAATGTGGGCTCGAATCTGAGTTCGAATAGATATAGGTACGCGCATGTGTATGGGTGAGTGAGTGGGTGGGTGGGAAGGTGTGCATATACGATAGCAAACACCTCTCCCACGCTCTCTCGGCGTCCCCTTCAGGTCGTTTTCCACGCAGCTTCTGGTGCCGTGCTTGGCCAAAGTCGCCAGGCACTGGAGTGTTTTCGAAGCTGAATTCGTTCGCAGCCCCAGCTGTGCATATGCAACCAGTATTCTTAGTCATAGTCGCTGGACCGACTTTAAATTTCCCCGGGAGGCATGGAAGATTTTACAGCAGGAAACTCAGAACTTGAACATCTTCACGTGTGCTGTGCAGTGCAAGGGGTCCTTCTAGAATCAGGTCGAGCAGCGCCTCAACAGCGGTGCCTGCCCATGATTGGCGCTTCCACTGGAGCCAGGGGGTCTGCAAGCTCAGCACGAGGGAGAGCTCGGAAGTGTCGGAACACCTCCATTGTCGTTGACAGTATCCTCCCGTCTCCTCCAAAGTATAAGCTAATAGGTTGAAGGAGATCACACGGCACTCTTACAGCGCAGCTGGCCTCTCCGCAGCGTAAGCACGTGTATGCGCGCTCTTGTCGCAAACTGCCTGCTTCCACAAGCAATGCTTCGGTTGAGAAGAAACTTTCCTTAAATCCGCAAGGCAGTTGCTAAGTACATCACGAAGTCAAGAACAGCCAGCAGCACTCAAGCGCATCACGAGTGTCCGTGCTTCTCCATGGTGCTCAAGTTTCGAAAAAAGTCACAAAGTGAACTGAACCCCATTCGACGATTGGAGAAGAACCACATCCGCTCATAAGCCCAGCATCCCCAGACTTGACAAGCTCTCAACCCGGATGCCACGCTCGGCGTAGTGTATGCGGCTGGCGTCCCGGACGCGCCTGCGCCGGTGGACAGCGGAGCCCCGGCTCGCGGTGCAGCTCAAAGCTCCTAAGCTCAAAAGAGAAGGGACTCCTTGGGAAGTGCTGCCAGGGCGACACTATGCAGGGTGCCGTCTCGGATCCCTAAGGGTGGCCAGACGACCCGAAAAGATGTGCTACGAGTCTACAAGACAATGCCACTGCATGCGGCCAGCGATGGCCAAAAGATTCGTTGCTGCTCGAGACTGTGAATCAGAAGATGACCGAGATCGGAATCCACGCCAAGAACCAAGACTTGTCAGCTTGCGCAAGACAGGCGCAGTGGACAGCGGCGATTCAGATCTTCCGCGAAGTTGGCAAGCTCAACCTACAAGAAAGCGCCGGCACTCATAGCGCAGCAGTGAATGCCTGTGGCAAGGCCAAGATCTGGGAACGGGCTCTTCAACTTTGGGCCGTTTCTGCCTACCGGCGGAGCAACATTTTCCTCCATGGGGCCGGCATGAGTTCCATGGAGAAGATGGGCAGATGGCAAGATGCTCTTGCCATGCTCAACCACCTCGGAGAAATGCAACTGCAGGCCAACGTGGTCACGGCCAGCACTGCAATGAGCTCCTGTGTCAAAGGCAGGCGGAGTTGCATGTCATGAGTCATATCCTTGCCCATTGCCGAACCAGCAACTGACAGGCATACATTGGCATGGCACACTGCTAGTCCTCGATCACTTCATGGAACAAAGACTGGAGCCCAACGTGGTGATGTACACTTCGGCCATTAGCGCGTGCGAGTTTGAAGCTTGGCAGCAAGACTCCACTTCCGAAATCTTCCGGCAAAGCAGCCGCTGGGCACTTAGATGAAAACTGTGAACGTTTGTAAACTGGACTGAAGCCAGGAGAGCTGCTGGAATGCAGCCCTCCATCTTCTCCATCAGCTCGAAGCAACGAAGGTGCAAGCGAAGCTCGGAGTGTATAAGATGAAGGGAGCTGCACACCGTGAGACACTCTCCCCTATTCCATCTTCAACCGAGCAACGGCACGTGCGTGATTGCACAGTAGGTTGCGAAGAACATAGACGTTCTTCAACAGGCCAGCTGCATAGTCCCACCAACATGCTCGGAGTGATGAGTAAGGAACGTTCACGCCTACAGTGCAGCGATTGTTGCCTGCGAAACGGGCGGGCAATGGCAACGCGCGTCTTGGCAGCGACGATAACTGTCGGCACCTATGAGCCATGGAGACAAAGCCGGCAGGCGGCATTGCGGCAGCATGTCTTAAAGCGAGGCTTTGATGCTGCTGTCAGAAGTGGAGCAGAGCCGTGCCAAGGCTGCAGCTTTGTTTGCGGGCACTTCCATCACATCAGGTCATGAGGCCATGTCTATTTGAGTCTATTTCAGGACAAGTCCTCAAACAGAAACGTGTGGCATTTGAGGAGTTGTTCCTTCAACACAGCATCTTAGAGAGGTCATGGCAACTGTGGACAGCAATGTCTGCAAGCATGCTTGCATCCGAGGAATCGAAGCCGATGCAGTGATTTACAACGCCACCATCAGCGCTTGCGGCGAGAGCGGCCCGTGGAGAGCAGTGGTCCACTTACTGTCCGACATGCACATGAAGCAAATTAGACGTGACATTGTCACGTTTGGAGCAGCAATAGATTCCTGGAAGAAATCTGGATGTTGGCAGCATGCGATACTACAACTCGCGGACTTGCAGAGCATCTGGGTCTCACCAAATCTAGTGATCTACAACGCAGCCCTTGCGACATGCGAGAAGGGAGGTGCCTGGCAGGCAGCGCTCTCTTTGCTCTCAGACTTGCGGCAGCTCCAGCTTCGTGAGGATGTTGCTACGATGGGCAGTCTGATGAGCGCTTGCGTTCGTTGTACGCAGCCTGACAAAGCCCTGCATCTCTTTTCAACCTTCACGGGTTCTCGAGCTGAAGCCAACGCAGCTTGTCTCATTGGACTCTTTTTGCCAAGGCCTGAGCCGGAATTAGGCACGTTACGAGAACGTCGTGTACTGAGGCAATAACCTACACAGCAGCCATTGGTGCATGCTCCAGAGCACAGAAGTGGCAGCAGGGCCTGCAGTGGATGACAGAGATAGTGCTTAAAAGCTTGCAGTACGACGTCCTCTTGTACAGCGTCGCTTGGTGACAGATGGTGTCTGCAAAAGCACCGAACCTTATCTATGATTCACGAGCGCATCAGGCTGCCATCAGCACATGCGATACGCCGATGCTCTGGCGAAAGGCAGAAAAGTTGTGCCTGGACGGCATTGAGCAAGATGTGTTACGTGCATGCTAGCTACTAACATAACAAACGGGGCTGTGAGCAATGCCAACCTCTATCTTTGCGCGGATCCTGTCATGTCTTAGGTTGACAGATCTTTCCGACCGCGACATGGAGAAGACACTGGTGACACTGAATGTGGCCAGACAGCAGGTGTACGTGATCCCAGCTGTGCGAGCCAACGCAGACGACCGAGGCAGCTGCAGGTACGCTTGGTGCTGCCCGGCAGTGGGCCCATGCCAACCAACTTCTTCGGCCACTGCTGCTGACAAGGCCGACGGGCAGTTCGTTCCCACGTAGACCTTAGGGGACACTGGCGGAATTGTTTTTTCTAGGTCGGCACATCCCACCTACTGCGGTGCCCCTGCGGGTGTTGAGACTTTTTTCTCATTTGTCGTGGGCACATGGTCACGAGACCGATTCCCAGGTCCTGCCTGCCTTCATAAAAAAGAAGTGTTTCACAGGTATGCTACCCTCATCACACAGAGACGCAACCCCGGTATTGCAGTGACTGCGAGTGCTTCACGAGAAAATGTTGGAACCCGAGCCTATGCTCAGTAGAAGCAGCGAATTCATCAGACAGTCGCGTAAGGCCTTTCAAACGACGTCGTATTTGCCTCGTGGTTTGATTGCAAGTAGCAGAAATTCAGTACTGCGCGGTCTGTGAGTTTGTGCTTGAAGTAATTCAACGATGACTCCGAACGAGCATATGTAAGAAGTCTGCACACACCGCCGTTGAGTGGGGGTCGCCTGGCTTGGCTGAATGCCCATGGTTTCCCAATGCCCATGCATTTGAACCAACGGACTCGCTTCGCGCACCAACTCCAGCCAAGCATAGCGCCAAAGCATATACCGTTCTGACATCTTCCTTGCCCAGAGCAGCGGATGCGACCACCTTTTCGGCGGCTGCCTCTGCTACAGATGAGGCCCCGAATCCACAGTTGATGCTTGGACTGCTTTGGGATTGAAGATAGTGGGTTACGAATTGGCCAACCTATATACATCTGTTTCTGCATGAGTGAAACCATCGTGCGAGAAAAACGCCCCTTCACGTGGGCTATAGACAAGCTGAGGATGCATGAGCTGAACAATGCCGCCAACCGCTACATGCAAGAGGGATTCGGGGCATAATGCCGCCAGGGCTTTGCACCGCCATGCCACGCCAACCAGGCATTTGCAGTAGAAGGCTAAGCAGATCCAGATTCGATCCACTGTCAGCATTCATCCCTCAGCTCACAATTGTCCAAACCTGCTCAACCCTGCATAGCTGGGTGTTGCACGGCGTTTCACCATCACCGGAGCTCCCGTAGCTTATGAACGTCTGTGCATGCAGCTGGGCTTTGAGATGGATACAAAGCTTTGTGTTGCGAGAGGTCAGAACACAGGTCAGAAGTCTTTTTTCAAGTCAGCGTCTCAAGCAAAGCAATTGCCACAAAGCCTAAACAGATTCCAAGCACTCACATCCTGGTTGTATCCTAGCGCAAGTTCCACAGCCTGCTGTTCAATCCTCGAGACTTGTCGCAGACTACACAATCGCAACTGCGTCTGATTCAGCTGAGCATGTGCTTGTGCGGTTGCAGCCATGGCTGATGGCCGCGAAGTCGACGTGCCTGAGCGCAGACATGTCGGTTCCGCTCTTGGCTACAGGTCTGGTCTTAGTCAGTGGCACGTCGTGCCACTGGACGTAGAACTTGCAGGGCATGCACGCGGCAATGTCTTGATTTTCAGCGGTGAAGGCTCAGCCGGAGATGGGGACGATGAAGTTCTTCAGCTAATTCTCTCGAAACTTGGCTCCGTTGCACCCTGCTTCTCAGCTTGACTGCAACCTCTTGCCGGATTGGGACTTAGGATGTCGAGCAGCCGCGTCGGAGTCCTAGATGCTCAGGCATGACACAGCCGTGAGGCTTGGTATGGCTTGGTGGTGTTTACTGCAGGTACGCCTGCACTCTGTTTGCCATCGCTGGCTCGAAGTCTGCAGGCACGCCATGCAAGTTGCACATTTCCGCAAGGGTCTCGTCGCGGGACGGCTTGACTTAGGAGCCGATTTCCGCCACCCATCGCCTGGCCGCCGCCGCCAACGAGCCCGGTGCACCTCGAGCTCGAGATAAACCAGGCGGTACATGGTACATGCCCTCCACGCTTGAGACTCCTCCCTGGCGCTTCTCGAAGCTATGCAGACTTCCAGGCCATGAACAAGTTGATCTTCTCACTTACTTTGCCTCTCGGCTGACACAGAAAGCAGCTTCCCGCCACGAGCGCAGATGCAAGGAAACTGCGCCCTGCTGCGGTCAGCACTGTGGCGTACTTGGATTGGGCTGCTCTGCCTGTGTTGGTACTCTGAGACGGTAATCGGATCCTCGTAGCACTTCGTGACTTTTGCGGGTCTTTGCGTCCTTGCTCCTGTGCCACCACTTCTGTTGCGCAAATCCTGCCCACGCAGGGGTACACATAAAATCGTTGTTCAGAGGAGCTTTGATAAGGAAGTCGTCGCTTATCGGTGCACAGTGTCAACATCCGGTGAACACCCTAAAAGATGGAAGACAAGATCTCTGAGCCAGACCAGATGTGCCAATGCAACCAAATTCTGTTACAGGCGGGATACTCGGTTGCGCAAACATCGTCAGCATTTTGACAACCCAGGTGCCGTCGTACTTCAGATCATCCAGCAACCGACAGGCCGCTCGCAGACTCCGGGAACTCAAGTACTTTCGAATTATTATTGTCCAGCTGATCAGGTTCTACACGAACTGCCAGAAGAGGACCAGACGAGCACTTTGAGAGATGTGGATAGAATCTGATACACGCTCCGTCTCGTGTCTTTCGCCCTGAGAACGCGGATGCATCCTGGTGCCTCGCTTGCCGTTGCTGGGGTTCCACACGCCGAAGCCCCAGCCGAGCTTGGCAGTCCTCCGAGGAGCCGAGTACCCGTATCCAAGGCCCCAGTACATCGCAGTGTTGCGAGCTGCGGCTTCGGTCTGAAGAAGGCAGAGGGCAGGGAAGTTGGAATGACTTGCCAACAGCGGGGCAGATCCCCTACAGGCCAGCAAAGCTGGACCCTTTCGGCAACGGAGGCAGGGTTTTGATTCTGACGATCGAGGGTGATGGAGTGTTGCAAAACACTGCGAAATGATTGAAAGGCAGAGGCATTTCGAGCCCTGGTCGACCACCGCCGCATCAACCTTCGAGCTCTACCGGAATGAAGGATTGGCTCTGGCTATAGTGCGTACTGGTACTACAAGTTTCCCTCGCCACAGTCGCAACACTGGTGTGGTCGACCGACCGTTTCCTGTTGGCCAACTCGATGCCATGAAGCACCTAGCAACTCAACTTGGGCCAGATGGACTTTGGTCCGAACTATGTCATGAGCGCCTGAAGTCTAAAGTCTATAGCCACAGGCCGCCGCAAGTCCAATCAAGATGATCACATCTCAGCCAGCGGAAAGCGGAAGATCGCCGAGCTGAGCAGCGAAGCACCAGAAGGCCTCGAGAACTGCGACGGCATCGCCGCATCGCTACTCCGAAAAAGCCGGAGTATTGCCGAGCCAAGTTTTGCTTTGTGCTGCACCTCGAGCAGTAGAAGGACTCGCAGCAAAAGCCTCCCAGCATGCAACTGTACTTGGACGTCCGGCCCAGGTCTTCGAGAGCCCTTTCGGACTGGTGGAGGAGCTGCTGGCAGACAACGCCTGGCAGCTGCTGGTGCCGCCACTAAGCATCCCCTCCCGGCATGTCCACGGCCGTAGATTTTGGCGTTTTCGTGAGATGTTCGGCAATTTGCGGGAAACTCTATGATCGAGCTGGGATTGAATGAATCGCTCGCACGCTCTACTGATGATTTCGACCACACGGCAATATGCCACGTGGCCATCCACCGCATGCTACTTGTAGCATCAGTGGGCCGTGCATGGTCCGAGGTTTAACCGCGTTCTCCATGCTGTTGAGCGATACTCTTGGTGCACTATTGGTGCACTGCTGTCGCTGGCCAGGCGACTTGTGTCTTGCTCAACAAAACGGGTCGGCTGGCATGATCCTTGGAGCGGCAGCATGGCCTCTGTCCCATGACCAGTTCCAAAGGGCCAGAAAACGATGGTTCAGAGGCAAGGCGGTGCGCCGACCTTGCTCGAAATTGTGCATGTGTCGTCTTTCATGATGGCAGTTCAACTGCCGCTGAGGCAGTGGACCGAGTTCTGCCGGAGTTCTTGAGTATTTGCCCAGGCGGCTGTGCTCAAGCTGCGACTATAGAAGCATCACGACATGCTTGCCTTGCTTTGCAGGCCCACATGAGCTTTTGGCCACAGCACCTGATGTGCTACACAGGCACAGCGCTACCCATGACATGTGTGATGGATTCGTCCTCAACCTCTGCAGCGGGAGGGTGCTGCAATTTGGTGTTGGAAAGCGTTTTTGCATTTACTGTCTTGGTACCCTTAGAAACCAAGCCTCTCGAAACGTTTTTGGGCAGTGGTGCAGAACGTACGTACACCCTTCATGGCAAGTGCCTGCTGATTCAGTCGTCGTCGTATTCTGTGATCTTCATTACGGCTGTTCCATGCAGCACATGGCCGCCGCCGCAGGATTTTTCTTCCACTCGGCCTCCACCGAAAGCGAGCATGGCTCTGAGTCGCATCCGCCGACCACGCGACGTCTGCAGGATAAGGAGTGGCCGTGCATGTGATCGAGAACCTTTTGGAGTTTTGCGGACATTGCTTGAAATGCGAGTTCATTACAACCGAGTCTTCATCGAACCGGTCAAGATCTGTAGCATCAACAAAGATTGCAGAGGGCGAGAGCACACCCCCTCGAGGCTCGGATGCTTCGTCGCTTCAGTACAGAATTCCTGGAGGCACATGTCAGACCCAGCCGGTGCTCTGAATGCAGTGTCGCGGAAACAGTTCGGAGCCTCGTCAAGGCGCAAAAAGAAGCAGACGGCAACATAGCCTTGGAGCGTGTGCGAAGGCCACTCTGCTTTGGCACATGACTGTCTGCTCAGATAAGGTTTAGATCTGTTTTTGCAGAAGCGGACCGGAGCTGTTTCCTTGGCTGGGAGGTTTCATGGCGTAGGCCAGCATCTCGGGAGCAGAGTGATGAAGCAAAGTCTGAGCACGGAGCGCCTCCATCCTCTTCAGTCGGGAAGAAATTGCCCCTGCCCCTGCGCCGCTCCGACTGCAAAGCCAGCCCTCCAGTTCGGGTCAGGCAAATATGCCAGTGATGCCTACGAAATCTTCATCCTGAAGCGAGACTTGATTGCATGGGAGGCATAGCTTCAACTTCGACTGGCATCCAAATCGAGCCGACACTCCCCTAATCTCCTTGGCACGCTCAGGCATTTCCACGGTGCAGCCCACAGATTGTTACCTGCGATGGCAGCTCAGCTGCAAAGGCTCTGCAAAGGGCAGCAGTGCACCCAAAAAAGTCACACAGAGAGGGCCTCCACCAACCGGACAACAGCGCGAGACCGCTTTGGAGGTACAGCAGCGCTCTGGTACGTCAGCTCCGTGAGCAGGGATACAACGATCTGGACGAAACCTTCAGAGACTGCATGTCGCAGCATGTTGCGCAAAGCGGAGTTACTTAAAAAGTGCTTTTTGTCTGACGATGTCAAGTGCATTGAGAGCCTTCCCAGTGCATGAAAACACAAAAAGAATGTATCGTCGCTTGCGCAGCTTCGGTTTAAGAGAATTTGGCGTTTTCGGGCATTGGCCTTCTTTTTCCAATTATGAGCTGCTGCGGCGGCTGCTTCGAAGGCCGTGTCGTGCTTGGCGCCGCATGCTCTCTTCATCCGGACACTAAAACACGTGAACTTGCGCAGGCCTCTTCTCGAAATCGCATGAGCTGCGTCCAGATAGACTGGGCCTCGGGCCCCCGTAGTTGCGCGAGGAGCCAAAGACCTGAGTCGATCAACATCTGAGGCTCTCCGCAGAAGCAGCCGCGACCGGTGAAGTCCTACACGGAGGTGCCAGCTGGAGGAACCTGAGGGACCATGCTGGGAGAATGCTTCGACAGGCTCTGCAGCTAGAGAGGTCCCGGGAAGGGACGTGGCAGCTTGGGCCTTAGGGAATCTCCACAGACGTGGCAGCTGCAGCAAGTTCTAGTCATCAGTTTCTGGCATGAGGGCATCTCCAAAAACATCTTTCGACTGGGCACAGACCCGAGATTTTTCCGTCCTGTGTGGCTTTTCGCCTTCTGAGTGTGCTAGAGGCTTCGCCGATCCCACGGCGGCGACCTTCTGTGGTCTCCGTTGCATGGCTCCCCAGAATGGCTCCCCAGAAAGTAGCAGTCTTCATACCTGGAACCGTTGAACATCCTGATGGAAGGAACTTCCCTAGGTCTCTTCCAACCTTAAGTTTGAGGATGGGCCTGTCGACTTCGACATTGTGATAGACATCGACGATGGCAGCCTGGCACCCAGCTGCAGAAAGCCGAGCCCACAAATAATCTCATGCTTCACGCACGAGCGTTATAAGATAGCCTTTTCGCAAGTTTCGTATCTCTGTCCGGGTTCTGAGGTAAGGCCGAGCCTCGCCAGAGACTCAACCAGCTTGCATTACTGTACCTGATTTCATCTCATGTGTCGACGCCACAGACGCAAGACTACCGACAGACCCGCATGGATACAGGGAGCAGAAGCTGCCTACATCTTGCCCTCCGAAAGAAACTCGTCTCATTCCGGGGATCCCCATGTGCCCGACACATCTATTGTACTTCTGAGTTAGCACACCTCTTATGGCGTCTTATGGTGGGATCTGAACAGGAACCCAGACGATTGACACGGACATTCCAGCCAGCGGGGAACCGAGATTCATAATCGAGGGAGAAAGTGGATGCCCTTTGACAGACACAGGAAGTAGCGTGTTGTCAGCGTTAGTCGTCCTGAACTTCGATCTGAATCGAGAGCTCTGAGACGGGCTCCTCACTGCCCTTTGCCTGCAGACCGGGTGGGAGCCCAAAATCGAGAACGTAGCAGGTGGGCGACTTGTGCAGTCATGTGGCCGGACCGGAAGGTTTGCGGTCCGCATCCGGCAGGTTCGAAAAGGAAATGTTGCTGGCATCTCCTGGCCGACTTCCGCCACCTCTGACAGCAGATCAACGAGAGGACCAGATCAAAAAACTACGGTCCGACGGTCTTGGGACGGGTCTGCAATTCTGAGTTGCGTTCTACAGCACTTTGTCTTAAAAAAGGTCTGGCCCAAGAAAGTGTAGCGGATACGAACTGACCGACATGTGCAGCATAGGTTTAACGCCACAGGGCTCAAGCAAGTCCCTGCATGCAACTGCAATTCCTGACTGCGACTCTGTGCTTTCTCGTTGGCTGTTTGAGTGTGTGTGTGTGTGTGTGTCTGTGTGTGTGTGTGTGTGTGTGTCTGTGTGTGTGTGTGTGTGTGTGTGTGTGTGCTGTGTGTGTCTGTGTGTGTGTATGTCTGTCTGTGTGTCTGTCTGTCTGTGTGTGTCTGTCTGTGTGTGTGTCTGTCTGTGTGTGTGTGTCTGTGTGTGTGTGTGTGTGTGTGTGTGTGTGTGTGTGTGTGTGTGTGTGTGTGTGTGTGTGTGTGTGTGTGTGTGTGTGTGTGTCTGTGTGTGTCTGTGTGTTTGTCTGTGTGTTTGTCTGTGTGTGTGTGTATCTGTGTGTATCTGTGTGCGCGCGTGCGCGCGTGCGCGTGCGTGCGCGTGCTTGCGCGTGCGTGCGCGTGCGCGCGCGTGCGTGTTGAGGTAGCCACGTGTTTGGGAGGCGTTGGTGCAGTTCGGTGGTTTGTTGCTTTCGTGTCTTGATTGATGAAGCTACTTGCTTGAACTAGACTGCTGTCTGCTGAAGACTAGTTGCTGGCCCCTGTCATATCGAGCACCTAGAATTTTATCTATTGTGTTGGGGCGCCTTCTGAGTTGTCTCGTGCGCATACGACTACAAGTTGTAATGGCAGGAAGCCATCCGGCAACTCCTGCCCACTGCTACCTTCCAGATGTTGGCGAAGGTGTGGGAAGCCGGCATAGCTGGTGCAAGCTGGACGAAAGCATTTGCACCCATGTGCTCAGTAGCCCACTGTTGTCGGCAATCCTCCTGTGTCATCTCGTACAGCAGACGCAGACCCTCACAGCGAGGTGCCGAAGAAGCTGCTGACACAGGCCGATGAGTCGGCCAAAAAGCTCCGAAGGCTCGGTAACGCGACACGACATGCGTTTTGTGAGTCCTCCTCTGCCCTTCAGTTAGCCCCGCATCAAGTTGACGGACCCTATCGGCAGGCTCAAAGTAAGGAGCATTTCTCATACCCGCTTTGCTCCGATTTCCGCGCGTTGCAAACATGGCCACCGAAGTGCTGAAGATCAGCGATGGCACCACCATGGATGCTCGGCGTGTCATGAACCATGCCTCAACGGCAATCAGAGGACTATGAAAGCAGCAGGATCGAACGCAGGAAATAGGAAAGCATATGACTGGGTCCTGTCCTCATGCTCTGCGTCTGAAGAGATGCGATCTTGTGCAAGTCCATTTGTTGTAGCTGCTATCACGCATCTTCCTTCACTCTCCTCGTGTGCCTGATCCCGTGAAAGTCAGGAAATCTGCAGACTGCCCGATGTCGATGACCAGACATGGGCAGAGGTCCGTGCCTACGTCGAGGGCAACCCTGCAGCTCGGCACTTTCTTTTCGGGGCCTGCAGCCATGCGGGCAAAGTGGTTAGTAGATGCTGGTCAGGTTCTCGTAGGTTCCTTTTCTGTTCCAGTCTGTGCAGCAAGTCCGAGATTAGGACACCGCGAAAACACTGAAGAGCTTCTCGAAGAATCCTGATGCGATGAGGGGCTGGCTGCAGACCCAGGCCAGCAACAAGTGTGAGTGATTGGGCTTCCAATCTCCCGCAGTCTCTGCAGGCCATCGCAGAGCACTACAGCGCCAAGCTGGCCAACGGTGACACCCCCGTCCAAGACAAGGCACAGCATATCCTCTGCCCCAGGTGTGTTTTGCAAGATGGTCCTGGTTTCGCAGGTGAAGTCCTTGGAGGCGGATCCAGAACTGGCTGCGATCTTCGAGGACATCAAGAAGAATGGCATGGAAGCTGCCATGAAGTACTACCAGGATGAGGAACTCATGCTGCTCAGGGGTACTTAGAAATAGTTGTCGATGTTTGGGTGTTAAAATCCTGAAGAAACAGCTAAGATTACACTTTGTAATTTGAGCTCGGGGTCCAGTTCAGTAGAGGCTGAAGATCAGCCAGAAGATGGGCGGTCTCCCATCCGAGCTTCAGCCAGTTCTGCAGAAGATCGAGGACTCGTCTCTCACGCTGCATGAGGCTGCCAAGAAGGGCGACCTTGCGGCGGTCCAGCAATTCCTGGATAAGAACAAGCCTTTGGATGCGCAAGATCACAAGGGCATCACTCCGTTGGGCTATGCGATTGGAGCCAACCGCTTCTTGTTTGCGCTTAGACTTAGAGGGAATTTGGGCTCGGGCGTCGTCCTTGCCTCTTGACTCTTGAGGTATCGCGGTGGTGAAGAAGCTCTTGGACAGCCGCGCCAACCCTTACGCTGTGGACAGCTCCGGCAACAGTGGCCTCCACTATGCTGCCGGCTACGGCCGAAAGGAACTCCTGGAGTACCTCCTGAAGGTAGGGGCCAATGTCAGTCAGCCCAATGCTCAGGGCATGACGCCCCTGGCTGCGGCTACGCAGAATCGACAGGAGGCAACCGTGCAGATTTTGAAGGCTCATGGAGCGCAGTAAGAGCAGGCTGCCTCTGTGCCGGGAATTCGGAGCTTCAGCGGGTAGGTTTTTAACCACCGGGTTCAACCACGAAGCCTTGTCCTCAGCGTTGCTCGACACCAACTGACGGAGAGCGGCATCCAGCGAAGCATCAGCAACACGGGGACTAGATTTCGTACATGAACCCAGATTTAAGCCACGCTAGCAATGGGCGTGGAGTGTTGTGGTTATTGCACTTCGATCTGCACCTGTGCTCAAAGCACGCGCAGCTGCACTCAGAAAAGCCCCGGCGACCCTTCTTGAGAGAATTCCACCCGTTGCTGCCTGGTCCTCGTCTGCCTTTGGAGCTAGCCCAGCATCAAGTTGACGGACCCTATCGGCAGGCTCAAAGTAAGGAGCATTTCTCATACCCGCTTTGCTCCGATTCCCGCCCGTTGCAAACATGGCCACCGAAGTGCTGAAGATCAGCGATGGCACCACCATGGATGCTCGGCATGTCATGAACCATGCGAATCGAGGTCCGCATACAGGAGTTACACAACGTTTTGTCACAGTATCCAAAAGCTTTGAGATAAGTTGGTTTTGGCAGGCGCACTTGGAATGGCCCAAGGAGCTACTAGTGGGCAGAAGTCATGCAAACATAGTTTCCGAAGCAGGTCGTCGTCCCGTTGTTGGGCGCAAGAAGTAATGCGACACAGACACGGCGCAGTCAACGCACAGCGGCAGTGGCAAAATAAGGGTTTCCCAAAGGCAATCGACGACACCATGCTACGAGACGGATGCATGTTGGCCGATTCCCACACAGGGCAGGGGCAAGGGGGGCCTCTGCAAGCAGCATGATCGAATCCGGGAAATAGGAAAGCATGTGGCTTGGCCCTCATGCTCTGTGTCTGAAGGGAGGGAAGAAGTTGCTCGCATACATCTTCCTTCACTCTCCTCGTGTGCCTGATCCCGTGAAAGTCAGGAAATCTGCAGACTGCCCGATGTCGATGACCAGACATGGGCAGAGGTCCGTGCCTACGTCGAGGGCAACCCTGCAGCTCGGCACTTTCTTTTCGGGGCCTGCAGCCATGCGGGCAAAGTGGTTAGTAGATGCTGGTCAGGTTCTCGTAGGTTCCTTTTCTGTTCCAGTCTGTGCAGCAAGTCCGAGATTAGGACACCGCGAAAACACTGAAGAGCTTCTCGAAGAATCCTGATGCGATGAGGGGCTGGCTGCAGACCCAGGCCAGCAACAAGTGTGAGTGATTGGGCTTCCAATCTCCCGCAGTCTCTGCAGGCCATCGCAGAGCACTACAGCGCCAATCTGGCCAACGGTGACACCCCCGTCCAAGACAAGGCACAGCACATCCTCTGCCCCAGGTGTGTTTTACAAGATGGTCCTGGTTTCGCAGGTGAAGTCCTTGGAGGCGGATCCAGAACTGGCTGCGATCTTCGAGGACATCAAGAAGAATGGCATGGAAGCTGCCATGAAGTACTACCAGGATGAGGAACTCATGCTGCTCAGGGGTACTTAGAAATAGTATGAAATAGTTTTCGATGTTTGGCAAGAGGAACGAATAAGCCCAGACAAATGACCCAGAGCCGGTAATGATCTCATATGACCTGGAATCATTAAGGATTTGACAACTAACTTCTAGTATCTTCTCCAACCTTACTTCCTTCCCTTTGTGCTGCTTTCTTGCTTTGTGTTGGGTTTGGGTGTTAAAATCCTGAAGAAACAGCTAAGATTACACTTTGTAATTTGAGCTCGGGGTCCAGTTCAGTAGAGGCTGAAGATCAGCCAGAAGATGGGCGGTCTCCCATCCGAGCTTCAGCCAGTTCTGCAGAAGATCGAGGACACGTCTCTCACGCTGCATGAGGCTGCCAAGAAGGGCGACCTTGCGGCGGTCCAGCAATTCCTGGATAAGAACAAGCCTTTGGATGCGCAAGATCACAAGGGCATCACTCCGTTGGGCTATGCGATTGGAGCCAACCGCTTCTTGTTTGCGCTTAGACTTAGAGGGAATTTGGGCTCGGGCGTCGTCCTTGCCTCTTGACTCTTGAGGTATCGCGGTGGTGAAGAAGCTCTTGGACAGCCGCGCCAACCCTTACGCTGTGGACAGCTCCGGCAACAGTGGCCTCCACTATGCTGCCGGCTACGGCCGAAAGGAACTCCTGGAGTACCTCCTGAAGGTAGGGGCCAATGTCAGTCAGCCCAATGCTCAGGGCATGACGCCCCTGGCTGCGGCTACGCAGAATCGACAGGAGGCAGCCGTGCAGATTTTGAAGGTTCATGGAGCGCAGTAAGAGCAGGCTGCCTCTGTGCCGGGAATTCGGAGCTTCAGCGGGTAGGTTTTTAACCACCGGGTTCAACCACGAAGCCTTGTCCTCAGCGTTGCTCGACACCAACTGACGGAGAGCGGCATCCAGCGAAGCATCAGCAACACGGGGACTAGATTTCGTACATGAACCCAGATTTAAGCCACGCTAGCAATGGGCGTGGAGTGTTGTGGTTATTGCACTTCGATCTGCACCTGTGCTCAAAGCACGCGCAGCTGCACTCAGAAAAGCCCCGGCGACCCTTCTTGAGGGAATTCCACTCGTTGCCGCCCACTCGATGACACGAGAGCTCGATCATCCTTGGTCCTCTTCTCTGAGAATGGCATGTCTTGCAGGCAGCTGATGCGCGGAGCCACCGTGGTTTTCGTCACCGCCGGCCTTCCTGGAAAGAGGCCCCGGAAAGCTCGTGGCTCACGATTTGGCACGAAGCATGCAGGAGCAGTTCGAGCGCAGCCGTAGGTAAAGAAATTCAACCGCTGCCATCTCTGCCAAGCTTTCACAAAGCTTATTGACTTCTTCTCGCCTCTTGCTAGGTTCACTTTTGAGATCGCAGCGTCCCTGGGTGTGCGCCCCCCAATGCAAAAGTGTTTGGAGCAAAGGCTTGATGAGGCAAAAAACAAGCCTCAAGCTGCTAAGCTGCATCGGTGAATGTTGCCATTCCCAACAGCTGAGATCAAGCCAGTGATCCTGGAACACCCCGATTCTTGGAGCAGGTCCGTGCTGGCGGCTGTTGCTAAAGCTGTCGGAATCGTTTGCTGGCCTTCCGTTTTCGCTTGGATTCGCTTGGGGCACAGATAGATACTGTATCACCTGCAAAAAGCTGGGACTCGCGACTGCGTCGGCAACTCTACAAAGCCGTGTCTGGGCTGTCAAAGGACGACGGATGGTTGTGTCCCCAGCACAGTGCAAGGAGGCAATTTGCGTTCAGGAGCCTCGTCGACGAGGGCCTTGCGGCAAAGTTTATCCCCGCCCAGACCTTGTTCAGAGTCTGCGTATCTCTGTCGGCCTTTCGGATGAAGTACACGGCCGGGTAAGTCTCTGGCATGTCTTTAAGGTTGACATGACGCAGCCTTCAGAGGATATCTTCAATCAGCACGGCCCCTACAATCACCTGACTCCACCGTTTCTACGTATTGAAGACCGTGGGAACTCCCAGCTCTGCCGCGTTGTGACCGGAGATGCCAAGGGCGCTAGAGCACATCAAGAACCTCGGCGAGGCTCCGTCTCTCAGTCTGGCACGCGTCACCGGCTTTTTGGTCCCTCTAGTCTCTGGAGCATGGTACTCACGGTATCTCACGGTACTACGGGGTTGTGTGTGCAGGACGGTCTGACAGGGACAGCAGATGGCATTGCAGCTTGGCCTCGACTTGCGAGATTTCAGGCCACTGATGCGAACCATGTTTGCGGTCGGCCAAGTACAGTACTTTTGGCGGAACGGCACGTCGTATGGCTGCAATTTGCATAAGTCACTCCCCCAGTTTTTGCTAGTTCTACACAATTCTTGCCATGTTTCGTCCCGGAAGATGACCAGTGGAAAGCTCCAAGCCCGAGAAACATCCAAGGCCTCGTTTGTGGAACTCTCCGTGCCACTGGCCGCACGTCTTGCAGAGGCGCTGGGCCTGCCAGGCAGGGACAGGCATTGGGTGTTGAGAAGCTTCAGACGAAGTGAACACACGAAGCTGCACTCTCGTTTCAGGACCACACTAGTCCAGGTTGGTGTAAACGGTTGAAGTCGACCCTCAACCATGCTATTGGCAAGGTGGACGTCTTTGCGAACCTGCATCTTCAAATCCTATCACCTATCAAGAGACAGGGTCTTGAAGATCTTGAGACTGGATGCTTACCGGATGCACGATGCACGGTCAACATGCCCTGCACAGAGAGGCTTGAGGCCGGCAGCCGTCGATTCAGCGAGAAATAAGCGGCTCGGAGTGATTTGCGATCTTCCCTCCAATTTAGGCAGTCGGGTGAAGCCTTGGCAAATCTAGTTTCTCAGATGCAACGTCTGAGATCCGAGGCACGCCACACGAGCTTGCTTGAAGACAGCTGGGCTGCCCACCCCAAGGCAGTGGCTGCTTGTGTCACTCAACGATACGGTGCAATTGTCGGAGTTGGGAGCAGCACGGCGACTGCACAGGGTGAAGTTCTCCTTGCAGGAATTTTCTCATCGACGATAAGTCGAAGCTAAAGGAGGCTGGCACAGCCGCAAGGGCCACAGAAAAGTGTGACCAGGGATATGATAGACGGAATCCACCGATTCCTTCTTTCGACTAGCTTTGGTGAGCTCTGTTGCAGGACTTGTATGTCTTAGGTACTCCCCAGCCGTTCGAGACAATGCCGATGAACCAAGGTCGGGTTTCCTGCCGTGTTGAAACCTGTGCGGAGCCCTCAGTTGTGCCTCGTGCTTCGCATCGAAGGGATCGGGCAGCCAAAGAAACTGGGTGCTCGCACACTCTGGCTGTTGCAAAGGTCCGGTGCTGCTTCTCTTGGAGTAAAGAAAGTAACAAACTCCGTGGAGATGGAGAAGTCCAGTTCTCAGCCGAGTAGATGTAGATGTGCAAGGCTTAGAAACATGTTGGTGGTGTGAGCTGATTGTATTGCAGCTGAGTTGGGTGCTTCAAAAATTCATTTGCTATACAGTTAACATAGACTTCACCTACTTGTCGGTGCAAGTCCTCCTGAAGCATTCCCGAGGTGTTACAAGGAGATTGTGGACGAGTTGTCTACGTTGGTTGTTGAGAGCTCAGGTCCCAACAAACAGGCTTGCTCTCGGCATGACTACCGCTTGCGACACTCAGATCTGCAGCCGAGGTCTCTTCAGGAGCTCTGGTGCAAGGCCAAGCCTAGGGTCTGATGAAGCCCTTGTTTGCTCATTCTGCATCTCTTCCAGCACCCTGTGCAGAAACGGAGCAGGGTCAGATTGAGGGGGCATGGTCGATCGTGAGCGTCCCACTCCTTCTTTCATTAAGTTCTACATTGACATGCTTGATGGTCGCAGTTGAGATGCTGTTGCATGAGTTCTTGACCGCTGGCTTTGTCTGAACTTCTTGTGAAGTCGCGAGCTTTGCTTTTTGATCAGAATCTTCAATACGCTAACCTCTCCTGAGCTAGAGGAGGCTTGTGCAGAGCGGCTCACGGTCAGGCTTGCTTCGCCCATCCGAGCCCTAGAATCTTAAAGCAAAAGCAAGTGTGCCTGCTCGAGTCGGCAAAGGCAGGCTTTTGTGCAGATGTGTGTGGGCAAACTCTGCGATCGGAGGTAGCCCTGACAACGCTGGGCTGAACGCTCAGGAGGCCATGAATAGTCCCGTCGTACAGGGTTCCGCCGTCCGGAAGAATCTGCGAGATGCTGTACCTCTGGCACAGTCGGGCGTCGACCTGACCGTTTTGATGGAGCAGTTCTTGGACGGTCCCGAGGTCGACGTGGATGTTCCTCGGATCTGCAGCTGTGAAGTTGAAGGAAGAAAACGAAACATGTCAGCAGCTGGCCCAGGTCGTGATGTCGGAAGGCCGCCGGCTGAAGAAAGTGTAGCTGGTTGGGATCGCCGCGAGTCTCATTGCATCTAGGACGCCTCACGGAATCGAAGCGGTCTGGATTTGGTTTTCTGTGTCGAGAATCGATGATGCCACAGCTCAAGTTGGCTCGAGCCATCCAGTGCAAGACCTCTTTTCGTTGAGTGGCTTTCGACCTTGACCATGTCGGAGACCTCTGCAAGGGCCGACTTGAACACCACTTTGGTTGCTTACAGCATCCTGCAGCTTGTCTCTTCATGGCCTGCGTGTGCGTTTGTAGGTTTGCTTCGGCAGGCTGGCATGTTTAAAGAAGGACTAAATTGAGCCATAATCTTGGCCGCAATCCTCTGACAAGCAAAAGCCGACAAGCGTCTCAGTGGCACTGAGGTATGCCTGTTTGGTGCTGATCGGTGGCATCATGGGATTCGTTAAGGCGAAGAGCAAAGCCTCTTTGATTGAATCTCCGCAGCAAGAAAGCAGCAAATGTTCGACAAGCGCGACAACAATGCTGGAAATGATCACTCTCTTTGGTTTGACTCGCTGCGCCACCATGCAAGTCATCTTAGGCAAGCACAATTGTGAGTCTGGTTCTGATCGCCACTGTCTACGCGACAGTCCAGGTGCCAGATGAAGTCCGTGCTTCTGTATTATGGGTCGAGGGGTATCATATCGTGACGGTGGGCTCTCTGATTCGGACGGCGCGCATTCGCGCGAGTGGCCGTAGACGGGCACTGGCAGATGCCAAACGAGTAAAGATGAAAGGCAGGCTGCTTGAATAGACCCGTCGTGTATTGCCCGTTTTCACATGGTTTCAGTGTTCTTGTCTGCAAGGTGAATGCATTCTACGGCAGCTGCGTCATGTGCGTATTTAGCCTTGTGCTGCCTCGTGGCTGCATGCAACCTGGAGCCAGTCCTGTATGTACCGTACAGTATGATGCTTTTAGCTTCGACCAGCCTCTCGACCTGGTGACTCCACAACCGAGATGGCTGTGACTGTGCCGCCAAGGGTTCGAATGTTCTTCCAAAAGTACAACAAATCCGGCGAGGCTGAGTTGGGTCCAAAGAGCACACGATCCGACCAAAGCCTGGATTCTGTCACGAAGCAATCTGCATCCTGAATGTCTGCAGCCAGCCATATTCCTACATGTAGCAGTGTAGCATTGTGCAGAAGAAACTCATTGCTATGGGGGCAGCACGTAGCAGCGCCAGAGGTGGTGTAGCTTCTCCCTATCAGGAGAAACTGAACGAGCCTTTGACTGGCGATGGATCTCAGAAGTGCCTGGGCATCCATATCGCGCATTGACAGAGGGCCACAGCACAGACCGATAGAGGAGGAGAAGAGAGACGAACTGTGTTCGCAAGAGAGTTTTGGGATGCTGTCACTCAGCAGGAAATTTATGCCGTTTGGGCTCCTGACGGTGTTGACACCTGGCAGCACCAGAGTTTGGTTCTTGCTGGAGTTCACAGGTACAGCTCCAGTTCCAGTGATGATTTGACTAGACATTGGTTAGACTGTGGCATAATCGCCCTTGGGAGCATCTTTTGCAACGTCTTGCAGCAGTGGAATTGCGCAGTGGTGCAGCATCGGCTTGGTCTACTTGCTGAGTTGATGAGATCATGCAAGTGCGCACGCAGCCCCGCAACCCAAAGCTTCCAATTCCTTGACGATCTGCCGAGGGGTATGGGCCTCGCAGTGCATCTTGGCTTTCAATGAATTCTCATTTGCGTAACTTCCCGGTTTATGCGCTGTGCCACTCGAAGTTTGGAGGCTTAGCTGCGCCGTGGCGGTCGTCGCATACTAGAAATAAGGCTTGCAACTATTGTTGTGTTTGCAGCCGTGGTATACTGTAGGGCAGAGATGACAATGCGGCAGGCCGTGAAGCATTGTGCCCATGAAGCCGGATGCCCTTTGGAGTGACCATTGGGCATGCCCTCGAGACGTTCTGGGGAAGGAAGTTTGCGCAGCTCTGAGCACTGCAAGTTGCACGTGCCTCTGTTTGAAGCATTTCAACAAGCACGTCCTGAGCTCGTGTTGCTAGGCAGTGCTAGCTAGTAGAATTGAAGGCGATGGTGTGCCTCTAGCTGTAACACAGAGACCAAAATGCCACGACCACGAGTCGTCCTCGCCAGCTGAGAAAAGGACATAAAGGACGAGGACTTCGAAATGCTGGATGAATGGTTTCAACGGAGATGTCACAGCCTGTGGCCAGGTGAGTACGTCTATGCTTGTGTTGCAGACAACGGCCCGACGCTGGAGCCGTATTTCAACGAGCTGGGCCCTCAGAGCGCTGCCGGGTGCAAAGCTTACCTGACGCAGCCACGCGTCTGCTGAGGACCTGGGCTTGCTGCCCCTCCCTCCTGCCCAAGGCCGACAACCGAAGCATCATTAAAGCATTCGCCCTATTCTGCTCTGTTCCGACAGGACCAACAGGTGGCACTAAGAGACCTGGGCGTGCAATGTCGCAGCCTTAGTTGCGACTCAGAATTCTCGAACATCTCGGTCAAGCAAGGCATCAAAGCACTGGGTTTTACGTGCGGAGTCTTCCATGTGGAGCCGTGCCCTCAGTCAGTGGGTAGACACAGCGGAACACTTCTGTCGCCGACAGCAACATGTCGTCGATCGTTTGACTTCAGGTTGAAGTACACCTCCCATGGCCCACAGCTGATCGAGGTCATGCAGACTTCAAGCATCTTTACGACATGTTCAGGGACCCAGGGATATGTCGGAGCCTGGCAGTCACGACTGTCATTGCAGGTCAATGCCCGAATGGGAGGAGGCTCGTGTTTTCATTGAAATAGATGGAAACATGTAGAGCGAGACTCTCCAATCTTGAGATCTCACCTGTCCGCCTCCATTGGTCCATCGGTTCTCTGCTTCGTTGCGAGCTGTTGTATCGGAGCGGGTACACTGGCAGGACAGGTTCACGAATGCAATCGCTTGACTTGGGGCGTTGACCTGGTAGAGGAGCTGGTATGCCTTCTTCATCTGCTTGTGATTCAAACTCTTGCCAGAAGAAAGCTTCGCTCGTGATCGAGAGGATTAGATGGAAGGCTTCTGGCTCCGCAATCCCTGGAACCTTGCTATGCAGGAAACAATGCTTTGTGCACTGGGAATCCCGTCCCGGCCTTGCGTGGCATCCTTGGCGTGCTCCGCATCGGGTCCGTACACCTGTGTTGAGCTGCCGACGGGAACTAAGGTTCCGCGCGAGCCTGTATCTGGCACGGCCTACTGCTATGTGACTCTGCCTGGTTGTCCGAGCATCAAGCAGTATCACTGCCTATAGGGCAGGCAGTCACAACGGGAACGTTGTACACATGTAGTCACACAACGTTTTGTAGCTCTTGATGCATGCACCAGGTTAGCCATACCGATGTCTACACTAGCATGGCAGGTAAATGCAATGAAGTCCGGCACCGTCACCGACATCAGTAAACTGGAGGCTGCATTTGCTGCAAGAAGCGCTTGAAAGCCACTCCCTGCCAGCTCGCAAGGAACTCCGCAAGCGCGACAACGTCGTGTGGGCCAAGCCGCTGACACGCGTGGGCGCAAAGGCTTCGTCACAGAAATGTTTCTCTGGCCGTCGCCCGCAATGCTGAGCAGATGATATCAATCGAGGGTCCAAAGAGAGGTGAGCAGCTTGTGTGGGAAGTTGAGACATGCTGAAGTGAAGGGCAGCATTGCCGCAAAGCAGAGAGCGGTGGGTTGCTTCTGGGCCAGGCAGTGGGTCCCGCAGATGGACTGCCAACATGGTTGCCGCAAGCTTAGAGACTCCATGCATTGCCTCGGAGCCAACGGCACCGGTCAGCCAGTCATCACAGACAGAAGACTCGCACGAAAGCTTAGTTGGGAAAGACTGAGGTGTGACCTGTTCGTGCAAGGCAAGACAGCGAAGGATGCACTGGCTTACCTGCAGGCTGCAAAGGGTAGCCAATCTCGGGTGCTTCGCTTTCCAGCTCTGCGTTTGCGCTCAAAAGTGCAATGCTGAAGGCCATAGAGAAGGAGAACCCCGTGCTCGCTGGGAACTCAGAGTACTCTGAAAACTCCTTGTATCGCTGCGCATGCAAGATTGCCTCGGTACTTGTAGCAGCAGGAATTGCTATCAGGTGGCATGATGATCTGCTCGCGGCGTGCTGCCGTCATTGTGCCTCGTTCTCGGATGGCAGCATTCACTAGACTTGTGTTTGTTCAAGCTTGTGTTGAGAACTTGAAGATCCGGTACACAAGGTGATGGACTTTGCCCATGCCTTTGTCGGATCATCGCTTTTCTTTATTACATATCAGAAATTACAGGACCAGATGAATAGGACAGTGAAACGGACGTCGGAACCTTCGTATGTTAGGCCCTTAAAAACCCGACACCTCGTCAGTTGCTCAACTCCACCTAGTCTTTTGACCCACCCGGCATTCCTGACCCATCTTAGAGCCTTGGCTCTGCGATGGTGTGATCGATTACACTTCTGCTGCGCTGTTTGCAAGTCCTTGTGCCGGGAATCCAAGCACCTAGTTTAATTTGTGGAACTTTACATCGTCATTAGATGGGAAGCACCGAAAGCACAAGTAGGTTTTGCAGCAATGCTCATCTGATCTTCTGTGCAGTGATTCCAGCTCGCCGGAGACTTAGCAAGCAGAGCACAAGGTATCTGTGGTTCGGCAATTGCTATATCACAATATCTTAGCTCGATGGCCCACCAGATAGGCTGAACCATGGATGCATTCAGGGAGCATGCTGGGGTGGAGCTCCAGCATAAAGTCGTTTAATTCTGCGGAGGCCGCGTTGGTTTTGACAATAAAGCTGGCTTACAGTGATGGGGTTTGCATGTCTGTCACGCACCGAAGCATGCTACGGTTCAACAATCATATTCTGAAATGTGTTCTTGGAGTTTCGAAAGGTATGTTTATTATCATATTTTCCAAATCAAAGACAATAAGATTAATTGGAGATTTAGCCTATATATGTCATACATCTGAATTCGTAATTTTCTATGTATAAACTTTTTTAATTGCTTGAGTTTGTAGTTTTGGGTGTTAACTTTGGGGCTTTATTATATTCCATAGAAATGAAGTTTCAATCCGAGAATCGTATTGCACTTATCTATGTGGATCTAATATTCTATCGCCGTGGTTTAAGTTATTTCTATTTGGGGGCATAAGTTCTGGTCTTATCTCTGAAAAATTTTTGGTTCTAGTTATCTAGAGTCGTAGGGTTTCTATTTCTAAAATCGTGTCGTACCTATGTTACTAATGGTATTCTGCTTAGAAGAAGGTTCATTAAAATTGTAATTTCTGTCTTTGGTCGATTATGATTCTAATTATTCTATTATGTTCTTGAAAAGTATGAAGATTTCTTCTAGTTCTATTGAATTGGAAGTCGAGTAATACGATATCTATATCTGTTTCTATTTGCTCTTCTACTATATATATTAGATTTTTATTTGAAGATGATTGGATTTTTCTTGGGATATGTATCAGTTGGTCTCAAATATTAGTATTTGGTAGTTTCTGGTAAGATATATCTCAGGGTTCTCATATCAAATATAAGCATGGTATAAAATGGATTACGAGATCGATTATAATTGAATAATAGGTAGTTTGAGCTTGGGTCGTAGATTATTTGTAGATAAAGAGATTGTCGTGGTATCTGAAATTATTCTTTCTTTGGATGGTGTATGGATAAATTCGAAAATAGAGAAGATATTGAATAAATACGTGAATTATTAGTATTCGCCTTGGAAGATGATAAGGAGTAAGGAAATATAGATGTATTTTAATAATGCACGATAATCCGCGATATTAGTAAAGTTGCTTATATTTATAGGTCTTATGTAAGAGGAAGATTATAGTAATTTTGATAGCGAAAATCTCTAGAAAATATAATTATAGAGAGGTGGGG